TCTGCCCTAGATTGAGGTCCTCAGCTCGGGACTCCGTGTCCAGACCACCTTTGCGGATCCCTGACTACGTAAGGGGGTCTTTGTGGTGTCTGGGAAACGAGGGGAAGGGAGCAGGGCACAGCCTGCCGGGACCCTCCACCAGCCAGCAGGTGGACGGAAAAGGCGAGGTGCGTGCCCATAGGGGTCCCCATCCCTGGCTGCCCTGATCTGGACAGCCCGCCTGCTCAGACACGCCAAATGTCTGTGAAGGTCCCTCGGCCTCTACATGGCGTATCAGGGAGTGGGGGGTAGGGGTGCTAGGGTCAGGCCTGGGGCTGCAGAGCCCTTGGGATCTCGGGCTGAGCCTCTAACGTCCTCACCCATCATGCTGGCTCCCTGGTGGGGGCTGGGCCACAGTCTGGGTGGATGGAGGCTTTTTAGCCAGAGCTCGTGGCTTGGAGGATCAAGTGTGTAAGAGCCGGCATCACGTGGAGGGGGTCTCCCCGCGGAGACCCCATCCCGCCTACAGCCCCTCAGAGAACCGCCAGCCCACCGCCCCTCTAGCCAGCCCGCTGCTCTCTCGAGCTAACTGGCTTTAGAGCTTCTCTTTCCTGGGAATACAGGCCGGCCTCCCGGTCAGCTCCCTCTGCCGTCCAAGAGTAGATAGCCAACCTGTTGTGCTGCGTGCTAACTAGACGTACACTGGGTCTTTGCTCATTGGTGTCCTTCAGCAACAACCCTGGGAAGTAGGTTTATTATCCCTGTTGTATACAGGAGGAGACTGAAGCACAGAGAGGGTAAGCAACTTACCTGAGGTCACATAGCCATAAACAGCAGCACTTCTTCCATCCTTTGCAGCACAACAGCCACAGAGGAATAAAGGTGGCGGCTGGACTCTTCCTCGAGGCCGAAGGGGGCATAGTCTGCAGTCCCCGGGCATGCTCTGTGTTGGCCATGAGGCTCTGAACAGACACAGGCTTCCTGGCATGGCCTGCCTACATCTAGTACCCCTGTTGTGTTCAACAGAGTGCAGCAGTGCATTGTTACCTCCTGGATGGGGGACTTGCATGATTCTCGGGGTGTGTCCTGAACCACAAGCTGCTGCTCCCCAGTCTCCCTGCCTTCATTGCTCAGGGCTGTAGAGTTTTATGTCCTGTTTACCTGATGATGGCTCCAGCAGAACCTGCCAGGTGATGGTCATGCACTGTTGCATGGGTGTGCACTGCTCAACTGAGAGCACTCTTCACAGAGACCATGCAGTGAATGAGCCCTGCCCCCAGAGCTGTGATACACCACCTGCCCCGCTACCTGGATAGCAGATCCATCTTGGGTTCTGATCTGAGCTGGTTCGGATTTTGCCTGCCCTTGAATGGTGTTTTCCAGACAGACTCCATGGTTCTAGGATCATCTTTCTGTGGCTTCCGGGCCAGGTCCCTCAAGGGTGCCCTGCTGTGATGCTGACGGGGTTCCATGTGGCCCACACTGGAGCTGGATGGGAACCAGTCCACCTTGAACCTGGCCCTAACTGTACAGAGGAATGAAGCAGCCCAGGGCTCACCGCCCCCAGGTGCCAAGCTGGGACTAGTACGCAGGCCTTCACACTTTCCCAGTCCGCTTCATTTTCCTTGTTGTTACATCCCATTCCTGAGTACCATGAGGGCATCCAGAGGGCACCCCACTCTCCTCCTCCTCCTTGGACTTCCTGACAGCACTGAGCAGAGGCTGGCTAATTGCTGGGTTTTGTCCTCTCTCCAGCTCCTCATAGACAAAGTAGAGGGAGGCCGCGAACGCTGGGGCCCCAAGCATCTGGAGTGTGGCTCTAGCCATGACTCATTAGAAAGTCAGGACTGGAGACTTCAGTGTCTTCCAGAGGAGGGCAGTCAAGGCAGTGCCCCACAAAGGGCTAGCAGGGTTTGTCCAATCAGGGCTTCTCTGGCTTGGGGATAAGTTTGTGGCCCTAGTGCACTTTTTTGCTCATTGGACAATGAGTGTTTATTCTCTTCCCAGCCTGTGTCAGGGACTAGCTGTATGTACAGAGAATCCACAGTCCTTGCCAGAGAGAGCTCTCGGTCTGCTGGGGAAAATGAGTATTATTTGTCATAGGTTGTGGAAATCACCTAGGACCCTCATCATGCACAGTTGTTCAGACTGTGCACTGCTCAACTCTAAGGGCAGTCTTCACATAAACCGTGAGATGAGCGAGTTGTAACACACCAGCAGCCCAGCTGTCCGCGGTGGCTCTAATGTCCTTCTGTAGACATCGTATAAGGCTATAGACTGTCAAGGGAGGACCACAACCCTGCTGTGGGAGGTGAGGGAGATGGGGCGGCCTGTGCCAATCTGAAAAGGCTTTACCCCAACGAAGATGCTTGCTGGATCTTAGAGAATGAGCGGCAAGTCTCCAGCCGAAGAAGAGGGAAGGGTGCTGGGCAGTGGAGAGACCATTTGTCAGCCTTTGGAGGCGTGAGACTGGAAGGCAGGCCAAGAGTAGGGGAACGGGGCAACATAGGAGGCCTGGACGGTCTCCAAGGCAGAGGTTCACGTGGAGGGGAGTGGTAGGCAGAGGGGAAACCTGAGAGCAACTCGGGGGTCAGGGAGAAGGCTGGTGGGGCTAATGACATGCAGCCAGGGGCCTGACCGCCCGAGTTTGACCACAGCCATCGTGGCTGGTCTTTTGGGCTGACCCGTCCTCCCGGGGGCCTGCCCACCCCGCCAGGCACACGTTTGCAGATGGATATCCAACAGCAGGGCCTCGGGCATTCAACCCCGGGAGACGGGTCACGTCAACAACATGTATACCCCATTTACACGGAGGCCGATGCTGCCTTCTGCTGGGGTTTCTGCCTTCTGGGATAGTTTATAGGGTCTATTTCTGGAACATCCCTCACAGCCAAGAGGACATGGTGGGGGGCAGGGGGGTGGGGGCAAGTGCCATCTCTGTTTGCTGTCACAGATAGCTGGGTGGCCACTCCCCATACCCAGCAAGTCCCCGTTCGTGGCAATCTGGTGACCGGTGTGGGGTGGGGGGACATGCTTCCAAGGCTCTTTCTCAGTGTACAGGGGTCCCCAAGAAGGATCCAGGCCAGACCAGTGATTGCCACTTTCTGAGGTTATGATAATTTGCTGTTGTCCCCGAGCAATTACAGATTTCACGTGTGCGGGCAGTTCGCAAATTGGGCGTGAGACAGACCGGGACAGAGATGTGATTTGAAAACGGAAGAGCCGGAGGGAGATTGAAGCGTGTGTGGGTCTGGCTGAGCGGAGCGTCTGGGGAGAAGCTCGCCGCCTCGCTGATGACCCGCTCTAGCGGTTTCTGTGAGGTCAGGTGCACTGACGGGGCGCCTGGTGGCTCGGTCGGTGAGCAAGTTGCCTTCGGTTCTGATCGTGATCCCCAGGGCCTGCGATCGAGCCCCGCGTTGGGCTCCCTGCTCAGCGGCGAGCCTGCTTCTCTTCCTCCCCCTTTGTTGAAAAATAAATAAAATCTTTTAAAAACTATATTTAAAAAATTAAGTAAGGCACATTGGGGGATGATTTACGTACAGTAAAAGTCACCCCTCTTAGGGTATGATTCTTGGAGTTTGGACACATGTATGTGCTCTTATGACCACCAGCATAACCAAGATCCCAAGCATTACTGTCACCCCAGAAAGTTCTCCGATGCCCTTCTAAAGTGGACCCCAACCCAGCCCCTAGCACCCGTGGCTCCCTTCTCTGTCCCTAGCCTTGCATCTCTCCCAGAATGTCCTCGAAATGGAATCAGGGAACGTGTCTGATTTGAGTCTTGCTTTAACTTCGGCAAAACACACGATCCACCCATGTTACTGTGCGAACCGGTAATTTACCCCTTGGGTTGCTGACCGGTGTCCGTGGGGCCGATGGGCCACCGGGTCTCCAGCTGAGGGGCCGACACTGGACGTGTTCCCAGCTTGGGGCGAGCACCAAGAAAGGCCGTAAACACCGGCACGCGGGTCTCGGCGTGGTCCTGGGTGTTCCTGGGTGTTCAGTTCTCCGCTGGTCCCCCAAGCGCGGGGTTGCCGAGTCACGTGGTCTGTGTGTGTTTCCCTTCAGGAGAAGCTGCCGCCTCCTCCCACGGGCTGTGCCTTTTTGCCTTCCCGTTCCTTGTGAAAAAATTCAAGGACGAAGCACACAGGGCACCAGGGAGGTTGTGTGGCTGGGCTCTGGTGCCACAGGGCCCTGACCGGAGGTGGGCCAGCCCCACCTCCCTCCACCCCCCTGCCCTACAGCCCCGCATCCCCTTCAGGATTGTCTTCCCTTCGAATCTTTGTAGAAGTGCCGTTTGGGCCCCTGCGGGGGTTCCCGGTTGGTCCTCTTTCTGGTAGGGCTTCCCGTGATGGATGCGTTTTACACGTTGGGCACGGAGACCGCGCCGGGCCTCGCGCTCAAGAGCCCGAGTGACGCCAGATAAATGACCACAGGCTGTTTCCTGCTCGCCGCTGTTCGTGCCGCGCGCCGTCTCTCCCTGCAGGTGTTCCGGGGGCCGTTCTAGCTGGAGCAGGGACAGGGAGACAGGCAGTGAGGGGCGGTGACCACCCCCCAACCTGGCCGCAGAAAGCCACCGAGCCCCGCGTGTCTGCCAGGCACTAAGAATGAACTTGGGGACAAGATACAGAGGGACAGAGTGAGTGGGAGCCCCGGCCTTGGGAAACCGATCGTCTTGTTTGGGGCAGAAAGGGCAACGTACACATACACCCTAGGCTAAGCCAGCATCGCCAAAGATGCCGGGGACAATCCGGGGATCCGTGCCGCCACCCCCAACCCCAGCCGCACAGGTGGCCACACCCCGTTCTTGGGCACAGAAGAGAAGTACCCTAAAGTCTGGGCTGTTGGTCGGATGACTTGACTTAGGTCTTAAATGACCATGGGGACTCTCGAGTTGGTGAGGAGAGGGGCTGGGACCCACGGGTGTGGGGGGCCTGGGGTGGGCCGCAGCAGAGGCCCAGAAGTCGAGGTGTGGGGCTCCTACAGAAAAGACAGTTCTCCTCCCAGGTCCCTGCCATTCTTCCCTCAGCTGCTGCTTCCACGGGGAAAAGTGGGATCGAGGACCCCTGAGCTGTATGGGGACCTAGAGGCTGGCCAGCTCAGGGGTCCACAAAGGTTGGTGGGGGCGGTGCAGAGGGGACGACCAGCCTCTCTGAGACCTCCGGAGTCAGAACTGGAGGGCAGCGGAGGGGACGATACACAGCTCACTGCAGGTCACGTGGCAGCCTCGGGTCAGAGCTCTGGGTAAACCGAGTCATCTCCCACAGGGTCCCAGGGTCCTGCGGTCTGAAGTGGGACTAACGGTGATATTCTGTCTGTCTGTCCACCATCCAGGTGCAAGTTCTTCAGTCTGACTGAGACGCCGGAGGATTACACCATCATTGTTGACGAGGAGGGGTTCCTAGGTAAGTGCTTCTATCACCCCAGACATTTCTTTTTTTTTTTTTTTTTTTTGGTTATACTATTTTTTTTTTAAATTTTCAGCGTAACAGTATTCATTATTTTTGCACCACACCCAGTGCTCCATGCAACCCGTGCCCTCTCCAATACCCACCACCTGGTTCCCCCAACCTCCCACCCCCCGCCCCTTCAGACCCCTCAGATTGTTTCTCAGAGTCCACAGTCTCTCATGGGTCACCTCCCCTTCCAGTTTCCCCCAACTCCCTTCTCCTCTCCATCTCCCCTTGTCCTCCGTGTTATTTGTTATGCTCCACAAATCAGTGAAGCCATATGATACTTGACTCTCTCTGCTTGACTTATTTCACTCAGCATCATCTCTTCCAGTCCCGTCCATGTTGCTACAAAAGTACCCCAGACATTGCTGCTCCTGCCCGCTGCCTTATTTCTGCTCCTGCCCCCTGCCTTATTTCTGCTACCAACCACCGCCTTATTTCTCCCTCCCCCCCACCTGCCACCTTATTTTTGCCTCCGTCTCCTTCTGGCAAGTGGGTTAGAAAATCAGCACAGAGTCTGTTTTCTTCTCTCCCTGTGCCGTGGCTGCTCCCCTTCCTTTCCACTGATGAAACTGCCCCGGGAAAGGCCCCAGAGCTAAAAGGGTCAGTAAGACAGCGTGCTTACCCAGCTGGGAACTACAGGCTATGGAGAAAGTAGCTACAACCCAGGGCTTGTTTCACTGAGCTCCCACCGCTGAGTGAGAGGCTGTCGGTCCTCAGTCCCTGGTTCCCGGTCAGGGCTCCTGTAAGCCCTGCTGCTCTTCCTTCCTTCGCGTGTGTCCGTTTTCAAGGCTGAAATACAATTCACGTAGCAAACATGCACCCTTTTAAAGTGTCCGGTTCAGCGGTCTGTGATGTGCACGGGGTTGTGTGGCCACGCCCTCCAACATCTTCCCTCCCCCCAAAACAACCTCATCTCCGTTGACATCACTCCCCATCCCCCTTCTCCGCCGTGTCCCCCCGTAGGTTTATTATGTTGGTCCTGGTCTAACGCGACAGCGAGCGTCCGTTTGCGCTGCCCGCTGCCCACTCATTTATGAGAACGGGGTGTGTTCACGTCCCGCCGGCGTGGAGGCTGCGAGCGGAGGGGAGGTCAGGTGACCAGGCCCACAGCCACGGAGCGGGGCTCCCCCCAGAGCCGGCATTCCCTCGGGGCCCCCCAGTTCCCTTCTGGAAAGCCCTGAGTCCGCATTTTTATAAAAACCTCATTCCACCCCAAAGGCAACTCCTGGTCACTCTTTCGTGTTTCTCTTTCCAATTGCACGGGACATGAGTTGTCTCTGTTTAATCTGCGTGCCGTCCTGTCCCGGAGAGAAGTGCTTGTCCCTGACACCGTGATGTAACGTTTCCTGTGATGTCGCGGCCTCTCACGGTCCACGCCGTGGTGGATGTGACCCGCCTCCTTGCCCGGTCCCCTGCACTTAGAGTCCAAGTGGGCATTCATGGTTCTCCAGGGACACATTTTTTACCTTTATTCTCAGTCCGGCTGATTCCTAAAATGGGGTCTGAGACCTGGCGTTCCGGGGTCGGAAGCTGTTTGTGTGGTTCTTAGCACAGGTGGAGGGGGGCTGCCTTTTTAGACATCCTCGCTGGTGAACGAGGGGAGCCTTGGAAGAATTGACTTCACCCCTACGCTCTGTCGTCCTTACGCGCCCCTACCCCATCATCGAAGATGTCTCTCTGGTCCGTCATTCATCCATGCCCAGACCTTTTGGGAGCCCAGGAGCCACAAACAGGAACTTTTGCCCTAACCACAAAGCACGGTCCCGTGAAGAATGTACACTTGGGCAACCCAAACCCATCTCCATCTTTGTGTGGGTCCTGCCGAGAAGCACGGCACTTCGGACGCAGAAAGGATGCCCCAGGATGTCTCTGCTCTAGGAGCAGATACCCTCATGGCTCCGTCTCCCCAGACGAGACAAGCTAGCTCCATCTCGAGGCCACAAACGAGCAAATGCGGCGACCAGGGACAGAGGAAGGCTGTGGCCGCAGGACCCAGGGGGCCGGTTTTGCAGGCCCTGGAAACCCACGTTTGTAGGAATCCTCAGTCCCCTGGGAGGCATCGCGCAGGTGAATGGCTGCCTGTCCCCAGCCAGCACCGCCTGCCCCCCGGGCTTGCAGGAGGCAGCACTGACAGAGCCCCGCTGACCCCATGAGCCTCGGGGTCTGCCAGCCAGTGACGCGGTCAGTCGTGGTTGCGGTGGGTGCTGTGCGGGAGAGCCCATAGGAGGGACCCTTGGAATAGTAAGCAAGCCAGCAGAGTGGATCCGTGAGGGGCCTGAATCGACCTATTCCGACTTCCCTCCCTGCCCCAGCGGGGCTTCTGGCTGCGGACACTGTGGTATATAAGCCCTGGGAAAGACTCTTGCTAACTGCATTTTATAGACAAGGAACCTGAAGTGCAGAAAAGGCTGTCGCGCGGCCGGTGTCCTCTCCGGATGCCTCCAGGGGCCGGGCCCGAGGCCGGGGAGAGCAGAAGGGCAGGAATCCGGACTTTGCCCCTCAGGGGCTTACGGCTCTGGGAGGACAGAAACACAGGAACCAGAATTACGGTATCAATAGAGAGTGGCACCCAACCCGGCTGGCAGAAGTGCAGTCCAGGAGGACTCCCCAGAGGAGGCAGTGCTTGAGGCAAACCCAACTAAATAACTAATGAGCCCACCCGGTGAAATCTATGACACTGGGAGTGGGGAGGCTTCTAGAATGGGGGGTCACTGGGCATGCAGGGGAGAAGACAGAGAGGGGGAGATGGGACGAGGGAGGCCAGGAGAGACAGAGGCAAGGGGGAGCCAGTGAAGAGTCTTATCTGACCTTGAAGGGCTTGCCTGGAGGAGAGCAGAGTAAGGAGGCTGGCGCAGTGAGGACAGAGCAGGAATCAAGAAAGATTCAAAATCTGAATTTACCTGGGACTTTTTCCTGAGCTGCACCGCGAACCAGCAGGGAGCCTCACACTGTATTTACGTCTGGAAGAACTGGTGAGCTTTCAGCATGTCCCTTTCTGGGAGCTCGGAAGAGGAGACTTTGGGGGAGCTTAGGTAGTCAGGGAAGGCTTCCTGGAGGAGGCCGTTTTTGCTGCCCTTGAAGGGCTAAGGAGGGAGAGAGCATGTCAGGTGGGGATGTATGAGTAAGTCTGGAAGCAGAAGCAGAGACCAGGTTCAAAAAGTAGATGGAAAGACAGGTTCAAATTTAAAAAAGAGTGAGCAGGGTCCATTTGGACCCTGTTCTGCAGGCAGTAGGGAGCCATTGAAGGTTGTTGAGCGGGAGAGAGTCGTCATTGAGGCTGGACTCAGGAAGAGGCACCTGGGGTGAGTATGCGGAGGGGAGAGAGTGTGACGTGGGGGCCTCCCTAGAGGGCAAATAAGCAGGCTTTGTCCGAAGTGAGATCTTCAGGCCTAGGCTGAGACCCTGACTGACCCAGGGAGGGAATTACCCACAATCTTGAAACCCCGACTTTCCCTGGAGCTGTTAATAATCACTTGGCCTCTCCCCAGGCCTCTTCCGGTGGCCAGAGCAGTAATAGTGTCTTCAATGTGGGGAAGGCGGCTCCGGGAGGGGGAGAAAAACCAGTGTAAATGATTCATCCAGCAGGGGCTGAGAGGAGGGGTCTGCAACCCTGCGACTGCTGCGTAGGGGGTGCCGCTTCCAGGCCACGATTCCTGGTCGGCACTCGGGGCTGAACCGTGTACGATTACGGGAGCGCAGTGTCTCTCGCACGCGCGCTGGTCCAGAGGCAGGGGGAGGATGTCGTCCAGAGGCCGGGGGAGGATGTCGTCCAGAGGCCGGGGGAGGATGTCGTCCAGAAGCGACTCCTGGCCTCCCCGTTAGCGCGGACGGGAAGACCCAGGTTCAGATCCTGCTCTGCCACCTGCACGGCTTGTGGTTCTGGCCAGCTGCCCAACTCCCCGGGGCCTCCCCCCGAACACAGGAGCGCCCGTCCCTTCTGCAGGGCGCCCATGTGGCCATGGGACGCGCATGCGCTCGAGAGGTGTCTCTCTGTCGTGGATGAACCGGGGTTCCTCTGCCCAGCCCCGTCGCTGCAGTTTGGGGAGCACCCGGCGTTTGGGGGTCGCACGCTGGCCTGCGGCGTTGGTCTCTGCCACGCGTGTCAGCGCCTCCTTTGCAGTGAAACTGCTCATTTGTACCCCTCCGGCTGCGCGTCGCCCAGCTGCCATCGAGAATCCAGCATCAGCGTGCGGACGGAAGAGGCGCTGGTGCTCGGGAAGCACTCAGACGCCAGGCACTCAGCTAAGCACTTGGTGTGGGGATTATCTCATTTAATCCCAGAAGCATCTTCTGGAGCCCATCCCAATTTCCTCCTTCTGCGTTTGCAGCTAAGAAACTGAGGGGCGTTGACGTTGCCCAGAGTCAAGGCAGATTAAACACCTCCCCCTCCGCCTGACCCCGGGACCCTTGACCCTGCTGCGGGCAGGGCAGGAGAAGCCCGAGAAACACAGGCTGGGTGGGGCACACACAGCCGTGTCACGCAGGGACGCGCAGGTCCTGCAGCCGGAACAGGGGAGGCCCGGGGCAGGGGGTTGGGTACCATGAGGAGGGCAGGGGGAGGGCTCTACCCAGCTGCAGAGCTACCCCAGTCTGTGGCTGGGGGGTGATAAGACACCGTTAACCTCCACCACCACAAAGCGTATGCGGCTCCCAGAGGCTATTTGTAAGGGCCTGTGCTGTGTGCGGTGACAGAAACAACCCACCTTAGTCTTGGAATGGGTCCACTTTTCCTCTAGGGACGGGCAGGCTTGCGGTCTCCTGGTCAGCCTCCTGGAGCTCATCTCCACAGCCCCAAAAATGGCGCCTTGTTCCCCCGAGGCTTGGCCCGGGGTGAGGATGGGCCCCGGACAGGCCCCCCCTCCCCCCCGCCCCGGTATTGCAGATCCCAGAGGCCAGAAGCAGCGAACACTGTGGCTTCCAGCTGCCTTTGCTCCTCTGATGAAACTCACACTTCTGAGAGGATCCGAGGGGAGACCTCTGGTCCGAGCTGACCACCGTCCGTGGGTTCTACCCAGGGCCGAGAGTCAGGAGTGGCTGGCCCCGAGGCCTGGAGCAGGGCGGGCAGACCCATCCCGGCCGACCCGCTTGCTGCTCAGACTGGCCAGCAGTTGGACAGCCCTGAAGTCCTCTGTCCCCCGCCCCCTCAGCCCCCCACCATCCCACATCCCCATGCTCAGCTTGCTCCAGGCCTGGGCTTCTCCCTGGGACGCATCCAAACCCACCAAGAGACTCCCCAGAGCAGAGCCGTGTCTGCACCAGTGCCCCTTAAAAATGCACACACCCCAGCACTTCACCGACTGAGGGGGACACGCCTTCCCCACTGGACCTGCCGCAGCGTCCTGGCAGCCTCCGCCAGGGCGGCTGGAGCCCGGACTAGAGTCTGTCGCTGTCCCAGCCTGAAGCTGGCGTACTTTGCCCTCCGCCTCCCTGAGCTCACAGGACCCCACAGCCTACTCTGCCCAGCGGGGGCGGGGCTGACATCACACAGCCCGTTGTGCGTCCGTAAGCTGATGGGCAGCGGATGCCCTGTCCCCACTGGGGGGCTGGGGCTGGGAATGGCACTTGCTCCCCACTGGGGCCCGGTGGCCCAATCCTGGGAGGTGGGGTATGGGAGCAAGGGATGATGCTGAAGGCCACCCCCAACCTCGGGCCCGGCAGGGTGACCGAGCCCCGACAGAGGAGTGGGGAAGGCAGGTGGGTGGGAACGTGGGGCCCGGACAGAGCACAGAGGCAGGGCCGGCTGCCCCCCACCAGCCCTCATCCTCCTCTCGCACCCCTGCGCGCCACGTGCCGGGCATAGACGAGGCCACCATCCCACATGGTAGCCGTGCACCACGTGCACTTCTCAGAAGCAAAATGAATCAAAGTGAAATAAAACATACGATCTTTTCTGTTGCATTAGCCACGTTCTTCTGTCGCTCTGAAGCCACAGTGAGCGGCTACGGTCTGGGGGCAGTGCGGGTGTAGACGTACCCCTCCCTTTCTCCGCACAGAGCTCTCTGGGGAAAAGGACTTGGGCTCTTCTCCGAAGGATGCGGGAAGCCGCTGGGTGGTTTGGGGTCACGAGGACCCTGGCAGCTGCTGGCAGAGGGCCGGTTCGCAAATGCCGGTGTGGTCTCTTGTTAATAGGCAGCGACTTAAGACATAACGGACCCTTCCAGGGTTTTCCCAAGAGGGCTGAAGGGGTTCTGCCCTAATGGAAAGGGGCGTTTTCAAGCATCCAGCGTTAAATACGTTAAAATGACGGCCCCCGTCGCGGCTGCGTGGCTCACACCCAGCTCCGGGGAAGCCCTGGGCTGAGCGTTGAGCAAGGCTGGACCATCAGGATACCCCGGCCCTCAGCGGCTCTTGGGGCTGTCTCTGAAATAGATGGTAGGATTGGGGGCTCGCAGCGTTCTCCCCAGGTCCAGGCCCCTTAGAATTTCAGAATCGAGCCGCTGTTTCTGGGGAGTTTTCCTGTGGCCGTCAGACTATTTCTCTTCCAACACCCACGTAACAGACCGGACGCCAAAGCCCGAGGCCCAGGGCCCCTTAAACGCCTTTCCTCCCGCTCTTCCTCCCAAAGCTTTCCCCTTTCCTGGGAAGCCGCCTGCCTCTCCAGCAGGCCAGGCCAGGACGGCCCCTTCTCAGCCAGCGGGACCGGTTGGGCGCACCAGGCTGTGGTTACCATGCGAGTGGTGACCCCGTGAGGCACGTCCCGCGTGCAGCGTGTGTTGGTGGAGACACGTGCACACGCGTGTACCCGTGTCACGTGGGCAGGCCCCCCTGGGCACGCTCTCTGCGGGACCAGGCAGAGTCGTGAGCATTTGGATTCCGGGGGTTTGTGAGCTGGTCGAGGAGACGGTGACTGCTGCCACTTGGACCCTCCTCCACCTGCCCCTGCCCGCGCCAACCCCAGGATCCCTGAGCTCTCTGGGGGAGGGACTTGGGTGACAATCACTGTTGCCAAAAGGTGGCGTCCTTTGGAGCCCCCCGGAGCTGTGTGTTCCCCCAGAGCAGGGAGAGAAATCCCAGGCTACCCCCACCCTGTCTTCTGGCTTCTCCTCTACCCCAGCTCCCCGGAGGTTCCCGGGAACCAGTATGAAAACCAGGAGGAAGGAGATGCGGGGCTGCCTGGCTGGCTCAGTCAGTTAGGCGTCCGACTCTTGGTTTCGGCTCAGGTCCTGGTCTCAGGGTCGTGGGATCAAGCCCTGTGTGGGACTCCACACTCAGCAGGGAGTCTGCGCAAGGTTCTCTCTCCGCCTGCCCCCCGACCCCTGTGCACACGCTCGTTCACTCTCTCTCTCAAAGAAATAAGTACATCTTAAAAAAAAAAAAAAAAACACCAGGGGCCTGTTCCACCCATTTGAGGGCAGCAGCATAGTGGGACCTGGAGGTAAGATCATTACTCGCTGCTGGACGCCCATCATTCCACGGGTGGGACAGCGGAAGCCAAACACAGATGAGCCACTTGTCACCCCAGCTCCCGCCCTGCCCAGCGGTCGGCACGTCTGAGGTCCTCTGAGGGCCTTCCCTGCTCGGTCCTCCCAGGCTGGGACCTCTGATTCCATTCTGCTCTGACAGACAAGGGAACCGAGGCCCGATGGCAGGGGCTGGCAGGCAGCCAGCCCTGTCCCCTGCCCGGAGGACCCGTCATAGTCACAGACCCGCCTTCCATGTGTCGTCCCCTTCCTCCCCATGCAGAGCTGCCCTCCTCGGAGCACCTGAGTGTGGCGGACGCCACCTGGCTGGCCTTGAACGTGGTGTCGGGCGGGGGCAGCTTCTCCAGCTCGCAGCCCATCGGTGTCACCAAGATTGCCAAGTCGGTCATCGCCCCACTGGCAGACCAGAACATCTCCGTGTTCATGCTCTCCACCTACCAGACGGACTTCATCCTGGTGAGCCGGGGCCCCGCACCCTGGGGCCTTGGGTGGCATCATCTACAGGGTTCTGTGCCCCCCCCCCCCCGTTGCATGGTCAGCTCAGAGAGAGGTCAAGGGTACCTCGGGGTCATGGCTCAAGTGTCAACAGGCCCCGGGTGGGACTGCAGGGCTCCATTCAGCCCCATACACCAAGTGCTTGTTGCAGACCATGCTGGCTTGGACCCGGAGCCTGGGCTGTGAGGGCACACGAGGGTGGGGATGGCAAGAGTGTCTGCTCACAGGCCGCAGCGGTTCCAGACTCCCATCCCCCACGAGCATGGCGGGAGGGATGGAAGAAGCTGGTTCGGGTAACAAAATCTCAGAGTGAAGGGAGGTGCCCCCCCAGGGACCACGGGATACCAACATCCTTGACTCCCCGTCCGTAGGTGCGTGAACGGGACCTGCCCTTTGTCACTCACACCTTGTCATCAGAGTTCACCATCCTGCGGGTCGTCAACGGTGAGACGGTAGCTGCTGAGAACCTTGGCATCACCAATGGCTTCGTGAAGCCCAAGATGGGTGAGTTGAGGAGGCTCTGCCGGGGAGACCTCGAGAAGTCCCCAGGGCCTACCCTAGAGCAGCCCCGTTCTCAGAACATTCACAAAGCACCAAGTATAACACAGGGTCAGACCCTGCTCTCAAGGTCTAGCAAAGACGGGAAGGGGACACAGACGGCGATGTCCAGAGGCCACTCCTCACCCATCCAGGGTATCAAGATGGGCTTCCCAGAGGCAGCGACTCTCGAACTGAAGGTTGGAGCCTAAGTAGGAGCTCAGCCAAGTGGTAGAGGTTAGCAAGGGCATTCATTCCAGGCAGCCAGCGAGGCACGTGCAAAGGCCCAGGGGTCTGGCAGTGAGCCGGAGAATCAGGAGAGCCGTGAGTGAATGTACTGGAGGCTGGAGAAGGCACAGGGGCCAGGTCCCCCAGAGCAGCTGCCGGCTCACCCCACCTCTTGTCCTGGGCCCTCCTCCTGCCCCGTGCCACTCCTCCTCCCAACCTCAGCGCCCACTGTCTTTGCTCTCACAGTCCAGAGACCTGTCATCCACCCTCTGTCCAGCCCGAGCAACAGGTTCTGTGTCACCAGCCTGGACCCTGACACGCTGCCTGCGGTCGCCACACTTCTCATGGACGTCATGTTCTACTCCAATGGGTACGGCCCCCCCCTTGGACGGGAGAGGCTGCAGGGCAGGCCAGGGAGGCCAAGGGGTCACAGCTCTGCCTGGGAGCCCTGGTCTGAGTGGGGAGACACTGAGCTACCACCTGTCCTGGAAGCTGGTCTAGGGCAGGGGGTCACAACTGTACCCCAAAGCCATGCTCTGATTGAGGAGACATCCTTCCTCGGGAACCCCAAAGCATGGTGAAGCCCCAGGGGCACATGTCCACGGATTCCGTCCCCACTCACCATCCCCAGAGCTCCAGTGGCAAGCCCGGTCTGTAGGGGCGCCAGGAGCCCAGGGCTCTTCTGTTTGGCGGACATTAGGCTTTGTTGCCTTTTTTTCTCGGATTTTATTGGGCTGGGACCAGGGACCAGTGAGCTGGCAGGGACCACAGACTGTGTCCCGAGATGTGGGTCAGCACAGGGACAGAGAAACCCTGTCCAGGAAGGAGCGGGGGTGGTCTGCAGCGAGGGCCGGCTGGGTCTTGGGCTCCAGGAAGTATGGTGCTCGCCTCCGTGAACGCCACAGACTCGTCCGCCTCAGGTAGGGAGACCGAGGCTGGGGCCAGAGGTTCAGGGTCAGGATTGGGGCCAGGACTTGGCCCCAGCTCTTCCAGGCCGGTAGGCAGGCGAGCAGACCAGGTGGGGATCTGGGCATGGTCAGGGTCCACTGTCCCCCTCACCACCCCATCCCCCGGCCCCCAGAGTGAAGGACCCCATGGCTACCGGGGAGGACTGTGGCCACATCCGGTTCTTCTCCTTCTCCCTCATTGAGGGCTACATCTCCCTGGTGATGGACGTGCAGACCCAGCAGAGGTGAGTGGCGCTTCTTACTTACTGACCACAAGCAGCTCAGAGAGGTGATGGCCTGGGGTCCCTCGGCCTCCTCTCTGGGACTGGCCGTGGGGGAGGGGCAGTGTTCAGAAACACACTCCCAGCCCTGCCTTCCCGTTCCCCCCAGACGAGGGGGGCACTCAGGCAGGGCCTCGAGACCCCTCATCATCCCAAGGGTAGCCACCACTCCACCAAGGGACCGCGACCGACGTCAGCCTCTGGGGTTTCTCCCTTTCTCTCCTTGTTAAGGTTCCCTAGTAATCTGTTGTTCACGAGCGCGTCTGGAGAGCTCTGGAAGATGGTGCGGATCGGAGGACAGCCCCTGGGATTTGGTGAGCCCCGGGGGGTGCCGCACCAGCGGGCGGGGGGCCTAGCGTCTCCGCGCGCATTCCATCCGGGCTCACTCATCCTGCGGTGCAGCTGGGGGGACTGAGGCTGGGGGAGCCGGCGTCCGTGGCCCTTGACCGGCGAGTGACAGGAGGCACAGGGCTCCAGACAAGAGGGCGGGAGGAGCGCCTTCAGGCAAAGCAGTTGTACCTCTCCCGGCCTTGGAGAGCGCCTTCCTGCCATTTGTTAGCACGCCGGGGGCCAGAGACAAACAGAAAGGGAAGGGAGGCCCGGGAGGCTCAGGCAGCTAAGCTAACGACTCTTGATCTCAGCTCAGGTCCTGGTCTCAGGGTCATGAGTTCGGGCCCTGCTGCTGGGCTCTGTGCTGGGCGTGGAGTCTGCAGTGGAGAAGGGAAAATGTCACCTGTGAGTCCCAGCGGCTCCCAGGCCGCGGCCGTGGTTCAGATGAGGGTCCTTCACGTAAATAAATGCCATCGCAGTCAGACTCGGATACCCCAGCACTCACCCCGAAATACCTCGCCGTTCCTGTCCCGGAAGGAGCTGCTTCTCCGCAACGACGAGCTGACCCTACACAGGACCTCTGTCGAGAGTCCCTGAGAGTCTCGAGCCTCAGTTTCCACAGCTGCCCGAACAGCGCCGTTGGGGGCGAGTTCTGTCCACAAGCGTGTTCAGGGGGCCGTGGGGCTCAGGGTCCTCGGGGGTTAGCAGGCCTGCAGGGCACTGATTGGCCCGGGGCCGGTTGGAGGCCGCCAGCCCCACTGTCAGGGATGCACCGATCAGAAATGATTTCCTGCAGCTAGACCTATTAGACCCCAGAGCTGGAACCCAGGACAGGCTATCAGTTGTCTCTGGAAAACGTCGTCCACAGACCTGGGTGGGATCGGTGAACCCTGAGTTCCCACAGACAGAGGGAAGGACCTTCCCGACGAAGCCCAGACTGCTCCAGGGGCCATCACGTCGGCCCTCGGACGCCCGTTCCTAGGACAGGAGACAGAGGTGGCAGCGTATGTTGACCTGGGGACGGGGGGGCGGTGAGGGAGCCAGGTTCTGCCTCCCGCCTCACCTGCCCGTGGACGCGCTTGCAGGTGATGGTCACTAGCAGGACAGGACGGGTCCCCCTGACTCTGCTCGCGTCAAGGCCAAAGCCAGAGCCGTCCTGGGGGCAGAACAGCAGGCCGCTCTGTGGAGTGCGAGGAAGTGTACACTGAAGGCTCCTGGCCCAACCCTGGCGACCAGTCTGCCTCTCGGCGTGGGGGTAGGGGCCTCCTTTGCCACAGACCCTAACATTTCTCCCGCCCACCCTGGCTGCCCAGTGCTGGGTCGTGGGGATTGAGCCCTGGAACAACTCCTCATCAAGGAGGTTGTTAGAAACAAGCATGGCCACAGGCAGGTTCCCTAATACGCCATCCTAATGAGGATGGTGGATCCCTCCCCTGGGTGGGGAGCACCCGTGCGTGTCTGTTGTACCGGGTGCTCTGCTGTCAGCGTCACATGTAAGGTCCAAGTGGCCCAGGAGAAGGCTCCCCAGAGAAGGTGACCGGGGGTGGGGGGGCTTTGGGGGGAAGGGGAGGTAGGACGCAGCAGCACCTGTCTGCGGGACCCACATGGCTCCAGGTGGCCGTGCCCGGGGAGCAGGCTCCAAAGGTAGGCAGGGTAGAAGAACCCAGCCAGGTCAGCACAGGCAGAGGGACGGAGTCCTGATGCCGGACCGAGAGGTCTGCCGCCATGTCTTCCTGTAGGCAGTGGGGAGCAGCTGAGCTCCCGCAGGCCGGGGAGCAGCCGGGGGGCGACCAGGAGCCCGAGTCCTTCAGAGGACTGCCTGTAAGACAGTCACGGAACGCGATGACGTGTCCAGATGTGTTGCCGGTGGTGCTGGCCTCCCGGCCGACCGCTAAAACTGCCCTCGCAGGGCGGCGCGGGGTCTGAGCCACCCTGACAGCCGGCAAGACCCTGGCAGGGAAGCAGCTCGCCGAGAATCTGAAGGGTTCCAGACCGGCAGGTTCCGCGTGCTTGTGAGCGTGCTTTGGGGTAAATGCAGCCCCCCCCCCAAACCCAACATGCCTGGTGCACGTGGCTCCGTCCTCGCCCCGGCTCTGTGCTGCGCGCGCCCTCGGGGCTTCCCTTTGGCCATCCCTGTCGTTCTGCAAAGTGCGGGTCACCGGCCTTCCAAACTGACGTGACACGGGGGTTCCAAACCCGCAGTCGGGAAAGCATCGTTCTCGACTCCCGTCTCCAACCTCCATTTCTGTCGGAGTAGTTGTGTCCATAGCAAAAGGATTTGGGGAGACTGCACGTCCCCACCACACGGTGGCACAGACAGTCACCAGATGCCGGGCTCGCCCAGCCACCAAGGGCCTGTGTGTCCAGCCGGGAGCCCCGGCAGACCGAGCAGAAAGCAGGAGCCCAGAGTCACCGCACAGGTCCAGGGCTGGGCCAGGGAGTGAAGGAGCAGAGGGGAGGCTGGAAGGGATGGCAGTGGGGTGTCATAGGTGTGGAGCCCGGGTCGGTTCCCTGACTCCAGCCTCAGAACCGCGCAGAGGGCTGGTGACCCGATCTGGACTCTCCCACCCAGTTGGGAAAAGGCATCGTCGTCAAAATCGGAATAATGGATTTGGGGGAAACCACGTGAAAGCTTGGAAGGGGCTGTGTTGGTGGCAGAGTGGTCCTCAGACCCTGGAGGTCTTCCTGGAGGAGGAAGCTTTGAGTGGTGCCTTCAAATCAGGCAGGGAGCCGGGGGGTGAGGAGGGGATACACCCCCGCTTTGGAGGTCTAGAGGGAGGTAGAAGCCCCATTCCCAGTGGGGACTCTGGGGAGGAACCCCGTGCTCGCAAAGAGGAAGTGACTTGACCATGGTCTTCTGGCTAGGAAAAGAGAGGGCGACAGGAAAGGGGGCCTGAACCCACGTCCTCCCTTCGGCCACACCGCGTCTTGCTCTGTCGCGGAGAACTCGCGAGGTGGTAGGGACCGGGAGCAGGGGAGCAGAGAGCTCAGCTCTGTGGAGCCCTGCGGACGAGAGCTCGTTACGGGGGCGGGGTGGGGGGTCAGAGAAGGCTGCTGGGTGTGGGGGCCAGAGCACCAGGGAATCCTGGCGTGGCATCAGGGAACCCGCGTGGCAGGCGGCCAGGGCCGGAGGGAGGCTGGCTGAGCGTCATCCCCGCCTCTGTCCCCAGATGAATGTGGCATCGTGGCGCAGATCTCCGAGCCCCTGGCCGCCGCAGACATCCCCGCCTACTACATCAGTACCTTCAAGTTCGACCACGCGCTGGTGAGTGTCCCGCACTGGCCCCCGGGCAGGGGACGCCAGTGCCGGGCTCACGGCTCTCGCCTCCCCTGCCCCCTCGCAGGTGCCGGAGGAGAACATCAGTGCCGTCATCAGCGCCCTGAAAGTCAGCCAAGCAGAGAAGCACTAGGGGGGACCTCCTCCCTCCTCCCTGTCCGCCCCCCAGGCCTGGGCCCAGCCCCCACCCTGAAGATTCTTCTTGCAGTATTTCTCAGACTGGAAAATCGGCCCCAGGGGCCCCCAAGAAGGGGCCTCTGGGAGACGCCCCCAATCGCTTCCCCTGCCAGGCCTGGGGCGCCCAAGCCAAGGCCTCCCCATGCCCTTCCTGGAGCCCCCAGACCCTCCAGAGAGCCCCTAGTCTCCTCCTCCCCCCGACTCCTCCTCCAGAAAATGACGTCCGAGGCCCTGGGAGCTTGGGAGCCCACCCACCTTCCCACCTGGCCTCGCCCACAGCGGGGGGGCGGATGCTGAAGGAAGCAGGGCCCTCCTACGAGATGGGGTTCTGGTTCTCATGTCATCTTGGGGAGCTGGCCGAGCGGGGCTGAGTTCATGGAGCCCAGGGAGGCCCCCGTGAGGACCTGGGGCTGGATGTTGTGGTCGCTGGTCTCTGGTTCCATCAGCTCCGGGCTGGTTCCCGCAGAGTGGAGGCCAGTGGGCGGCCCCTGGGTCGCGTGCTGGGGCAGCTCGGACAAACCTGGGTGGGCCCCGAGCTGGGGAGGACCCGCGCCGCCCAGAATCTCGCCTGCCATGCACAGGGCCTGTGCCCCGACTCCCAGCAAGACTGCCAAGGGGGCCCTGTCCAGACCCTCCCCACCGTAAGCACTCGCTCCTGGGGGCGGTTCCCGGGAGACCCACCAGCCTGGGGCATGAGCACCTGTCCCCTCTTGCTTTCCCTGGACCCTACCTGGGCAGGCAGAGCCTTGGTTTCCCCCAAGTGGGGGCATCCCCAGCATTCTGGACCTGGGGTTTCTTGGGTCACCCCCACTCCCCAGCAGTTGACTAGACCAGCACAGGCCTCCCCTGATATCCTGCCCCCTCCCCCGCCCCACTTTTGGGGGATGTGGAAGGCCCCTGCCCCCAACTCACCTGCCTGCCCACCCCTCAGCTGGGGACTGTGGCACTCATGAGTACTTGACCTGGGGGGGCAGCTTATCTGAGCCTTAATAGAGAAAACTGTACCGTACGTTTTAGTTTCTTATTTAATATATTTGCGCCCAGGCTGTGGTTAGCGGCAGTTTTCGGGGGATGGGGCCTACTGAGTTCTGTCGGGGGGCCCAGGGGCTCAGTATCATTCGGCTGGTGCCCTGCGGCTCCCAGGACAAGCAGGAGAATCGGGGGGTGTCCCAGGAGTGTGGGCCCTCTCTTTGGAGCAGGAAGTGGGCCACAGAGGTCTGTTGCAAGGCAAGGGTCCCCCCAGGCCTCGCCCACAGCGGGGGGCAGCCCCACTGACGGGCACCCAGGGAGCCGTGGTCTGTGTGAACATCAGAGGGGACCCAGAGGCCACGGGGCGGTGGGCAGCCAGGTGGCAGGCCAGCTGAGGAGGTCTTGTACCCCTGGGAGGCTGACCAGGGAGCATGGGTTGAGCCTCCCCTTCAGCCGGGGGTGCTTCCCGAGCGGGCTGGACCAGAGGCTCCCTTGAGGCCCCTGTCCTCCCTGGTGTTCTCTCTCAGGCAGCGTGGCTGACTGCGCCGTTCCCGAGAAGCTCAGAGGAGAAAGGACGTTCCCTTAGGCGAAGGGCTTATGCGAGCCCCAGTCCCCCCTTCTCCCAGCGTGAAGAAGACCCTCTGAGCCCCAGCAGCCCACCACGGAAGAGCCGTGGGTCTGGATCCTTGAAGATGCTCAGGGCCCAAGCACTGATTAGGAACCCTCTCCTTTTTTTTTTTTTTAAAGTTAATTCATTTTGCACAAAACTCGAAAACAACCAAAACGTGTCCACTGTTTGCTGGCTCCAAACCGGGGCGGTGGCCGAGTGGGCAGGGAGAGACCCGAAGCCCCGAGCCCCCTTTCTCTCTCCTTGGAAGGCCTCGGTTTTCCGTGGCCCGCCCTTCCAGCCGCCCCTGTCGGGTCTCCCGATGGAGTCCGCTCTCCGCCGTCCCTCCCTGCCCAGCAAGTGTGTCGGCACCGCGACCCCAGAAGCGTGTGCTGTCCAGACCCCCCCGAGAACGTATCGATTGTACACACCTATAAATACTTGTGTTTTATGTCGATATAGATATATACTGTAAATAGCACATATACTTGAGCAATATATGTTAATATATGCTGTGGGCACGCACACGCATGTGTGCACGGTGTGCGGACGCAGACCCCACCGTGTGCGCGCGTGTGCGGGCGCCGGGGCCTCCGCCCGCCGTGTCCCCGACGCACACGGGCACGTTTCGAGCCACCGTGTGTTTTTCAGTCAAGTTACGCAGGCAATACGTTCGCGGAGAAGCCGGGGCTTGAGAGCAAAACCAAACCAGCAGCCCAAGAGCGGAGCCCCCGGGGCCCGCCCCCCCTGTCCCCCCCGAAAGCTGGATCCAGTGCCATCCTGCACCCCCATTTCCACGGCCAGGGTTTGGTCTGGGGGACACTGGTACGGAGGGAGGAGAAAGGCCGTCTTCCCATCGCCCTGAGCCTGAAGACCTGGGCGGGGAGGGAGCTTCCGCCCCAGCTCTCCACCCGGGGTCCCCCCCGCCCCAACGTGGCTGTGTCTGCGTCGTTTTCACCCACAAGGTCAGATACCTCAGGTTCTTCTCCCAGGCCTCCTCCTGCAGACTAGCCCCGTCTAGCCAGGAAAAGGACCGATGCCGTTGACCTTGTGCCCAGGAGGGGCTGGCGAGGCCTGGGCAGGAGCAGCCACCCGGACCTTCCCCTTCCCCAGTCTCCCTTCCCGCTGTCTGCGTGCCCGTGAGGAGCACAGTCACAGGGACTTGGTCTCCACAGTTCGGGGGGAAGAATGCCCCCAGTTTGCTGCATTGTGGGGGGTCTTCAGACCCGCGGGGCCAACGCTGTCTTGGCTCTGGGTGGCGGGCACGTGGCAGGGGCAGGGAGATGGGGCTCCTGAGCAAGGCTGTGGAGAGGTAGGGGTGGGTTCTGGGTGTGTGTGGCTTTGCCTCTGTGTCCCATGCCAGCCGATGGCCACCCCTGCCCATCGCCTGCTCCATCCCTGCGCACTACAGAGAGGAGGTAGGGAGAGGGGGAGGCGTGACCACCCCCTTCTCTCAACCCCAGTTATAAAAATCTGTCTCCGAGGTTCATCCCTCAGCATGGGCTCCTCCGGTTCCCAAGAAAGCCCTTCCTCCCTCTGCCCCCGGGGCAGAGGTGGGCGGGGCCAGCCCTGCACCTTCTTTGGGGTGGGGGAGGGTCTCCAAAGCCCAGAGCACACATCCAAGCTAGAGAGGCGTGCGGACTTCCCCACCGCGGGATCCAGGGCGTCCCGAGTCTCCCAACCACCAGCATTCTCCCCATTCCACCAACTGCAGGCCACGGGCCTCTGGTGGGACCCAGAGCCGCCAGCCGTGGCCCCCCCCCATTGGGCAGCATGGCCTTGGTGACCCGTGCCGGGTCCGGAAGAAGATGCGTGGTCTGGCGAGGCTTGTCCCCTGTGAGGTGATGGAGGACGGCCTGGAGGTCAGGAGAGAAGGTTCTGGTTTGATGGGTAGGGTGAGGCCCCTGTCCCAAGCCAAGGAGCCTGGTAGTCAAAGATGAATCCGCCCCCGCCCCCACCAGCCCCTCCTGGCCTCTTTTCTCAGGCTGACCATTAGGGGTCCCTGGACCACCTTTCCGGGCCTCTGGATCTGGAAGTGGGGACAACTTGGGCCCTTCCCAGGCGGGGCTAAGAGGGACCTCAAGGATCTCCCAGGAGACAGCAGAGTGCTCCTGTGCTCTGTGACCGAGTTTCTGATGCCACTTCCTGAGTGAACCCCAGGGAAGCGGGGTAGGAAGAAATCCCCCAGTAGATCTGGGTCCCCTGTAAGCGGGGAGAGGGGACCCACCGGTCGTGGCGGTCACAGCCGCTGGGAAATGGAGCAGGCGGTTGGCTTGGTGAGCAGAGCTTGAGGGGGGGAGGGTAATGGAGTCTCCCCGCACCTCACACCCCCAAAGACGGGAGCTTTGGCTTTTCGGGTTTTCCCAGATGCCGTGCTGGGAGAGGGCTCGGCCCAGAGCGGGCAGTAGCCTCCCTTGAAAGAGGCTGTGAGGCCCTCAGCCAACCAAGATGGCCCCCAGGGAGGGGGTCCTGGGGCGAGAGGCCCGGTGGTCTGAGGACAGCTGAGCCCCACTCCCCACTCTAGATAGCCTTCCCTGCATCCCAGGCTCGTTTTCTTCCTTTCATTTTCAAATTAGAGGCTTTTCAAATTAGAGTCTCTCCTGCTCTTTCCTTAAGCCCTGGGAGGAAGCCACAGGGCGCCTTCAGCTTTGACTCCCAGGAAGCCTGCTCCGTGGAGAAGGCCAAGGCCAGGCAGGCGCTGTCAGCCGAGCCACCAGGAGTGGCCCCGGGACAGCGGGGGAGGCCTGCAGCCTGGCCCTATGGCCTCCGGGGCAGGAGGCAGTTTGAGGCTCTCAGTTCAAGGCAGGACAAGGCCAGGAGCCCGGACAGTGTCGTGTGCTGGGCCCCGCGTGCGCGGTGTCCCGCCTGCGAGTGTGTGAGCACCCCCGGGCCCACCCAGATCCCGGCAAGGGGCCTCTCCCGGTCCGTATTTTGCAGCCTCGGGAGCCTTGTCCCCATGGGCCGCTCGGAGTGGGGTTGGCAGTGTGTGGGTGGCAGGCCTCGCCCGCAGGGCTGCCCCCAACTCCCTCGACTTCATTAAGCTGCTTGGAGGGGGTGGGGCGTGTCCCCCGCAGACAGCACTCGCCAGGAGAGGCTTCGGGTGCCGGCGCCCCTCACCTGTGGGGGCCCCTCAGGGTCCCAGGACAAGGAGCGCAGTTGGTGGAGGAGGAGAAACAGGCCAAACTCGGGTCCCAAGAGAGAGGTCAAGCCCAGTGCATTTTCCAGTCCTCTGCCTCAGTTTACCTCCCCAGAAAACCGTCCAGGAAGAACTGAGCAGGGCTGGCTCCCCAACGGGGGTGGGGTGTGGGGGGGACTGACAACAGAATCCCAAGTCCTCTTGCTCTATGCCAAAATTATTTCCGTTATCCTGAGACGGGGGTGAGCGGATGGTGGGTGCGTGACGGGGCTCTGAGGGGCCTCCGCCCCGCCCAGGGCCTCGCCTCGGGGATCTGGCCCTCACCTGGCATGTCCCGGGTCACCAGCAGCCGTAGCAGGGGCGCTTAGATCTGTCCCAAGTTCTGGGGCGAGGGGGAGCACGGGGCCACCCAACGCCCCAGGGCCCTCACGCTTTTACCCTCTTTGTCGAAGACACACAAAACCCTTGAGATTCATGTACTGTATGACGGAGAGAAAAAAAAAAAGTACCTAATGTTCCCCCCAAAAAAGACAGTATATTTTGTACTTTGTAAAGTGTTAATTAAAATGGAGACAAAAATGGATGTTGGCTGACCACTGTCTGATTTGGGGGCCACCCGGGTCCGCATCTGCGGTCTTCCCTTTCTCTGAGCCGCGGCTGGACGGGCTGGTGGCGGGGAGCACAGCCGGGGTGGGAGGGGGTCGCCGGGAGGAGGGAGAGCAAGTCTTCCAGCCCCACAGCCAGAGTCTGAGAGGAGAGACACCTGCCCAGAGCGAGGGGGGCTGTCATTGCTGCCCGGTGCCGTGTAACAAGCAGCCCCCAGACCTCACAGCTTCACAAAGGACTGGGTGCGCGCGTGTGTGTGTGTGTGCACGCGCGCGGGTCGTGGCGTGCGTGGGCTCGGGATGGGGGAGCAGCTGCAGCCGTTCTGGCTCAGAGCCGCTCAGTCACCTGAAGTCTCGGCTGAGACCAAAGGGTCTGCTTCCGGAGGTGGTTTAGTCACAGCTGGTGGGCTGGGGCTCCCCGCGGGGTGGAGTTCACTCGCAGTAGGGAGCCTGGCTTCCCCCAGAGCCCGGGGACACGAGGGCCAGGGTAGAAGCCCAGACGGTTTGGAGTTCCCACGCCTCGGAATTCCCACAGACCACCCACCACCCCAGTCTGTGGTCATAAAGCCCGGCTCTGGTTTGACCCGGGAGAGACCACTCAAGGTCAGGGTCTCGGGGGACCGTCTTGGAGACCGTTGACTCCACCCACCACTCCTCCCCAGGCCTCTGGCAGAGGTGCGCCTGGGGGTCGGGGGGCCTGTGGGGCAGGACAGAGCTCCTTCCCCAAGCCTGGAGCCCTGCTGTGGACAAAACACACAGACACACACAGGGCCTGGGGGTCGGGGACACACACACACACACCCCACCCCCTCGCCCCCAACACTGCCTGGTTCTGGAAGGGTCGGTCCTGGGGGTTGGGGACACACACACCCACACGCACACACGTACGTTCTAGAAGCCCAGGCACAGATACCTCCACACAGGACACCCTGGAGGCAGAAGGGAGGGCACCTGCCCAGCATCCCTCCCACAGGACTCTGGCATCTGGCTCCTTGCCCTCTTGGCAGGTGGGCGTTACGGCTACCCCAGCAGGAAAGAGGCCCTGGACCTCGCTGGTATTTTCCACGGAAGGAAGGCAGGTGTGAGCAGGGCAGGGCTGAAGACCCGTGTCCCCATTTAGGCCCACCCCATCTCAGCCCTGCCACCCTGAGCCCCAGGAAGCTCTGCTGCTGTGAGGGATTTTCCCTCTGGGGTCTGCGGACCGAGCACCCTCTCAGGCCGTCAGAGGACACCCGGGAGCCGGGACATCGTGGGGACTCAGGTGGCCGCCGCAGGGAGGGTCAGGGGTGAGGGGACAGAAGCAGAGACACCAGGGAAGACAACTGTGGAGAGGGTCTGGCGTGTGCCAGGCGCACTCCAGCCAGCCAGGCAGATGGAGCCCGACTGCGAGAACCTGAGTCATAAGACACATCCAAGACCGTCCCTTTCAGTGCCCTGGTTGCTGTGTCCCAACACGGAGGTAGTGGCGGGGCCTGAACCTTGGGTGGGAGGCTTGAAACCACTCCAACCTTCAACAGAAACCCTGCCCAGTACCATCACGTCCTGGCCCCGAACACCAGGCTGGTGGGACGCAGGAGGCATGACCTTGACCTTCGGGGCACGTGCCCTCCCTAAATCGGCAGGTGCTCTAAGATTGCATGGGGACGGATTTCTGTTCTCCACCGCCGGGGTGACGGTACACGGCCCCGCCAGGAGTTTCGGGAAGGAAAACGACAAGTCATTTACTCTCTCAAGTTTACGTAAGATCTTTCGTGGCAAGTGAAGGAGCTGGTTCTCCACGGAGAAATGGAGGTAACGTGAGCCCAGGAGATGGTCCCAGGGCTGCTCCCCCAGACACAAAGTCCATGGAACCTGGCTAGGTCCTATGGCCTCAGCTCACAGCAAGGACTACTCAGTGACTGTTTCATTTTTTTTTTTTTTAAGATTTTTATTTAGAGAGCGAGCATGAGCAGGGGGAGGGGCAGAGGGAGAGAATCCCAAGCAGGCTCATGCCGCCCAGCGTGGAGCCCAACAAGGGGCTTGATCCCACAACCCCAAGGTCATGACCTGAGCCGAAATCAAGAGTCAGATGTTCAACGGACTGAGCCACCCAGACGCCCCCTAAAAATTGTATTTTTAAGTCATCTGTACACCCAATATGGGTCTCGAACCCAAACCCCGAGCTCCACGGAGCAAGCCAGCCAGCCGCCCCGACCGTTCCCCTTCCTGCAAAGCCCCTGCACGGCCAGCCCCATTCCCCGGCTCTGCTGGTCTCCACGGCCCACGTAAGCAAGCCCCATACACTCCATTTGGCTTGTCGCTGTGTTTCGCCTCCCAGAACGTAAGCTCCATGGGACCTGCTTCCGGGGGCGTCGTCCCCGAGTGGTCCAGTGTGACCGACAGTAGCTGCCCCGCCGGGGACAGAGTATCTGTTGAAGGAATGAGTCAGAGGAAGGGGGTGCAGCCACGGGGCGAGACCCCGGGGGGTGACCCGGTTGTCGTTTTCTCCCAGCGAAACCGTGGGGAGGAGACTGTGCAGACACACCGTTTTCAGGCAGGACTGTCTTCTGAAGTATTTGTCACTGGCTTCTAGTTTGTCTCTTTAACAAAAGCCTTGTTTTTGTGAGCAAATCTCTAAATGATCAAGTAAGATAAAAAAAAAAAAAAAAAAAAAAAAAAATTCTTCAGTGCTCAAAAATAAAAAGGCAGAAAGTAGACTTTATTCCAAAAGAGATTTTCCAAAGGTGTTTTTAAACGAAAGGCCAAGTTGATGTTACGACCTCAACTGTTTTCCACGATTTCTGGATCTCTCCTCCGGGGCTGGCCCTCCAGCCACGCTTCTGAAAGCAGGGGTGTTTGGTGCACAAGAACCTGGCCTTGCTCTAACTTCTCCAAGCTTCTCAGCCCGGCTCCCGCCATCAGGCGGGGACTCGCCCTGACGCCCACACGCCCACCACGAGCTCTGCTGGGGTCCGAGGCTTACGGAACCCCTCCCGGCCACTAGACCGTCAGGCAACCTTCAAGCGCAAACAGAACGGCATGGCGTAGAGCTAAGCTTCCCCCAGACCAGCTGCTCGGGTCAGATGAGACACAGCCCGGGGCCCCTCTCGCTGGTGCTTGGCCGGATGAGGACAGCCATCCGTGGTGATGCAGGGGGTCCCACCCTCGGCCAGAGAGGGGCCTGAGTCCCGGGACTTCCAGTACATTCTTGCTAAGGGCACTGGCAGAGAGCGTCACGCGTCACAAGGGGTCTGGGTCCTCTCTGACCCCCGGCAACAGCCCCACTGGGGTCTCTGCCAAGCAGTCCAAGGGGTTCTGAGGCCAGGTTCCAGGGTCGAGCTTCAGATGAAGGACTTGGCCAGAGTCACCATGTGGTCCACACCGCATGCCACATCCACGGGCTCCCCAGGCATGGTCACCTGCAAAACAAGACCCAGCACAGCGTGAGGGGACGTGGTTCGGAAGCTGCCCATCCTGGGCCTGAGCCCGGCTCTGCCTCTTGGTGACTTGACCCACCCGAGCCCAGCAGGGCAGTTCCGACGACCGTGCAGTCATCCCGGCGTCCCACGCAGCCAACGGCAGACGTGACTGTTCCTAGCCGCCCGTCGCAGAGGCTACCAGAACCCGCAGCTCCCACAGAGGCTACTCAGCCCTGCGGTCAACACCTGTTCCCAAGTCAGGGGCTCGGTGACCTTTCCTGGGGGTCGCCCCCATGGCTCCTGGAGCTCAAGAAGCCCCAGCTCCCGACGCCGGGGTCCACTCTGGGAAGGAGGCCCCCGGCCGGCATCTGCGGCTGCGCACGCCGTCAGCCTCAGCCCCCGGCCGGCTGTTTCCTGCACGACGTGCATCCTCGACAAGGAAGGTCTCCCGTGTCGCAGAGGGGGCCACGGGCCCTGCGGGCCACCCTGCAGCAGCGCCGGCCCATGCGGACGGCATGGCCGTCTATCATTATCGTTTTTTTCAATAGGTAAGACCCTCTCCTGGGCACATTATAAAATGACATTCAGTGAAAAAGAATTAAAAAGATATGAAATCCCTTTTTTTTTTCTTATTTTATTTTTAACTAGTCTCTATACCCGCTGTGGGGCTCGAACTCACAGCCCCGAGATCAAGAGTCACACGTTCCGCCCACTGAGCCGCCCGGGCGCCCTGGTATTAAGTACCTTTTAACCGCCCCCTGCCGGCATCTGTCCCTTTTTTCCCACCTTCCCTCTGAACCGGAAACCCCTTCCCGCTGGCTTCCGCAGCCCCCGCAGAGGTTCCTGACACAATCACAGCACGTGTGGGACATGGTGATTTTCAAGAACGGCTTGCAGGTCCGTGCTCACGCCCTGCTGAGTGCTCGGACCCACGCAGGACGCCGAGGCTGCAGTGGTGTCCACGCAGATCCGAATTCAGCCACCCGCCCCGGTGGCCGTGCTCTGCCAGGCAGCCTGACAGCCGGGACGGGGATCTGTCGCAGCCTGTGGAGTTTACTGAGCACAAGACCGGGGAACGGCCTCAGCCAGAGGGCCTGGCCTGAGCACCCGGGGGCAGCAGCAGGGACCCGAGCCGGGTGCCTGCGCGCGAGGACACAAGTCCATTAAGGGCTCCATGCCACCAGGCGCGCGCCGCCTGCTCCTCTCCCCCAAAGAAAGGCATTTAGTGACGCCTACAACAGAGGTCACTAAACAAATCAGCAGCAGCGCCCCAGTCCGCGGGTTCATCACTGAGGCGTGGGGGCACGGAACACGTCCCAGTCTGGCCGTGGGAAGGAGAAATGTGCCACCTACGTGATGACTGGCCCAGGTGACCTCCTAGCAACCTCCCTGGGCATCACCGACCCTTCCCGGGGGGACCACGCCCTCGGCGCACCCGCCCCCACACTGCTGACCTCAGCACCCCCGTCCTCGGCCCCAAGCGCTCTGGCCGCGAGACCCCCAGCAGAGGAACCCCCTGGCCCCGACTGGCTGGCCTCTGTGGCCCCGCGGTCCCCCCTCCCCCGGGCGCGAGGGCTCTCGGTCTCTGACGATCTCTGAACGGAGTCCAAGACGACACTGCCCTCGGCCACACGGGCGCTGTGTCCTCCTCCCGTGAAACGCAGTGTGTCTTCTAAACCCAGCTGCGCTCGCTGCATTCTTGCAAAGGGAAACCCGGTTCTGAAACCCGCACCACACCCGGCCTGAAGGGCTCTTCACAGGCTCCCGCAAGTCTGAGCGCTGTCAGAGCAGGACAGTCCGTCTTCACCACGAGTTCTCAGCCGGCCCTGGAGGAAGGCGGGGGGCGGGCTGGGCAGGAGCCCTGAACGGCGGCTCTGGCTGCTCCCCGACCCGACTGCACTCCTTCGCGGCCCCCACACGTCCACCCACCCAAGACCTCCCGCCCGGGGCCCGGGGCCACGTGGGAAGAGGCCTGGCAGCCAGAGGGGTGGCCAGCCTGCACGCGCCCCAAGCCCACCCGGGCCGACCCGAGGGCGCACGGCAAGGGGCAGCAGGGTCTGCATGCAGAGCCCCCGGTTCCCACCGTGGGGCAGCCCCTTGGATTCCTGACGTCAGCGACCACAGGGGCCAGCTGGGGGCGGGGATCGGGGCCCTCACAGGCTGTCCTGGGGAGGGCACGAAAGCAAGGCGCCCTCAGACAGGCAAAGATGTTTGGGCACTTCTGGGTGGTGACAGGGCGGGGGAAGGCCACTCCAGCTCTTGCCCTGGTGGCCTGATCCCGCAGTGCCGCAGGGAGGCTGGAGGGGGCCCCACAGAGACTTGGGGGCATGTCCCCGCCTCCCCCCAGCCACCGTCCGGCCAGCTCCGGGGCCCTCGCACAGCCTGGAACTCAGGCACCAGGGAAGGGTCAAAAAGTCAGACACACCAGAGTCTGACCTTGGGCCCCGCCTCTTACTGGATGAGTGGCCTTGAAGAGCTCCCTGACCGGCTCTGAGTGTCAGTGTCCGGCTCGACAACCTCCAGGAAAGCTTCTGGAAAGAGAGGTTGGAGTCGGGGGTGGGGGCGCGGGTGGCCCTCCCTGAGCCTGCAGAGGGTCAGGGCAGCCGGGCTCTGAGAGTCTGCAAAGAACCAGTCAGTGCTGCTGCAGGAGCTACAGACAGGGCTTTCCTCTTTTCTCTCCCCTTCCTGGAATATTTTAAAGTGACACAACGGTTCCCCCACCGAAGATTAGTAAGAAAATACAAATTTTTTAAAAATAAAAATCACAGGGCGCGTGGGTGGCTCAGTCAGTGAAGCCTCTGCCTTCGGCTCAGGTCGTGACCCCAGTGTCCTGGGATCGAGCCCCAAGTCGAGGGGGGGGGGTCCTCACTCAGTGGGGAGCCTGCCTCTCCCTGTCCCCCTCCACCCACCACGCCTATGCTCTCTCTTGTTACGTCTCTCTCTCTCTCTCAAATAAATAAAATCTTTAAAAATAAATAAAATTAAAATTAAAATCACGTGTCATTAAAAACAACAACAACAACAACAACAACAGAAAGAAAGTGCAAGAGAACAGGCTGGAAATAAGACCCCACTACCCGGCACGAGACGAGTCTGATCTTTAAGGACTCCAACCCCGTGGATCCCAAACCCAGTTCCTGCCACCGCCGTTGCCCAGAGCCCGGGCTGGCAGCTCTGGGCCCGGGGAGCACGGCGAGGGCCAGGCCCTCAGCACCATGCCCGGAGGCACTCGGGGCCACCTGCCACGCACCCGCAGGCAGGGCTCCACCAAAGTGCCAGGGGGAGGGCAGTGGTTTGACAGGAAAGCAGCTGTTGGGGGGCAGCCTGGGGTGTCCCTCCCTGACAGCAGGGGTGCAGGGAGCAACGTTCCCAGAGGCCACCTGGTGGAGGAGTCCGTGGAGGGGGGCTCTGGCCTGAACAGCAAGTGTGGCCTTGGCACCTGGGCGCTTCCCGCCCCTCAGCGGGCACCACCCCCGGCCATTTCAACAGGACAGTGCCAAGATTCCAAATCTTAATGCCTGATCTCCACTGTAATCTGGGGGGAAGGCAGGCAGGAGGGAGCCCCCCACACCCGGCACAGCGGTACGCGTCCAAACCCCAGCCACTCGGCCGCTACCCCCCGGCGAGAAGTGAGGATCTGCCACGAAAGCCAGTGGGACCTCCACGTCACGGGCATTCGTGTCACCTGTCCTAACCCCCACTGTCCACCAAGCAACGGTCCATTCCTCACCCACAAGGGGATCCCAGGCTCGGGGACGAGCGAGGCGGCCTCGGCCAGACTGCGCCCCACTCCGGCACACAACCATTCTTTCTAGCGAACAGAAAGCCCCTGTTCTGACCTGGTTTCCTAGAGGCGGCACCTCTAGTCTTTATAAAGGGGGCAGGGCCTGCCGAGGTCACCGAGAACCAGGACAGCCTGCAGCCAAGGGAAACAGCCCCCCCAGAGACTGAGGTGCCTGGAAACGTCTTGCAGAGGGTTTTGGACAAATCCTGATTTTATTTAAGTTATACACCGCTTCCGCCTTTTCATCTGAGGTTTTAAAAAGTGCTCTGCGCTATTTCAAAACACGTCATTAAAACCAGCCTTCAAAGAGCCTTGAGCACGTACACACACGCGTGCACGCACATCTCAACGCAGAGACTGTCTGGAAGGAAACCCAAGAAACCAGTACCAGCGGCCTCTGGGACAAGAGATGGGAGACTCGTTTTTTATAATACCGCTGGTACCACGTGGGTACATACGGTCTGTATGCAAAAATACGAACCGCTTTTTTTGCCTAGGAGAGCTTAGTAAACAACACTGAGATAAGCTACAATTTAGAAAAGAACCTTTTTCCCCTTTAATTTTGCAATGAGCCTTTTCTTTTCTTTTTCTTTTTTTTTAAGATTTTATTTATTTATTTGACAGACAGAGATCACAAGTAGGCAGAGAGGCAGGCAGAGAGGGAGGGAAAGCAAGCTCCCCGTGGAGCAGAGAGCCCGATGCGGGGCTTGACCTCAGGACCCTGGGATCATGACCTGAGCCGAAGGCAGAGGCTTAACCCACTGAGCCACCCAGGCGCCCCGTAATAAGCCTTTTTTGTATAATTGCATCCTCCCCCTAAGGAGAGCTTTCATTTTTTTACTTTGGTGGCTGTGGTAAGGCCCTATGAATATTAAACATCTTTTCTTTCCAATTCGCTGTAAAACTTCCCTCCGCACAGGCTGTAAACAGGTCCCAGCACAGCAGCTTCGACGTTTCCAATCTCTCCCTCTCAGGGACCCCAGGGTGCCCGGCCTGCATGTGGCCTTCTCCTTGCGGAGGCACTGGCGTGCCTCTGTTTCCCTGCTCCACCTGCCCACAGACAGCCTCCGGACGAGGGACTGGAACCCTCGGCCCGCCCGCTCCCCTCTCCGGCAGGCCGCTCACCCAGCAGGCCACGGGACAGAGCTGAGGGCATGAGCCCAGCGAGCTAGGCGCCCTCCCTGGCTCCTCACCACGATGGGGCCTCCCTTGGAGCCGCGGGGCAGGAGGGGACAGCCGAGACCTGAGAGGGGGCACCGTGGCCAGCCACACGCTGGGAGAGCCCCGCGCCCTGGACGCGCCCTCAAGCCCGCCCGGCACAGCCTTACCCTCCACGGGAAATACTGGTCTTCCAGACGGCCGATGCCCAGGCACCCGCGGATGTTCTTGCCCCACACAAACAGCTCTCCTCTGTCTGCAAAGAAAGGAAAATGGTGCGTGGCTGGAGCCAGACCAAGAGCAAGTCTCCAGGAGGAGGGTCATGAGAACAGGCTTCCTAGAACCAGGGACCAGGAGGGCCCAAAGTCAAATTCCAATTTCCACCCGGCCTTAATATGCTCTCCTTTGAATGGACACGCGCCGCGCCTGTCACACGGGGGACGGGCACACGTGCGGAGCTCTGCGGCCAGCAGCTCCGCACAGCCCGCTCTGCTCGCCCCTTCTGCACACGCCCTCCTCAAAGCCCGGCAGCCGACCCCCTCGGGCCCAAGTCACACCCCGACAGAGTGAGAAGCAGGGCGATCCGTCATTCCTTATCTGGTTTCCGTATCTCAGGACCACGTGGTCCAGAGATACGCAGTGACCAGCGCCTCTCTGGGCCGGGTCTACGTCCGTGTGCCAGGAGCTGGGACAGGGCCGCGACTGAACACGCCCGGTTCCTGCCCGCACGGGGCTGCGGTGACTCAAAGAGTAAGACCTAGACGAGGGAGCAGACCTCACCATAAAACGGATGTTCACCAATTGTATGAAGAGCTGTGAAGGAGGACGGCCCGGCAGACCGAAGGCAGAGGGGGCCCCGGAAGTGCCAACCTGCAGGACGGACCCCCAGCCCCGGCAGGGCACCTCCCGCAGCCCCACCTTTGCTGCAGGTTTCCGTCCACGCCAGCTGGGGGCGCCCCTCGGCACAGAGACCCCATTCCTGGCAAAAGGCTGCGGTCAGAGGAAATAGAAGAAAAGCCACGGAAAGGCCAGGACTACAACGATCCAGGCTGATTAAAAAAGAAACCCCTTTGTTCCAAGCTGTCAGAGCCTTCTGACCTCACTGTCCTCCTTGGTCCTCCCCACTCGATTCTGAGCCTTTCGACAGAACAATTCAGTCTGGCCCCCGCTTTGGAACGAGAGCAGACTGGGGGTAAAGCACCACCGCCAGCCAACCCCCAGCTGGCCGGACGCAAATGCTGGGCCCACAGAGCTCCAGCTCTGACGCTGCCCCGACTGAGGGGCAGCAACCGGCGCTTGGAGGCGGCCACCGGGCCCTGGGGAAAATCAACGGGACCCACAGCGGCCGCACGGCCCGACAGCAAACGGGAAACAGTCCACCCAAGTCGAACACGTCGTACGGACTTCCAAGCATGCGACTCTGCACGCAGTGTAAGCCTGGAAACGCCCTGGAAAATACACCTTTGTTACCCCCAGAATTCGGCCGTATGGCTTCTTATGGGCTCAGGCAAAACGGCTTCAAAAACCTGCCATGACTCAGGGCAACCCAAACTCACCGTCCCAGCCCAGATGTTCCCAAAGAAAACAATTATTCTTCCCATGAAATGTGATTTTCCAATCACAAGGAAACCACAAATCTACTTGAGAACCACAACGGGAAATGAGTGTCGTTGAGCCTGACCATTCACGTCCGCGACAGAGGCAAACCGATCCGGCAGCGCTCATGGAGGCGGCGTAACAGACGCGGCGACACACCAGCCAGAGGACCGCCGAGCCACGGGATCCTTCATGGCTCTGTAGTCTGGCAACACTCGGCGAAAACCTGCATCTTGGCCTTGCCTTTGATCCTGCTGGAGGACCCGGGCAGCCTGGCCCCCGCGAGACCGCAGGACGGGCTCCCAGACCCACCTCCTGTAGCCCCTGTCGCCTCCTGGTCGCCCACTGCGGATTCACCAGCCCGCGGCTGGCTTCCGCCGGCACCCCGACACGCTCGACCCTCTCCCACCGCCAACAGGTGTCCTCACGAGGAAACTCGCTTTGCCGTGGCCTGACCACAGAGCCAGTGAACTCTGGGATGAAGAGGAGACACACATCATACGACCTCAAGGCCAAGCACCTCGTGGCTTAGCCGCCCTCTTGAAGGTCCGTAAGCTCGGCCCGCCCCCAGGGCCACACGGGCCGGGCCACTCACTGGTCAGGGCGGCAAAGTGGCTGAGGCCACATCGGATCAGGGAAACGTGGACTCCCGGGTTGAACTCCGTCAGGCCGAAGAGACTGGGCGGGATCACCTCGGGAAGGGCACTTTCCACAAGGTTCGGTCCTTTCCCAAGAATTCCGTAGCCCCAGACGAAAACATGTCCTTCTCCTGCATTAGAGCAAACACCACGGTCATTCGGGCGAACGAGCGTAGCCCGCCCTCCCTGGAAATTCAGATCATGCCACCAAAATCCCCTGTGGCCACGTGCATGGGTTTTTGCCCCCTCCTTGCTTGTCAAGAACCCAGGGACAGAGATCTAAAATCGCGTTTCTTCTCTCCCTCTTTCCAAGTCTTGCTTGTGGCAGACGTCTAGCCAGCGAACCCTACTGAGGACACGAGCTTCCCACATCTGGAGCTAACCAGGACGGGCCCCGGGCCCCAGCCACCCAGCTGCCCGGTGAGCACAGGGGAGGCTCGGGACAGTTTTCCCCACCCAGATGTTCTGCATTTCACACCGAGAGCAGGAGCAAGCCGAGGACACGACCAATCTGTGGCCACATTCCTAAAAGTCTCAGAAATGAGTATCTTGGTCATAGAAGGTTTACTGCTTCTCAGTGGTGCCTGGCGTTTAACTGGGCACAGGCCTTGGGATCCATACCTGATGGCTCTCCTCTCTGCCTAGTGTCTTTGGGCACAGCCTCCCTGGGGAAGGCGGGGCTGAGTCTCTGGCCCAGGGGGAGGGACAGGGAGGAGGAGACCCCAGAGGTCGGCTATCATTACGGAGGTTAGAAGGCTCTCATCCTCCGTCAAAAACGTCACCCTCACCGCCTATGAAACTGAGCTCATGGGGCGCCTGGGTGGCTCAGTGGGTTAAGCCTCTGCCTTCAGCTCAGGTCATGATCTCAGGGTCCTGGGATCGAGCCCCGCGCTGGGCTCTCCGCTCGGCAGGGAGCCTGCTTCCCCCACTCCACCCCCAGACTGCCCTCTCTGCCTACTTGTGATCTGTCAAATAAATAAATAAAAATCTTTTTAAAAATATTTAAAATAAGGGCGCCTGGGTGGCTCAGTGGGTTAAGCCGCTGCCTTCGGCTCGGGTCGTGATCTCAGGGTCCTGGGATCGAGTCCCACATTGGGCTCTCTGCTCAGCAGGGAGCCTACTTCCCTCTCTCTCTCTCTGCCTGCCTCTCCGTCTACTTGTGATCTCTCTCTGTCAAATAAATAAATAAAAATCTTTAAAAAAAAAAAAATAAATAAATAAATATTTAAAATAAAAGAAACTGAGCCCAGGCTAACCAGACCTCCCACGGCCACGCTCCCTTCCCTCCCTCGGGGTGAGGGCCACAGCTGCGACTCCAGTGGGCCCTGAGCCATCCCCCATCCAACCCACCTCCAGCTTCCCAACAAACCGCACGCAGGAGGGTCTCACCATTTAACACGGCACAGCCCGTGCCGCCGCACGCAGCCTGCTTCACCTTCCCCACTCCCGAGAAGGGTAGGCACCGGGGGACGTTCACCTGAATCAAAGCCAGAGCCAGTGTTAGGAAGACACACCAGTGAGAACGCGGCAGTGCTCCGTCTCGTGCACAAAGCAGGTAAGTCCCCGGTCGTTGACTCAATCTCCAAGGCCTTCCTGAACGTCCAAGATACACTAAAGACCCAACCAGGTGCCGGGGATTCGACAGGAAGGAAGCGACTTGGTCCCTCTCCCCGAGCGGAGTCCGTGGAAAAGGTAAGAGGCTGGCCAAAACGAACCCAAAATTAATGTGCACTGAATGCAATGAAGGAGTGTCAAGGAACCTGATCTAATTTGGGGGGAGCGACCGAGAAGGCTTCGTTTTATCCTGGGACCCGAAGGATGAGTAGGGGTAACAAGGCAAGGGGAGAGAGGCCACCCCAGAACAGAGCTGGCAGGCACAGAGGGAAGGGGGTGAGTGGGGCACCTTCAGGGAGTCTGACCAAGGTCAGAGAGGCTGAAGCAGGGGCATGGGCGGGATGCGGAGGCCACATCGGCTAGAGATTGTGGGCCATGGTTAGGAACTGGTCTTTCTCCTGAGCACAAAGGGGAGCCAGCAGGGGTACTAAGAGGAGAGGCGGGATTTCCAGAGGCAACAGGAGGGGACCTGGGACACGGCAGAGGACCAGGGTATGGGGGATCCAGTTCACTGTGCCCAGAGATGGCCGAGGGGAAATGTCTTCGGGGATGCCCCGAAGAGCAATGTGGGTGGAGAGCAAGAAGCCCATATGGGGCGTCTGCAGGTGGAGGCCACACGGGTTAGGGAGGACAGGCGGGACCAGTGGAGAAGGGGAGGTTAGAGCCATGGGGAAGAAGGCCAGATGGAGGAGGGCTCCCGAGAAGGTGGGAGGAAACAGGTCCCTGAGGCAGAGAGAAAACTGGCATCACCAGGGAGGGAGATGCTGTCCACGTGCTAGAAGGGAGCGGGCTTGGGCTGGAGGGTGGAGAACTCAGAGTGGGAAACTGAAGACAGGCGCATCTGATAGCACACGTTTTCCCCATGAATCAGGGACCAGATCTGCTGAGAACGAGACACGAGGGTCAGGGATTTGGGTGCTCTGGTACAACGCCCGGCAAGGCCTGAGGAACACCCCAGCATGGAGACGCCGGAGACGGCCCACGGCTGTCCAAGACAGGGTGAGGCTCAGGCCACAGTCAAGAGTCCCAGCTGCGGTGGCTGCTCCCAAGAAGGTTCCCGTGATCACCCCTCCTGCTAGTCGCAGCCACGCGGCCCCCCGCCCTGGTGTGGGGCCAGACCTCGTGACCGGCTTCTAAGGAGCAGAGTGCCAGTGAAAGCCAGGGGAGGTCACTGCCAAGACTTATTAAATGACAAAACGCTGGCTTCCGTCTCGCTGGCACTCTTGCGCTCCCTCGTTTGCTTGCTCCGATGAAGCCAGCTGCCATGGTGGGAGCTGCCGCAGGGAGAAGCCTCCGTGGCCAGGAACCAAGGACGGCTGGGCCAAGAGGGAGTAGCTGGCTCACCACCCGGGAGGAACCGGGGCTCCAGTCCAACGGCCCACGAGGACCTGCGTCCTGCCAACAACCGTTGCCAGGGTGGTCCTGGAAGCAGAGCCGTCTCCCACCGAGTCCAGAGACGACTGCAACCTTCGAGGGACGAGGGCCAGAGGACCCGGCTAAGCCCCCCCTGGATTCTGGACCTACAGAAACCGTGAGACAATCAGTGTGTGCTGGGTGAAAGCACAAAGTGTCGGGGTGCGGTCACCTGTCATGCTGCGGTAACAGTGCCACCAGCCTGGGTCTGTCCCCCACGGGAAGCCCTTGGGAGATGCTGTTCTCAGGACTCGGGAGCAGGAAGAGCAACAATTTTCCTGAACGTGTTATTTGTTTCTCTTACAGAAACAATGAACCAATTGAATGGGCGTGTTTTCTTCTCCACTTTGGCTACTAGGAAGCTCAGAACCGTAGCTGCTACGGCTTCTAGCCACTGGGCAGGACCACAGGGAAGGCTTCTCCTCATCTTGTTCTCTGGCTTTAGTTTTCCTCTGGGCTGATCTCTTTACTAATACATATTTAAGGGGAGCCTGGAGGCGTAGTCAGTTAAACAGCCGACTCTCGATTTCAGCTTGGGCTGTGATCTCAGGGTGGCAGGATCGAGCCCCATGTCAGGCTCCGTGTACGGCTGGGAATCTGCTTGAGATTCTCTCTCTCCCTCTCCCCTGCCCCTCCCACTTCTACTCTACAATGAATACATAGCTCTTTAAAAAAAATACATATTTTAAACCTTCTGCATGTTGTCAGAAGTTTGATGGTATTAAGGAATAAAGTATATTTTTTAAACAGTCTTTACCTTTTAGAGATACATATGGAAACTTTTATGGATAAAATATGATGTCTGGGATTTACTGCAAAATAATCCAGGGCAGGGGTGCCCATGTAGCTCTGCCAGCTGCACATCTGAGTCCCGGTTTCAGGTCAGGCCATGAGCTCAGGGTCATGAGACTGAGGCCTGTGTCAGGCTCTATAATCAGCCGGGCGTCTTCTTGACATTCCTCTCTCCCTCTCTCCCCCTCTGCCCCTCCCCGCCCCATGCATTTGCTCAATCCCTCTCAAAACAAAACAAAACAAATCCAGGGCAGAGAAGCAGATGGCAACAAAAACTGGCCATTGGGGATTCAGGATTATTTTTTTGTTGGGGGGAGGAAGGTAAAGAAAAACTTCTGGAATGAGATGGCTGCACGACTTGTGACTACACTAAAAACCACTAAATTCTACACTTGAAAAAGGTGAATTACGTCTTGGGTTTTTCGGGGCTGTTTTTGGTTTTGGGCCATTAGTTGAGAACTGCTGAATGTGGGTGAGAGAGAGAGGTTCTTCATGCAGAGGAGTTTTTTATGTCCAATTCCCCTTCATGTCTAAAATCCTACTGTATTGTACTGATGGTGGCTCCCTTCAGTGAGAAGGCGGGGGCGGTGACAGGGAGGCCGCAGGCAGTGGCTTCTGACGTCCTGTGCGTGTGCTACTGCCGGGGGTGGGCGGGGGGAGCAGGTGCACACCAGCGATCTATGTGCTGTACGTGGCACGTGCGTTACCCTGCCAACAGGAAGCACATGGCGACACCATGGGAACCCACACCCCCTTCAGACTGGGACAGGGCGCACAGGCGCACCGATCGGCCCACTCTGAACCAGAACTATCGCATCGAAGGCTTGATAACGATGGCTTTGAACCCCAGCAGCCTTACAGGTGGTCGGGCCTAAACAGCACTTCCCACGTCGCACTTTGCTGAAGAAGCTCTTTTCTATCAAGATGTGCTTATTTATTTGAGAAAGAGAGAGACAGCACGTGCTCACGCACACAGGCAGGGGAGGGGCAGATCTGCAGCAGACTCCCGGCAGGGCGCGGAGCCCAACCTGGGGCTCCATCCCACCAGCCCGAGACCATGACATGCGCAAGAGTCGGACACCCAACCAACCGAGCCGCCCGGGCGCCCCAGAAGGACGTCTTACAAACGCCCATGACCCTCTGTGTGTGCCAAGCTCCCAGACCCGGCTGCGCGCGGCCCCGTACCTGGGTGGCGTCGGTGACGGCGGCCAGCTGCAAGTACTCCGAGTTCCCCCATCCGAAGAGGCCGCCCTCGGCAGACACGGCCAGGCAGCAGTCACCGTAGGTGGCCACCTGCACGACGTTCACTCCGGCCAGGTCCCCGCCCAGCTTGGTGGGCACGCTGGTGATATTGTAGTGACCCAGACCTGCCACAACGGCGAAGCGTTACTCCCAGTCACGGGCTCTCGGCACAGACGCTTCCACGGGCTTCCTATGTGCCGAGCACAGTTTTAAATGCTTTACAAGCATCAGCTTGGCAAGGCTAGTCTGTTCCTCTCCGTACGCTACAGCTTCCTTCTCCACGCTCTCTCAGAGGAGGAAGAAACAGAAGAGGCAGCGTTTATTTTTAAAACCCCGGAGACTTTCTAAGTCTGACTCAAGCTAGAAACGTTTACGAGACAGAACAGCATAACACAATGAGGCCAGGGGACCCTGTAGGAACACACACACGGACCTTTGCAGCCAGTGATCTCTAATGCACTGCAGGGCTTACCAGAAAATGAAGGAACTCTCCCAGAGCCCATTCCACCCCAGCTCCCCATGTCCCCCCACCAAAATAACAGTAAGCCGGAACTGGCCCACCGGCGTGGCGGACAGCGAACAGGAGAAAAGGCAGGGTGGCCAGAGGCCAGTGGGAGAAATGGCACCATCCACGCTGTGACGGAAGGGGAGCCCTGGCAGCAGGACCGAGGCAGAACGCACACCCCAGACTCCCACTTTAAATCAGGCTTCACAACGGGACCCGAGGCAGCATCAGACTCGCAGCACCCCTTAGCGACAGACAAAAGCGAACCTGGATCCTCTCTGAAGGAAAGCATCTCCATTTAGGCCCCTGCAGTTTCCACAAGGTCAATTCAATGAAATAGGAGCCCACGGTCAAAAGTTACTCAACCCATAAGGAAGGGTAGGCTTGTGCCAAGGCCCTGGGGCTGCAAAAGGCCGGCTCCAGGAACCGACTGCAGGAGCCTGCAGAGCTGGACACCAGGCCCAGCACGGGCAGGGAGGCCAGCTGTCACCTACGACGGCTCGCTTCTGGAACGGCACCAGGAAACTGTTTGCCACGGTCATCTCCAGCGAGCAGGGCTTTTGCATCTCCCCTTACTCCTCTCTGGGCTGTTGGGATGCATCTAGCAACAAGCTTCTTATTTTTGTGAAAAGCTGATTTTTCGGGGCGCCTGGGTAGCTCAGTTGGCTAAGCCTCTGTCTTCAGCTCGGGTCATGATCTCAGGGTCCTAGGATCGAGTCCCACATCGGGCTCTCTCTCTGCCTGCCTCTCTGCCTACTTGTGATCTCTCTGTGTCAAATAAATAAATAAAATCTTAAAAAAAAAAAGCTGATTTTTCAAAAATGACCCACAGCACGATATTAAAAATAAAAAGAACCTTCGACTTTACAGATACCGAAAAAACGCATGTGAAAATACTGGCACAGGGATGAAATCAGCACACTTAAACGGACAGTATTTGTTGCTGGAGAGCTTATGGCCACCGTGGTAACTTCTGTACGTGGCTAAGGACAGTACAGGCTGGTACGATGTTTAGAAAGCAACCTAATAATATGTTCTGAAAACACAAAAATATTCTACTCTTCTGATCCGCTCCTGGGAATCAATCCTACAGCAACAATCCCCAAAAAGAAAAAGTGTGTGTATACATGATAAATGCCATAATATCTTCAATGACCAATGTGGGGCTGCCCCCTGTCCCCCCCACCCAAAAATGCACCTCCTGACAACAGGGTAATGATTAACTAATGATTTGGTAAGTAATGAGTCATTTATCTCACGGTAAATGAGCTTGATGCTGTATCGCACAAATTATTAAAAACGCAACTGTGAAAACTGTACCGACAAGATTTAAAAGACAAAACAAGCGTGTAAAAATCACACCTATGCTGTTATCACAATACAAAAGATGTGCACGTATGAACAAGAATGAGAAGGAAACGCGAGACCAAGAACAAAGGTGAGCTCATGCGGTGGGCGTCTTAGGGAGGATTTATACAAGACTGAAATCTTAAATTTAAAGGCCCTCCCTCCAGACAAATATCAAAAAACAGGAGGACCAAATAAGCAAGGTTAATAAAGCTTATCCCTCATTCCTCCCGCTTTTCATCCCATTCTCCTCAAAACAGTTAAAGCCATGCTCCCTTTAGCGGGCCTTTGTGAACCTGTTCTTCTCCAGCAGCATCTAGAATCTTCCACCCAACCCTTTATGGGATGGTTGCCATGGGCGCTGGGGGCGAGGGGAATGAGGTGGGACAGGCTGGCTAGGGCAGTGAGAGAGGGATGAGCCTAAGGAAGGCAGGTGCTCGCCCACAAGAGTCCCGTAGCCCCCACCCCCTAGTGCCCCATCCCCATCGGGGAAGGGCCTCCTACCCGTTTGCCCATCGGCGCCCCAGCCGCAAGAGTAGACTTCTCCTTTGTCCGTCAGGAACAGGCTATGGTCCTGGCCACAAACCACCTGTCAGATGAACAGAGGGGAGGCTGATGAGAAATCCTTGGGAGCCCAGCATCCCGGTGGACGGACCCAAAGCTCGCCACATACCCTCCCGAACAGTGAGCCGGCCGGGCCCAGGCGGGCTGGCCCTGCACGGCCTCCGCACCTGATTCTTGCTCAGTCCCCTCCTCCATAAGCCTTTCTCTTCCCCGTCCCCTCCTCGACCTCCCCACCGGCCTCCGATCTTTGTCACTAGCTCCCTGTTCACCCTTCTAAGCCCTCGGGGCGCCCCCTCCTTCTGCCGTAACCCCTTTCCGACCAGCCAGCCCCGGCCTGTCACCTTCTCCGTGATGCCTTCTCTCCCTCCCTTCCACCCCTGGGAGCCTGAACAATTCTCCTTCTGCGCTCTCAGGGCCCTTCCTGTAAGTGTCCGCTTACGTATTTAAGTTTGTATGGTGAGCAAGGACCGTGTGCCAGGCTCTGCACCAGGGATGGAAATAAAATGGTGAGGAAGATACGGCCGGCCTGGGACGCACACAGATCTGGCTTAGCCGGGCCTCCCCCTTACCATGTCAGCACCCCCACAAACCTTACTAAACTCTGTATCCCCATAACCTAGTGGAAACCAACACCCTCCTGACCTACAGGAGGCAGCCGATAATTTTTACTAAAATAATTTATTAACTCAGATAATTGCCCTGACCCATTTGCCGCCACCAACCCCCGCCACATTTCACCCTTGCAAAAACACCTCCAGGGGGCTGGAGGACAGGCTCTCAGCATCTCTCTAGGGTGTGTCCTACCTGAACCACCTGTCCATCGAAGTCCTGCATTCTGTTGACTTTGTGACTTTCGCTGCAGCCACGAGCCATTTAGGGAGAAGCAAGAGGTACGGTCATCATAAGCACCGTGTGGTTCTGCCCCTGCCGGTCACCCCTAACTGACAGCCCCCACATGCACACAGTTAACTGTTAGGGAAACTCTCAAGGGCAAATATAGGGGAGAGATAGAATGAGGCAGGAGAGTAAAACAGGACAACAACCCTTTGGTGATTTTTTATTTTTAAATAGGCTCTGTGCCCAATGTGGGGCTCAAACTCACAACCCCCAGATGAAGAGTCACGTGCTCTACAGACAGCCAAGCAGCTGCCCCCACATTGGTGATTTTTTTTTTTTTAAGATTTTATTTATTTGTCAGAGACAGAGAAAGACAGAGAGAGTATACAAGCAGACGGAGTGGGAGAGGGAGAAGCAGGGCCCCTGCTGAGCAAGAAGCCCCATGCGGGGCTCGATCCCGGAACCCCGGGATCATGACCTGAGCCAAAAGCAGACACTTGACCGACTGAGCCACCCCGGTGCCCCCCCACTTTGGTGATCTTAATATACTGCCCGAAATGAGACTTGCACTCAGACCCAACAGCATAGTGTGAGGAAGGAGAAGGGAATCTTTTTAAAGACCAAAATCAATAAGGGTCTAGCTCAATGGGTTGAGCATGCGACTCTCAATCTGTGAGTTTGAGTGTAGAGTTGGGTGTAGAGATTACTTAAAAATAAAGTCTTAAAAAAAAGAGATTGAAATAAATGGAATAGAGGGGAATTTTTAAAGTTAATCAATTTGGTAAAAGTAAAAAACTAATTCAGAACAAGTCCGACGCACCACAGTCAATGCTCAACTGCCCTCCCTTCCACGCAGGCACCACAGAGAGCTGAGCCCTCAGAGGAACGAACCCTCCACAGCTTTCCAGTGACTCTCACCTCCCTTCTCAAGCAGGGGGAAGCCTGCCACTTCCTGCTCTGTGGGTCCATCACTTACTAACCACACGGGAAATGTTAAATGCTTAACACGATCTGGGGAAGTCCTTTGGGGAACTCACCTGTAAATTTCATTTTCGACCACGTTTCTTCCACATTGCCCATAAGAATTGTTTCCCATGCTGAAGACTGCAGAAAACACCACCAGTGAAATCCATTCTGCGGGCTCGTGGGATCCCGGAATGTCAGGACTGCAAGGGGGTCTCAAAAGGGGTCTTACTCCAACCACTCAGGCTAAGCGCCCGGTTTCCTTCTCGGACACCAGCCTTTGCAGGTGCACCGTAGGCCAACTGGGGCCGGGACCTGCAGCAAAAGCCTGGGCCACCTTGCCGGGCCCCTCTGCCTTGCCCTGCAGGCCCTTGTTACAAATTCCACGTTCCGAGGCGAGCCCCTCCCGGGGAAGGCCCCACCACCCCCACCCCGGGACGTGTCACTAGAGGTTGCCCTCCACGCCAGAGCTGCTCTGGAAAGAGTTCCTGAACACCACGTCTGCCTTTTCCCACGAAGCACGCTTAGCCGGAAAATGAAACTGGGAACATTGAGGCAGGATGGCTTTTCCCTAGAAACACTCGCTCTTCAGGAGAGAATCTGTGCTCTCTGGAGTCTGAAAGCAGCCCCCCTGCTGAAGGAAGCGCCAGCCAACAGGCTCCTTTCAGTACAAGAGAAAACGCTGTCTGCGGGCAGTGCAGTGACTTCATGGCAAAGCGAGCAGGAGGCCCTGCGAAGGCGGCCCAGTGGGCGCCATCACGTTTACGAATACATGAGGTTCTCTAAGAATCGCAGACAGCAGAGATCACGGAAGAGCTGGCAGGACCCCCCAACGGTGACCTTGAGCCACCCTCCCGGTCTGCTCGGGAAATGCCAGTGGCCTCCCTAGTGACACGTGGTTCCATCAAACCACCCGGTTTCGACCCAAGGGCAGGAAAGTGGCTCCCCGGCTCCTCCAAGAACCCCAGAGGCCAACTCACCGCCTTCGCGGTCTGTCAGGATGAGAGAGTGGGCTCTGCCGCAGGACACCTGCAGCACCCGTGTCTCCTGAGGTCTGTCCAGAGGCAGTGGGACAGGCGAGGGCTCCAGTACATACTCATACCCCCTGGCTGAAAGAAGAATGAGCAGGTTCACGGCGAGCCACGCTGACCCAGAGTGACAGCATTCCCGGCATCAGACCTCACGCTGTCCGACCCCCACGCTGCCCCACAGTCAGAGATCAGAGGGACTCGTCAAGGCACCTGAGCTAGTGGCAGAGCTAAGACTGGAACCCCAGGCCCCGGGGCCCGGACCCGCGGCACTGCGCTGCCTCCAGTGAGCCTTCCTGTGTCAGTCACGCCATCTGCATCCAAGGAGAGCAAAGGCAAAGACCCACTACCATTTCCCAGTAAAGCGAAGGGCAGCATGTATTTTACAATACCGCTCATATTAAAAAGTGGGGAAAAGGATACACGGGAGCCTTTGCTTGTGTATGCGTTACGTCTCTCCAGGAGAAACAGGAAACTGTTAACACGGGTTTTCTTCAGGGAGAAAAACTGTAGGGCTGGGAGGACAGAAGCAAAAAGCAGCCTTTTCTCCAAAATATTCTAGTGTACCTAGAGGGTTCTCAAGTACAAAAATACACTCTCTAGTCAAAAAAGAAAATTGTAGGGGCACCTGGCCCTATGCCTGGTAGAGCATAAGACTCTTGATCTCAGGGTCATGAGTTTGAGCCCCACACAGAGCACAGAGATTACTTCAACAATAAAGTAAGATCCCTAAAATTAAATTTTTCTTAATTAATTGATTAATTAATTATAGTGAGTTCTACACCCAACGTGGGGCTCGAACTCATGACCCTGAGATCTGGAGTTGCACACTCTACCAACGGAGCCACCCAGAGGCCCCTGAAAATTTTAACTTTTAAATAAGCAAGTAAGGGGAAAGTTCCTTAGAAGTCACTCTACAGAAGAAACTTACACTTTTGTTTGATTTTGGTGTTTTTTTTTAAGATTTTATTTATTTGACAAACAGAGATCACAAGTAGGCAGAGAGGCACAGAGAGAGGGGGAGGCAGGCTCCCCGCCGAGCAGAGAGCCTGATGCGGGGCTCGATCCAGGATCCTGGGATCATGACCTGAGCCGAAGGCAGAGGCTTTAACCCACTGAGCCACCCAGGCGCCCCAAGGCTTACTTTCTTAAGGAAGAAAAAAAGAAAAGGAATAGGGACGCCTGGCTTGTCTAGTTGGTGGAGTGTGTGACTTTTGATCTCGGGGTTGTGGGTTTGAGCCCTACAGTGGGTGAGAGGTTACTTAAAAATAAAATCTCTACGGGTGCCTGGGTGGCTCAGTGGCTTAAGCCTCTGCCTTCGGCTCAGGTCATGATCTCAGGGTCCTGGGATCGAGCCCCACATGGGGCTCTCTGCTCAGCGGGGAGCCTGCTTCCCCCTCTCTCTCTGCCTGCCTCTCTGCCTACTTGTGATCTCTGTCGATTAAATAAATAAAATCTTCTAAAAATTTTATATATCAGGCACAATAAGAGAAATATCTTTACTTATCATCAAAGCCTCTTTTGCCTAAAGGTCCAGTGTTATTACCAAAGGGGCTCACGAGCAATCTAGTCCAGATTCCAAATAACATTCGTGTAAGACTCCTTCTATTCCATTCTGCCAGTCGGGTTTGTGTCATCACATTCTTGAAAACAAAAGGGAGAGCTCCCTCAGACCAATCGCAGCACAGAGTAGCCAAGGTGAACACACTCACTTTTATCTTTGCGGCTCCGGTGAAATCCAAGCTGGGAATCTTTGTTGAGCCCCATACCCCAAACTTTCGTCACATCCTTGGTTTTAGAGGATAACAGCGTGAATCCATAGCCACAGGCAGCAGAGGAAATCTGCAAAAAGAGTTCCCATAAAGCATGAGCTGATTTCTGACATCGAGTTTTTCTCTGCAATAAATGACAGGTTGTTTCTGGGGCGCCTGGGTGGCTCAGTCGGTTAAGCATCTGCCTCCAGCTCAGGTCATGATCCCAGGGTCCTGGGACTGAGTCACAATTTGGACTCCCTGATCCTCCCTCTGCCTGTTTCTCCCTCTGCCTGCCACTCCCCATGCCTGTGCTCTCTAACAAATAAATAAAGTTTTTAAATATAAATAAATTAAATTAAATAAATAAAAAATAAAAACCATGTTTAAAGAACTGAAAGGCTGGCTGACTCAGTCCATCTGTAGAGCATGCAACTCTTGATCTCAGGGTCCTGAGTTCAACCCACACTTGGGGGTAGAGATTACTCAAAAAAACAAATTAAATAATAACTCTAAAACCGGATTACTGGGCCTAAAATGTAAATACCTATCACTATAACCCCACAAGGGAGAGAGGAGGAAACGGAGCTTCGCTGGAACAAAGTTGCTATCGTTTTTTGTTTGTTTGCTTGTTTGTTTCAGAATTAGGTCACTATCAACCTAACATAGACTGTGATAATACTGTATTGTAATATTATAATATTGATATTATAATCCCAAGAAAAACCTCAAATATACAGCAATACACCCAACAAAGGGACTTAACCCACTGAGCCACCCAGGCGCTCCCCCAACAAAGGAATTACTCTATTTAACACAAAAGAAAGCAGCAAAGGATGAAGAGAGAAACAAAAGACCTACAGAAACAAACAGCAAGAAGGCAGATGTGATCCAACCCTATCATTAATGACATTATAAGGACATGGATTGAGTGACATCAGGGAAAACGGCAGATTGACGAAAACACTGGCAAATGCCAGAATCCTTTTTTTTTCAGAACTCTGGAAATTAATCAAAGACTTCAAGTGATCTGGGGACTGTTTGCTCAAGAAAAGCAGCTGAGTCTCCGTAAGAACAGCAAGCTTTGTGGTTAGAGAATATGAATTTCTTTCATTTCGGCAAAATGCTTTGCAGCATTTCAACTTGACCTATTCCCATTCCCCTCGCCGAAGCTCTGCGGTAGCTCTGAAAAGGAACAGGTCACAGTGACAGCGCGGGCGGACAGTCTGGCAGCCACTGCAAGAGGAAGAAAAGAGCGTTCTCATCTCATCTGTCCGGTGGCGCCCTGGAAGACCCCATGCGCACAGCTCTCCTCCTGTGACCTGACCCAGGTATCACCCAGGGCAGACAGCATCCTCCCCAGGGCTCTTTGCTGAAAACAATCAGCAGCTAATGTTTGACCACTGCAGCTGCCTGAGGTGGTGGAGAACAGCTGGGGCAAGGTACAGGTCAACCAAGAAGTCACTAACCCACTTGACCTGACATCAAGTCCCCCCCGGACCATGGCAGAATGCTCATCCCTTTCCAGCACACGTGGAGCACTGTCCAGCGCAGGCCCCAGGCTAGCCTATAAAACGGAGTCTCAATGCACTTAAAAGGGCTGAAATTAGAGAAAGTATATTCTGTGACCACAAGGAATGTAACTGTGACTCCGATGACAACCCCCTGCTCTGGGGGTGACGTGCGAATGACGCCAGTCCGGCACAGCAGGGGCACATTTCGGCCACTCGTTAAACTTGAGAGGCGCCCTAACGCCCTCCCCCACCCACCTGGGCCTGCAGCCCGCTGAGGGTCCTCCTCCCCGCCGCTGGACCACCCAGCGTCCCAGCTTCCCGCCGAGGGCCTCGGGGAGCAGCGGCGGAGGCCAGAGGGCGCTAGGAAGGGAGAGAGCCGCGGCGCGCACCTTCTGGTCTAGCTCCAGGCGGTAGGGCACGGGCTGGATCCTGCGGGGCGGCCGCGAGCCGGCGCGAGGCTTGGGCCCAGCGCTGGGCAGCACGAAGGTGGGCACGCCCAGCGCCCCCGAGAAGCTGAAGCCCCACACGAAGATGCGGTCGGCACGCGCTGCCCGCTCGCCCACGTACTGGAACACCGGGGCGTCCGCCTCGCGCGAGCTCGGCGAGCGCCCGGCCGCCGTCCGGTGCCCTCGCCCCGCCCGCAGCCCCGGTCCCGGTCCGCTCAGCAGCCGCCCCAGCCGAGCCCCGGCCGCCAGCGCCATTCCCCGCTCCACGCCTCAGCGCCTCCTGGGCGCCGCCATCTTAGATGACCCCTGAACCCACGCTCTGGCGGAAGAGCCCCAGGGCTCGTCGGCTATTGGCTGAAGGCAAAGGCGCCGAGGGCCGCCAGTGGCTGGGGGGAGGCGGGAGGCGGGGCGGGGCCTGGGCGCCGCGGGCTTAGTGGGCGGGGCGCTGTACTGCAGCGCGTGCCTGTCTCCCAGCTCCGCAGACCCGCCCCGCGGCTGCGTTCCCCCTCCCGCGCTCCTTGCGGAGGGTCTTCCCGGCTCTCGCGGGCGGCGGGCGCTTCCGTTCGGAAGGCCCGTTGCTGCCTGTCTGTCAGTAGAGGTACAACGTAGTGGTGGCCCGCTCTGCGCGGCTCCCATGTGGCGCTCTCCCCCGCCCCGCTTTACCCTCCTCGCCGCGGCCCCTCATCGTTCCCGGCGGGCGCCGTCGCAGACTCCCCGTCCGCTTCCAGGCCGCTCAGCCGGGCTCCACCCCAGCGCGCTGGAGGGCAGCTCTGCAGGTGCACCTGCCGCCGCCGGCCCTGCAAGGAAGCCGCACTGCCTTCCGCAGCTCGTGGTCCTCCGCCCCAGCCCACCTCGCCCCCCAGCCGCGCTCTGCCCCGGAGTAAGGTGGCTTTCCTCGTAATTTCCGAATCCCGGGGCGGGTTCAGGGATGCCTGCTTAGCACACGGGGCCCCGCATGTCCTTCCGGCCGCGCTCCTCCCTGCAGGTGTCCAGCCGACTGCGAGCCATCTTCTGAGATCCGGCACCTGCTCCCAAGTTCCCAGGAGGGGGGAACTGACAGGGGGTCCGGGAACCTGGGTCTAGTCCTGGCTGTGCTACTCGGTTGACACGTGGCTTTGGCAAGTTGTCTCCCTTCTCTGGACAGCACCTCTAAAGTGAGGAGGGTAAGAGGGGGAGAGTGAAATGAATTTTTTGAAATAAATGAGATGTGAGATGTTTGCGCTTTATGACCTGTAGGATCTTCTGCGGCCCATGCCGACCGATGATGGACATTCCGAATACTAGTCCCAAAAGCTGAGGACAGAGGACTCTGAAACTAGGCACCCTACAGGATGGTAGGGTTCCAGAACGGCAGGGCTAGGTGGCTGGACTTGATAGAAGAGGCAGTCAGGGCAGGGTGGCAGCCCTAGTCCCTGGCACCATTGGCCTATGGCTTGGCTACCTGACCACGGTATTCCGAGGAATGAGGTATAAGTTCCTCCTTGACAGTGTATAACCAGAAAAAGATCTGACTCTGTTCTCAGACCAGAATCCAGCAACTGTAGGGGAGGCAGAATGCACTTAAAGGACCCTGTGGAGCCAGCACGAGTAGAGGCTATAGCTAATCGCTTCCCAGAGGAATTTGTGGGTATCCTATACACTAGAGAAATGAGAATAAGCAGATCTCTCCAGAGCTTCATCGAGGGTCCGAGATGACAGTGACCCCGGAAGACCCGAAACACTGGCAAGGACCGCAGTTAGACCGGGAGCTTAAGGAGCCCGTACAGGCATGGCTGTGCGTGGGTCCGTGTGTTCCTGCACCGGCCCTTTGAAATGCCTCAGGTTCCTGAGTCCACAACTGGGACGGACAGACATCCTTAGCAACTCATCCCGGTTTCCTCATCCTGTCCTGACCCAGCCAGTATTAAATCAGAAGACATACTGCATTCTGGGTGGAATTGCAAACCTGAGTGGCATCCTCAGAAACGCAGAGGATGGGGAAAAAAGAGAGAGAAGAAGAAGGAAATGCAGAGGATCCTGGTTCCCATCATTATCCCATTCTGCTCATATGCTTGGATCTTACAAAACCCAGGCAGGTTATGGCCAATAATGTGATAAACTGTGTAAACTTAACCAAGGGCATAACCCAATCCTAGCTGCTGTGTTGGGGGAGAGTTTTTCTAGAACAGACCAACACAGCTAAGGACCTTGTTACAGGATACTGATCTGGTGGATGGGTTCTTCTCGATTCCAGTGGTAAAGAGACTCAAAGGCAGTTCAGCTCTATAGAGAAAGGACACTATTATTCATTAACTCTCCCTGACTTGGCTCGTGCTACCTCCCAAATTAAGTATCTGTGTACAAGATCTTGTCTCCCGCTCTGCTTTTATTTACAAATCAGGGGCTCCCGGGTGGCTCAGTCTGTTAAGCATCCGACTCTTGGTTTCGGCTCAGGTCATGATCTCAGGGTCGTGAGATCTAGCCCTGTTCCAAGCTCCATGCAGGGCTGGAGGCTGCTTGGGATTCTCTCTTCTCCCGCTGCCCCTCGCTGCTTGTGGTCTCTCTCTTAAAGAAAAAAAAAATCTGAGACTTGGGGGTGCCTGGGTGGGCCAGTGGGTTAAAGCCTCTACCTTTGGCTCAGGTCCTGATCCCAGGGTCCTGGGATCGAGCCCCACATTGAGCTCTCGGCTCAGCAGGGAGCCTGCTTCCTCCTCTCTCTCTGCCTGCTTGTGATTTCTCTCTGTCAAATAAATAAATAAAATCTTTTTTAAAAAATCTGAGACTTATATTGGTGAAGAAGAATTACGTAAGTACCGTCCATTAGTGAGGATTCTCCAGAGATAGGAGAAATAGGGGTCCCCATGATCCGTCTGCAAGCCGGACACTCAGGAAAGACAGAGGTAGAGTTCCAATCAGTGCAGACGTCTGAGAACCAGGAACAAGACTGATGTCCCAGCTCAAACAGCCAGGTGGAAAGAGAATTCAACCTTCCTCCTCCTTTTTTGCTCTATTCTGGCCCTCGGGGGTTGTACATGTCCCACACACATTGGGGAGGCCATCTTTATCCAGCATGCCAGTTCCAAATCTGGTTCCTTCCAGCAACGCCTTCACAGACACACTCAAAAATAATGCTTAACCACGTCTTTGGGCATTCTCTAGCCCAGTCGAGTCGGCACATTTACTAGCATAACTAACTGGTAACTAATAACTAGTTATTAACGTAGTTATGAGATGTGTATCTATTCACGAGGTGTGTATCCAGTTTTTAACTGCTCTTCCATGGGACTTTCCTTTTATCTGAGTCCATGGCCTCTCTGGTTTTTTGGTTTTAAGGATCTTTTACAAACTGGCGATGATGGTAGATAGGTTTTTAAAAAATCTTTCCTTGTCACAATGTTTGTCAGAATTAAAAAGCTGAGGGGCGCCTGAGTGGCTCAGTCAGTAAGTGTCTGACTTGGGCTCAGTTTATGATCTTAGGATCCCGGGATCAAGCTCTGCCTCAGGCTCCCTGCTCAGCAGGGAGTCTCCTTCTCTCTCTCCCTCTCCCAGTCCCCATGCTCTCTCACTTGCTGTCGCTCTCAAATAAAATAAATCTTTAAATAAACAAATAGATAGAAAAAGAAAGAAAGGGAAGGAGGAAGGGAAAAGAAAAGATTTTTAAAATTGAGGGGGTCCTGGCTGGCTCAGTCAGAAGAATGCAACTCAATCTCAGTGTCCTGAGTTCGATTCCCACATGGAGTGTAGACATTACTTAAATTTAAAAACTTAAGAAAGAAAAAATCGATAACCCTATGTAGGTCTCTTGAATTTACTTTTTTTTTTTTAAAGATTTTATGTTTTGGGGCGCCTCGGTGGCTCAGTCCTTAAGCATCTGCCTTCAGCTCAGGTCATGATCTCAGAGTCCTGGGATCAAGCCCCGCATCGGGCTCTCCGCTCTGTGGGGAGCCTGCTTCTCTCTCCCACTCCCCCAGTTTGTGTTCCCTCTCTCACTGTTTCTCCCTCTGTCAAATAAATAAAAATAAAATCTTTAAAAAAATTTTTTAAATGATAAGTAAGGATTTTATGTTTTTATTTCCACACCCAATGCAGGGTTCGAACCCACAATCCCAAGATCAAGCGTTACATGCTCCATCATCTGAGCCAGCCCAGTGGCCCTGATGTCTTGAATTTATCAAACATTTGTCTTCTAACAAATATCCCAAAGACGGTACCATCGGTTGGAGATTTTAGGGGACAAAGGGCACGGTGATAAAAATCTGCTATGTGAGCCTCAGCCACTGGGTGGCGATGCTTGCCCATCAATTTTGTGTCTTACTCAACCAAGAAAAGCCAGTTTGGGCCAATGGAGAGAGCTGGTTTTGTAGCGACAACTGGGCTTTTATATTTTACTATTAAAACCTGGTTGTTTTATATACTGGTTGTATGCTGGCTAATACTTGTCCATATTGTTGCTTGGAAAAGATGGTCCACAGCAAAATACCAGCCCTCCCGGAGTGTTAAAATGTCTGCTATCGGTAACCAAGCTCCATTTCCCTATACTGACATTTTCCTGCAGTCATTCTAATTTCTTCTTTTTTTTTTTTTTAAGATTTTATTTATTTATTTGACAGACAGAGATCACAAGTAGGCAGAGGGGCAGGCAGAGAGAGAAGAAGGGAAGCAGGCACCCTCTGAGCAGAGAGCCTGATGCCGGGCTCGATCCCAGGACCCTGGGATCATGACCTGAGCCAATGGCAGAGGCTTAACCCACTGAACCACCCAGGCACCCCTCTAATTTCTTCGTTACACTGGGATAGTTAAAATTCTCTGGTCTGGGGAAGAGTGAACTTCACTTATGTATTCTAATTATTATTATTATTAAACTTTTAGTTATATAATTAATACATGATGAAGTGCCTTTGTAAAAAAAAATAATAATTACTTAGGTGTTCTATATGGATAAAAGGAAAGGCTCCTTTAACCACAGCCCCACCTATATACGTTGTCATAGAAAAAATATTCTTAAATTTTTGTTGTGTGTGTTTAAAGAAAACAGTATAATATGTACCTTATTCTACCACCTCTTTTCATTCAAAACTTTATTGGAGACACTTTCATAGTAATTTGCTTGCACTTGGCCCATTCCGTTTCAGCCTTGCGTATTAGTATGAATAAGTCTTGTTTATTCTTCTGGTGAACTGTTAGGTTGTTACCTTTCTTTTTTTCTATTACAATGTTACAGTGAGTGTTCTTGTAGATGTTTCCTTTGGTATCTGTATAATGGTATCTTTGGGTAGATAGTAGATAGGGATAAACAGAACTGCAGGGTCATAGAAAATGCTCATTTTATTCTTTTTTTATATTTTTTTCTTAATTTTATTTTTTGTACTTTATATATTTATTTGAGAGAGAGAAAGCGAGCGCAACCAGGAGGAGCTGCAGGGGTCGGGGGAGAAGGAGGCTCCCCTCTGAGCAGGGAGCCTGATGAGGGACTCAATCCCAGGACCTTGAGATCATAACCTGAGCTGAAGGCAGAGGCTTTAACTTTTGAAATGTTTGTCAATCCCGATACCTAAAGCATATCTCTTGTTGATTTTTCTTCTGTTTCTGTAATGTCTTGGAAAGGTAGAACACCTTATGGTTACTGGCATTTCATGTTTCCTCTACCAAGAATTGTTTGGCTCTTCATATCCTTGGCCATGTTTCTACTGAATTGACTATTCTTAATTTATAGGAGACCTTGATATAATTGCGTGGAAACCTTCTGTTACGTGTTGAAATATTTTCTCTTTTCTTTTTACTTAATTTACGGTGTCCTTTCTTATACAAAATTTTATTTTAGTGAGGTCAGCATTAATCTTTTTTTTTTTTTTTAAGGGGGGGCTGGGGGGGGGGGGGGGGGGAAAAGGCAGAGACAGAGGGAGAGAGAATCCTAAGCAGACTCCGTGCTGACAGCGGGCTCGATCTCACAACCCTGACCGTGACCTGAGCCGAAATCAAGAATCGGATACTTAACCAAGTGAGCCACCCAGACATCCCTATGGAGTTGATTTTTATGAGTGGTATGATTGTACATTTATTAATATTTTATCAGATACATGATTGTCCCCAAATAATTAACTGACTATAACATACTTTGAAGATTTTAAAATGTCATTTATAATATGACGCTTTTCTGTATACAGGCCAGTTTCTGGAGTTTGTTCCTTCTGACCTATTCTTTATCTGACTGCTACAGTTTTATATTATACTCTGGTTTTTATGCAGTCAAGTCTTCTTTGTTCTTTTGCCTTTGCTACTCATAACATTTACTTCCATATAAATTTTAAAGTCATCTTGTCAACTGAATGAAAGATCCCACTGGGATTTTTATTGGAACTATATTAAATGGATGACCTAGTTGAGATAAATTAATAAATGACATTTTACAATCTTGAGTCTTCCCGTATCACATAAATGTGGCATACTCCAATATTATTGGGTTCACTCATCTGCTTGAATGAATTCAGCCCTCTGCTTGCAGATGAAATCTTGTTGGTTTTCTGACAACAGAATCTTCCAAATTTTTAGAGCAATAATCTCCAAATTATTTTTTGAACTCTTCTTTTTTTAAAGATGTTTATTTATTTGACAGAGAGAGACACAACGAGAGGGGGAATAAAAGCAGGGGGAGTGGGAGAGGGAGAAGCAGGCTTCCTGCTGAGCAGGGAGCCCAATGTAGGGCTTGATCCCATGACCCTGGGATCATGACCTGAGCTGAAGGCAGACCTTTAACCTACCGAGCCACTTAGGCATCCGGAGAGAAACTTAAGTAGGCTCCATCTCATGACCCTGAGATTGTGACCTGAGCAGAAATCAAGAGTCAGACTCTTAACTAACTGAACCCCCCCAGGCATCCCTCATTTTTATTTATTTATTTATTTATTAAAGTAATCTCTATGCCCAAAATGGGGCAGGAACTCATGACCTTAAAATCAAGAGTCACATGCTCTACCAACTGGTCCTGGGATGGAGCCGGAATCAGGCTCTCTGCTCAACAGGGAGCCTGCTTCACCCTCCTCTCTGCCTGCCTCTCTGCCTACTTGTGATCTCTCTCTGTCAGATAAACAAACAAAATCTTAAAAAAAAAAAAAAAAAAAAAAAAAAAGATTCTCTCTCTCTCCCTTAAAATAAAAGAATCATCTGAAGATGAGTTAAGGACAGACAAGTTAAGGGAGACAAATTAGGAATCTATTGCAGGAAATGATGCTGGCCCGGACCAGTGCGGTGGCAGTCGCAGTGGTCAGAGTGGTAGAATCTTGGGAAACAGAGCTGACGAGGTTGTCAGGATCAGGGACACTGAAGGATCCGTGTCACAGAGTCAGATGTGTGAGGAGTAAAGGACTTGCAAGGTTTTGGCCTGAGTAACTGAAGAATGGTGTTTCATTCATTGAGGTGGGAAGGGACTACAGAGGATGGGATGCATCTTGCTTGAGATGCCCCTTCCTCCTCCACGTGAAAATGCCAAAGTAGGCAGCTGGTCATACTGATGGGGGTGGGGGTGAGTGGGCTGGGCTAGAGATACAAACTTGAGAGTCATAAGCAGACCAAAGGTCTTTAAGGATTGGACAAGGTCATGTAAGGAGTGAGCAGAGATGTAAGACAGCCCTGAGCTACAGCACTACTCAAAAGGTTGCCGGGAGGGGCGCCTGGGTGGCTCAGTGGGTTAGGCCTCTGCCTTCGGCTCAGGTCATGATCCCAGGGTCCTGGGATCGAGCCCCGCGTCGGGCTCTCTGCTCAGCGGGGAGCCTGCCTCCACATCTCTCTCTGCCTGCCTCTCTGCCTACTTGTGATCTCTGTCAAATAAATAAATAAAATCCTAAAAAAAAAAAAAAAGGTTGCCGGGAAAGAAGGACCCGCAGGAGACTGCTGAGCGCGGCCCGAAGGGCAGGCCGGGCCACAGAAGTGTTGCAAAGAGGACACAGGGCACGGTTACGTCCACTGCTGACAGATCGAGCCATTCACAAACTGAAAAATGACCGGCAATGTGGAGGTCACCTGTGCTCTCGGAGAGAACAGCTTCCGTGGAGGAGTGAAAGCTCGCTGGGGTGGGCTAGAGAGAGAATGAAAGGGGGGAGATCAAAGAGGGGGTGTGCACACAACGCGTCTTGAGGTCAGTTCTTTCAAACCAGTCACGCCGTTCCCATAAGCGGTTCCAAACACGTTAAAAAATGGTTTCCAGGTTAAGTTGTAAAGTTCGAGTCTTTTTTTTTTTTTTTAAGATTTTATTTATTTATTTGACAGAGAGAGATCACAAGTAGGCAGAGAGGCAGGCAGAGAGGAGGGTGAAGCAGGCTCCCTGTTGAGCAGAGAGCCCAATGCGGGGCTCAATCCCAGGACCCTGAGATCATGACCTGAGCAGAAGGCAGCGGCTTAACCCACTGAGCCACCCAGGCACCCTCAAGTTCGAGTCTTACGCACTGATCGTTTTTGGCAACAAAGTAGAGGCAATCGCATTATTCATCAATTTCATGTTTGTGAATTTACCTGCTCACTGAAATTGATGGGTAAACCCAAAACCACTACAGGGCTCTCCCTGGTTCTTCTTGGACAGGCCCGGACTGGCAAAAAGCTTACCTTGCCTGATGCACATTACCCAGCTGAGGTAGAACAAGGTCCCACTCCTATTTCAGCTCTCACACTGTAAAGTGTCCTTTTGCCAGTCTTTTTAATGCTACGGGGTTTTTTTGTTTTTCTGATATTTTGTGCTTCTTGTCGCTTTTACTGCTGGGTTCCCAAAAACATCATGACCCTGGCAGAAACCTAACCTTGTACTAACCCTCAGAGTAGTAGTTCAGGCTTCCTTACTGTTTGACAAAACTCTGTAGAACGGAACTCTTTGGAATAAGCAGCAGCAGCTATAACATAATGAGAATATTTTCAAACATCTTTTTAAAATGTCAAAAAAAAAAACCCAGGTACCTTTTAAAAAATATTTTATTTATTTATTTTCGGAAAGAGAGACAGCGAGAGGGAACACAAGCAGAGGAAGCTGGAGAGGGAGAAGCAGGCTTTCCGCTGAGCAGGGAGCACGATGTGGGGCTCCATCCCAGGAACCAGGGATCATGACCTGAGCCAAAGGCAAATACTTAACGACTGAGCCACCCAGGTGCCCTGGTTTTTTTTTTTTTTTTTTTTTTTTAAGCATTTAAATCCCAGTATAGTCAACATACAGTGTTGTACTAGTTTCAGGTGTATGACAGTGACTCAGTAATTCTACACAGTACCCAGTGCTCTTCATGGTAAATGCACTCGTTAATCCCTCCTCCTGTCTCACCCACCGCCCTCCCCCACGTCCCCTCTGGTGACCGTCAGTGTGTTCTCTATAGTGAAGAGTCTGATTCTTGGTTTGTGATATTTTCTCAATCAACTGTTGAAATGGTTACCTTTACCTTGAAATGCCAGTTTGTTTTTTAACAGCATCTGCTAGGAAGCCTAACTTTGACAGTCCCTTCCAGAAAAAGGTCTCCGCAAAGGAGACACTTGTCTTTTTTGCAAAAGAAAATGTGCATTAGAACATACAAACTTCAGGACAGTCATTACGGGGGCGCCTGGGGGGCTCCATGGGTCACGCCTCTGCCTTCGGCTCAGGTCATGATCTCGGGGTCCTGGGATGGAGCCCCGCATGGGGCTCTCTGCTCAGCAGGGAAACTGCTCCCCACCCCCTCTCTCTGCTGCCTCTCTGCCTGCTTGTGATCTCTGTCTAATAAATAAATAAATTTTTAAAAAATAATAAAATAAAAAAAGACTAAAGCCGAGTCTGCGGTGCCCCAGCCGCAGGAGGGCGGAACCTCCGTGAGCCGCTGCACGAAAGGAGGCCGGGGGCGGGGTCGTGGCGCGGGAACACAGGTGCCAGCCGCTCGCTCGTCGGAGTCCGGGACGGAGGAGGCGACGGAGGAGGCGACGGAGGGGACGACCGGCCCCGCGGCCCCCGCCCCGACCCACCCGGCCGCAGCGCGGCGGACCGAGCGCACCGGAAGCGGCGGCTCCCGCTGGGGGCGCTGCGGCCGCGCGAGCCGAGGCCGCCTTCCAGGAAGCCCAAAAAAAAAAAAAAAAAAAAAAAAAAGGAGGAAAGAAAGAAAAAAAGAGGGGGAGAAAGAGAAAAAGGAGGGAGAGCGGCGGAGAGCCGGACCGGGTCGGGCCGCCGCCCCCACGCCGCGCCCCCGCCTCCTCGCCGCCCGCCCCGCCGCCCTCGCGCCCTGCCGCTCCCCCGCGGCCCGGTCCTCGGACCCCGCGGCCCGCCCGGCGCTGCCGCCGGCGGGCACTCAGGTGCGTAGCCCGCCCCGCCGCGGCCGCCATTAGGAGCGGCGCTGCCCCGGGAACGGTCTGCGCCCGCGAGGCCGGCGACGGGGAGGCCTGGGGAGGGAGGCCGGCCGGCCCGGGGCACCGAGGGGGGCGCGCCCGTCGCCGCCCCGCGGCCCCCGAACCCCGGTCCCCGCGGGCCGGGCCCAAGAGTGGGGGTGGGGCGGGGAAGCCCCGCCGCGGGGAGCACGGCCGCGCGCACGGCCGCGCAGCCCCGTCCCCTCTGATTGGTTGCGCGGGGGCGCCGGGGGCGGGCCTCTGCGGGCTCCGGGCGCTCTGGGCCCCGTGCGCGTGACGTCACGCTCCGCCCGGCGTACGTGGGCGCTCCCGCGGCGCGCGGACGTGCCCGGTTGCGTAGTGAGGGGGCGGGGCCGCGCTGTGGCCGGGTGACTGCTCTGTCGGGCCCCGCCCCCTCGTCGCGCGTGGCTGCGGGGCGCCCGGCGGGGGTTCTGGAGGGGACCGGGCCGCGGGGCGGCGGGGCGGCGTCCGGCGTCGTGTTCGTCAGCGGCAGAGTGACCCGGAGGCCGGAAGGAGAGCCTCGGGGCGGGGGGCGGCGGTTCCTGGTGGGGGTGACTCGCTCTGACTTGACTCTGCTGTGCTGGCCGCGGCTCTGTCGGGTGGGCTGTGGGGTCAGCCCTTGGTGTGTGGCGAAGTGGCCCCGCTGTCCAGCCGCAGGACATGCCCAGCTCCAGCCCCCTGCAGCCGCCCTCTCTGCCGGCTCCGACGTCCCGCATATAGATGGGGTCATCCTGGGGGGCCTGTGTATCTGCGTCTTTCCCTCCCTTTTATGGCTGAATTGCGAGCCCTTGTATGGCCAGACCACATGCTTCCCCCCACCGACTGATGGATTTGGGGTTGTTTCCACGTTTTGGCTATAATGAATAATGCTACCATGAACATTCATGTACATTTTTGTTGTTGTTTGGGGGGGTTGTTTTTGTGTAGAGGGGGAGGGGAGAGAATCCCAAGCATTCTCCAGCCCCAGTACCCAGTACCTGCCCACATGGTGCACAGTCACACAACCCCGAGGTCACACCTGAGCTGACGTCAGAAGCCCCAAGCTTAACTGACTGAGCCACCCAGGCACCCCAAACCACTTTGGGTCTCTGGTTAGTTTCTTCACTGGTAAAGGGAGGTTGGAACTTGGTGGTCATCGGTGAGGATCCTCACGGCTCTGCACGCGCGCTTGTGGGACACTGAGGATTTCCACCGCTCACTGTCTTGTTACTTCTCTTGGACAGGGATCATGGCCCAAGTGCAAATGTCTGCTCTGCCCATGGAAAACGAGGAGTCCTCGGAGAGCAGGATGGTAGTGACGTTCCTCGTGTCTGCTCTGGAGTCCATGGTGAGACAGTCTTCAGTTCTATATAATGTCCCCTTGTGGGACCACTGTTGAAATAGCAGCGCCGGGTCACCACCTCTCACTGTCCCTGTCTGTGTAGCCGTAGCCTTCTCCATGGAGGTCCCGGGTTCATCGGGTCATCTTTAAAGATGCTCCTTACATTATGGATATAATTAAATTAATGTGAGCTTTCCAGATCTGAATATTTAATGCGGGCGCCTCTGTTGCCTTGGTTGAGAATGTTTTTGGTCTGAATTCAGAGGTAAGCTAATAGTCCACTGATACCCCCTCGTTAGCTGCAGTGTGTAAAATGGACCTTGGGGGCAAAACTTGGTAAGAAATGCACATCCCTTCAAGGGATCCGATCACAAGATACTTACTGGTTAGAAATGGGAAATCCTCACCTTTATAAAGGCGGACAAGCCTGAGAGATGGGCCCTTCATCAAGTGATCAGAGCGGACATCAACATAATGGGACAGATTAGTGTCACATGCCTCCCGATATGACATGCCAGGAAGGGACGTCACTGATTCTGTGGTTCCTGCCAAAAACGCATGACCTGAATCTAATGGGGGAACACCAGACAAAGCCAAATTAAGGGACATTCTACAAAATGATGGGGCTGGACTTTTTTTTTTTTTTTTTTTAAGATTTTATTTCTTTATTTGAGGGGGGTTGGTGAGTGCAGGGGAGAGGCAGAGGAAGAGGGAGAGAGAGAATCTCAAGCAGACTCCGTGCTGAGTGTGGAGCCTGATTTGGGGCTCGATCTCACGACCGGGAGATCATGACCTGAGCCAAAACCAGGAATTGGACGCTCAACCTATTGAGTCACCCAGGTGCTCAAGTGTGGTATTTTTTTTTTTAAGATTTTGTTTATTTATTTGACAGAGAGAGAGATCACAAGTAGGCAGAGAGGCAGGCAGAGAGTGGGGGTGAGATGTAGGCTCCCCACTGAGCAGAGAGCCCAATGCGTCACTTGGTCCCAGGACCCTGAGATCATGACCTGAGCCAAAGGCAGAGGCTTAACCCGCTAAGCCACCCAGGCGCCCAAGTGTGGTATTTTCAAGGCGCATCAAGAAGTCCAATAACGATGAAGCAGGGAGACAAAAGGAAAGGTGGTGTGAGGTAAGGTTCAAGAGGCCCCAGGTGGCCAGATCACGTAGAGCTCTGGGGCTTTCTCTGCAGTGTGGTGGGAAGGGTTCGGAAGGTTCTGAATGAAGGGCTCACGTGGGGGGCATGGTGCTTGTGTGGACGGTCGGTGAGCGTAGAACAGAGAGGGAGGCTGGGACGCCAGCTGGCAGGCTGAGGCTGTGGTTCAGACGGAGACTTCCGTGGAATGGATGAGGCTGGGAGTGGTGCTGGTGGGACGCAGCGATGCTTCTGGAAGGGTCTGTAGAGTTAACGGGACTTAGCAACAGATTGGATGTGAGTTGTGAGGTTTTCATAGGGGGAACATCAAGACTTGTTTTTTTTTAATTGTGGTAAGATACATAGATTCGGATCACAGAATTTACCATTTTAACCCCTTTAACCAGTTTAAGGACATTAAAGCCATCCACCCTGTGATGTAACTGTCACCCCCATCCATCTACAGAGCTTTCTCTTCTTCCTCAACGGAAACTCTGCACTCACTGAACAAAATTACTCCCCACCTGCCCCTCCCTCAACCCTGTGGAAACTAAGCTGGGTTTTGGGGGGTACCTGGATGGCACCATCAGTTAAGCGTCCTACTCTTGATTCCGGCTCAGGTCATGATCTCGGGTTGTACAACTCAGCCCCGTGTTGGGGTCGACGCTCCGTGGGGAGTCTGCTTGGGATTCTTTCTCTCCCTCTGACCCTCCTCATTCTCTCCCTCTTTCTCTCTCAAATTAATAAATACATCCTTAAAAAAAAAAAAGTTGTTTTTTTTGTTTTTGTTTTTATTATTTTTAAGTAATCTCTACACCCAGCATGGGGTTCAAACTCACGACCCTGAGATCAAGAGTCGCTCACTCCACCGGCTGAGCCAGCCGGGCACCCCAGATTTCATGCGCATTTTGACTGATGTCCTTTCTCTGTCCCGGGGCACCGGGGACATCCCGTTGCTTTCAGTCATGAGGTCTCCTTCGGCACCCCGGGTCTGTGACAGCATCCCAGTCGTCCCTTGATTTTCACGACCCCGATGGTCTCGCAGAGTCCCAGTAGGGATGTTTTCAAATCGGTCAGTTTGGGTTTCACTAGGTTTCTCCTCCTGCTTGGACTGGGGTTTTGGAAAGAAGACCACAGAGGTGAGATCCCCCCCACTTCATCCCATTGCATGAGGGGCCCGTGACGCCAGCATGACCTGGTCACCTGGTGAGGCGGGTGTGACGGTTAGTTCTATCTGTCAACTCAGCCGGGCTGCAGGTGCCCACACACCCAGTTAAACATGACTTCCACAGTTGTCCGTGAGGGTGTTTCGGGAAGAGATGAGCACTTGAGTGGGGGGACAGAGCGGAGCAGACCGTCCTCCCCGCTGGGGGCAGGTGTCCACGGAGGGCCGGAGTAGAACGAAAAGTCAGAAGAAGGGTGGACTCCCCTCTCTGGCCGAGCGCCTGAGCGGGGACATCCATCTCCTGGTTCTCGGGCTTCGGACTCAGAGTAGGATCTACATCTTCCGTCCTCCGCTCTCAGGCCTCTGAGCTCCACCGCCAGCTCCTCTGCGACTGCTGCTGAAGGAAGGCCCACCATGGGACTTCTCAGCCTCCGTAATCACCAGAGAATGTCTCCTTTTCATTCTGTTTCTCTGGAGAACCCTGAAACAAGTAGTGTCTGCCATGTTTTTTCACCGTCCAGTTACTACTTCCCCCTCCATGCCCTGTTCTCGGGAAGCAGGTCTCAAAGTCCAGCCCCCAAATAATGATCCTCATCTGTCATGAGAGGGTGACGTGACTTCTCCCACAGTCTCGGTGGGAGTGTGAGCCCCTCTGAAATACTGCTTGTAATATGCTTTAAGAAGCTAAGAAGAGGGGCGTCTGGGTGGCTCCGTGGGTTAAGTGTCTGCCTTCGGCTCAGATCATGATCTCAGGGTCCTGGGATCGAGCCCCGCTTCGGGCTTCCTGCTCAGTGGGGAGCTTGCTTCTCCCTCTGCCCCTCCCCAGTGCGTACTTGAGCAGCATCTGTCTCTTTCAAATAAATCAATAAATCATTGAAAATTAAAAATAAAAATGGGTGATTTCTCCTGATACTGGGTTCTCTAGTTCCAGTAGATTAAGTGCTGAATTTCTGGTTCATTCGACAGAGATGCAGGGAGATTTGCCATGACGCGAATGGAGCGGACGCATCTGTGTCCCCTCCGGGGCCGTGGGGGAGCCGCAGCAGTGCGTGCACACGCGTGTCTGTGCACTTCTCTGAGTCAGAGATCTTCACCGCATCGGTAGAGCCGCTGTGTCCTGCTCGGACTGGCCCCCCACCGCCACCCCTGCGTTCCCCAGATGTGCCTCAAAGCAACACACACTGGGAAACGGTTCTAGAGGCCAGGAGGCGGGAAACGGGCTCTGTGAGGGGCACCTGGGGGGCTCTGTTGGTTACGCATCTGCCTTTGGCTCAGGTCATGATCCCGGGGGCTGGGGATCAAGCCCCATGTTGGGCTCCTTGTTCAGCGGGGAGCCTGCTTGTCCCTCTCCCTCTGCTGCTCCCCCTGCTTGTGCGCGCTCTCTCTCTCTCTCTCTGACAAATAGATAAATAAAATCTCAACAAAATGGGGGGGAGGGGTTCTATGGGACTGAAGTCAAGGTATCAAAGGACTGCATTCCGACGGGCGGCTCCCGGGGAGAATCTGGCTGGCCTTTTCCAGCTTCCAGAGGCCATCTATGTTTCTGGACTTGTGGCCGCTTCCACCAAGGGCACTCCTCTGTCCTCGGCTTCCATAGTCACCCCTCCTCCTGCTGCCTCCCTCCGTTCCTTATCAAAACCCATGGTGATTATTACACTGGCCCCACCTGAATAGTCCAAGAAAATCCCCCACTGTCAAGATCCTAAAGATTAACCACAGCTAGCAAACCCTTTTGCACCTAAGGCGATATATTCATTCCCAGGCTCTGGGGATTAGGCTATGGACATTGGGGGCGGGGGGCAGGATTCTGCCTCCCATGATGCCCTGGGTCAGGTGACATGAGGGGACAGAGGCATCTTTGGGGTTCCAAAAGGGAACGCTCCGTTGGGGATACATTTAGTGTAGCGTTTTCGTGTGGCTTGCTGTTACTTCTATGTGGGGCTGAGCTCCTGCTGGACGCCCCCGTGGGGGATGGTTTCCCGGAACATTCTCACAGTCCGTTGGGTCGGCTCACGCAGTAACGGAACATCGGGGATAGGACGTGAGTTCACCCTGGTGGGACCAGGGGCTCCTCTCCAGACGTAGGCAGAGAGCAGAGGAGAGGCAGGTTTTCAATGTACAGAGCCAGAAACTCGACTGTGGAAGATTCAGTCGTTAAACAGGAAAACTTTTTTTTTTTTTAAGATTTTATTTATTTATTTGACAGACAGAGATCACAAGTAGGCAGAGAAGCAGGCAGAGAGAGAGGTGGAGGCAGGCTCCCCGCTGAGCAGAGAGCCCGATGTACGGCTCGATTCCAGGACCCCGAGATCATGACCTGAGTGGAAGGCAGAGGCTTCACGGACTGAGCCCCCCAGGCGCCCCTCTTTCTCAACTGTAAATAGAGGATTTGTTTGTCAAAACAGAAGGTCTCTCTGGTCAGGGGTATACCCACCAACGTAGTTATAAACACACCACACATTGTTTCCAATATTTGGAAGGATTTACAGAAGGTAAATGTAACAGATTTCTGGTCTGTAGGGCATACACGTGATGAACAGGGAGTGTGTCTTATGTACGAATTTTCACCTTCTGTGCATCTCTACCATCAATAATAAAAACGTAATCAACCAGGTTGGAAGGAATACTAAGTTATCTCTCTACAGAAAAGGTTACAAAATTGTCCTAGGAAGAGGCAGTCAGAGTCCGTAGGCAAAACTATCAGGGGAAGAAGTCCTGTTGCAGAGGCGGGGTGTCAGCTGTGAAGACACTGCCCCGGATTCTGCCAAGCAGCAGGAATTCTCTGACAGCTACTGGGTGTCCTACAGTTGTTTCTTTTTTTTTAATTTAAAATTTATTTATTTGAGAGCGAGAAAGAGAGAAAGCACGGAATGGGGGAGGATCAGAGGGAGAAGCAGGCTCCCTGTCGAGCGGGAAGCCTGATGCGGGGCTCCATCTTCCCACCCCAGGATCACGACCTGAACCGAAGGCAGACGCTTAACTGACTGAGCCACCCAGGCGCCCGGGGGTCCCACAGCCTGACTCAGTGCTGACCGTGTAGGGAGCGTGAGAGCCCACAGGATAAGGACCCCACTACCCTCCAAGGCTGCCCCTCACTTCAGACGCTAACATCAAGTCAAGGTTGTCACCTGTAGATCAAGGTTCCAGAGACCCCCTCCCCCTCCTTGGGTTTGACTAATTTGCTAGAGCAGCTCACAGAACCCGCAGAAACATCTTACTCACCGGATTAGCAGTTTACTACCAAAGAATGTGACTCAGGAAGAGCCCATGGAAGAGAGGCACAGGGCAGGGTATGGGGAAGGGGTGTGGAGCCTCCATGTCCTCTCCTGGTGAGCCAGTCTCCCTAAAGCCCTTGTGCTCAGCAGTCTGGAAGCTCCCAACCCTGTCCTTTTGGGGTTTTAGGGAGGCTTCCTTACTTAGGCACGACTGATTAGATCACTGGCCACTAGGGACTGAACTCAGCTTCTAGCCCTTCTTCCATGGCCCAGAGGCCAGGGGGCGGGGCTGAAAGTGCCACTCCTCCACTCACGTGATTGGTTCCCCTGGCAACCAGCCCCATTAACCTTGACATTAATCTTTTTAATTTTTGGGGGGGGATTTTTTTTTTTTTTTATTTGACAGACAGTAGCAGAGAGACAGGCAGAAAGAGAGGAAGGGAAGCAGGCTCCCCGCTGAGCAGGGAACCTGATGCGGGTCTTGATGTGGGGCTCGATCCCAGGACCCACCTGAGCCAAAGGCAGAGGCTTTAACCCACTGAGCCATCCAAGCATCCCGACATTAATCTCTTTGTTGCTCTCTTAAGAAATTTCAAGGGTTTTAGGAGCTCTGGGCCAGGAACAGTGGTTAAAGAACAAATATATATTTCTTATTATAAATCACAGTGATCAGGGCGCCTGGGTGGCTCAGTGCGTTAAGCCTCTGCCTTCAGCTCAGGTCATGATCTCAGGGACCTGGGATGGAGCCCCCTGTAGGGCTCTCTGCTCGGTGGGGAACCTGCTTCCCACTCTCTCTGCCTACTTGTGATCCCTCTCTCTCTGTCAAATAAATAAATAAAATATTTTTTTAAAAAATAAATAAATCTTAGCGAAATAAGTCAATCAGAGAAAGACAATTATCATATGATCTCCCTGATATGAGGAAGTGGAGATGCAACATGGGGGGTTTGGGGGGTAGGAAAGGAATAAATGAAACAAGATGGGATTGGGAGGGAGACAAATCATAAGAGACTCCTAATCTCACAAAACAAACTGAGGGTTGATGGGGGGGGTGGGGGGTGGTATGGAGAGGGTGGCTGCGTTATGCACACTGGGGAGGGTATGTGCTATGGTGAGTGCTGTGAATTTTGTAAGACTGATAATTCACAGACCTGTACCCATGGGGCTAATAATACATTATATGTTAATAAAAATTTTTTTAATTATTTAAAAAATAAAAATAGATAAATCACAATTATCATAAGTTAATAAAAATATGTTCTCTGGGTTTTATGACGTTTATGGTATTTGCTTGGTGGATTTGCTTTGTTTCTTTGGGGGATTTTTCTCATTCTAAATGAATACTCATTTTTGTACCTAATTTTATATTTTTCTTAATGATGTAATCTCTGTGCCCACCGTGTGCCCACAATCAGGACATCAAGAGTCACACACTCTGTGGACTGAGCCAGCCAGGCTCCCCCGTGCTCTCTTCTCAAAACAGATCTCTCGGGCTCCACTAGACTTGGATGTGTCTAACACTGGTGTGTAACACTCTTCCTCATGTCTGTTTCAGTGTAAAGAACTCGCCAAGTCCAAAGCAGAAGTGGCCTGCATCGCCATGTATGAGACAGACGTGTTCGTCGTCGGAACCGAGAGAGGACGTGCTTTTGTCAACGCCAGGACCGATCTACAGAAGGATTTTGCAAAATACTGTAGGTGTTAACAGTTTTGTCCTTTGTATTCGTAACTCTTAAAATATTTGCTAGGAAGACTTACATGACGTTTTCTTTGAAGGCATCCTAAGCATTATCCTAAAAGTGGTCCTGATACCTCTCTTGTGACTTGGCATCCCAGTGAGTTAGCTGCCTCACACTGAGGAGTCCAAGAAACAGGGCCGGCGGGTTTTGTCCTGTGTCCTCAGGAGCACCCTGGTTTTGTAAAAGAAATGTGAGGCACAAAGAGTAAATGATCTTTGACTCCTTTTATAAACCCACATTTTAAAAAAATTCTGGGGCCCCTGGGTGGCTCAATCGGTTGAGCATCCAACTCTTGGTTTCGGCTGCGGTCATGATCTCAGGGTCGCGAGTTCAAGTCCTGCTTCAGCGTCCACGCTGGGCATGGGGTCTACTTAAGATTCTCTCTCTCCTTCTCCCCTACCCCTCCCCATGTCTCTCTCTCTCTCTCTCTGAAAAAAAAAAATAAATCTTTTTTAAAATTCTTATTTTTAAAAAATGTGGGGAGGCACATAGGTGGCTTACTTGTTAAGCATCTGCCTTCGGCTCAGGTCATGATCCCAGGATCCTGGGATCAAGCCTGGCATCAGGCTCCCTGCTCGGCGGGAAGCCTGCTTCTCCCTCTCACACTCCCCTGGCTTGTGTTCCCTCTCTGGCTCTCTCTCCCTCTGTCAAATTAATAAATAAAATCTTTAAAAGTAAAAATAAAAAATAAATAAAAATTCTTATTTTACTTATTCCCAAAGGAAAGGGAAGAAACTCAGGGCTTGTTAGGTATTCCTCTGAGTTAATAACCATTTTCCCTTTTTTCACTATGGGACCGTCAGAGCCTTCAGTGTGTTATGAGTGGTGAGCCTGTGGGCCATATGTGACGGAAACTAGTCTAGGGTGTTAGTTAAAACCTACACCTTGCATAGTGATGATCTCTACAGTGGTAGGTCATCTACCAAATACTGACTAGGCACCTTAGTGTTTTCTAGAACCAAGAAAGGGAGGGGGGACCCACAGAGGTTTATCAGAGGATATAATGTGAATGTGAGTGTGGAGAGAGAGGGGAGATATAGATGTAGATGTTCCCGAGGGTTGTCAGAGGACATGCGGACATAAATATATGTTTACATGTCAAGATCATACAAATATGGAAAGGAGAGAGGGATTGCTTGGTTCAGATTGGTTTCCAAGACCAAAATTAGGGTCTGCACTCTCAGGAAGATAGATTCAAACATGAAGCAATCTTTAAATAATACAGTGAGTGTGTAATTGATGAACATGAAGGGTGTTCTCATTCCACTCATGTCAGGTGCCGGCTGAGTTTCTTTTTTTTTAAAATATATTTATTTATTTGAGAGAAAGCGCACAAGCCGTGGGGGTGGGGGGCGTGTGCTATGGTGCAGAGGGAGAGAGAAGCAGACTCCCCACTGACTGTGGAGCCTGACACAGGGCTCAGTGTCATGCCCCTGAGTTAATGACCTGAACTGAAACCAAGAGGCAGACACTTAACCAACTGACACCCCCCAAGCTCCTCGCTGGTTGGATTTCTAATAGTTGATATATTTTTTAAGATTTTATTTATTTATTTGACAGAGAGAGAGATCACAAGTAAGCAGAGAGGCAGGCAGAGAGAGAGAGAGGGAAGCAGGCTCCCCGCTGAGCAGAAAGCCCGATGCGGGGCTTGATCCCAGGACCCCGAGATCATGACCTGGGCTGAAGACAGCGGCTTAACCCACTGAGCCACCTAGGTGCCCCAATATTTGATATTTAATTACAGATTTTTTTCCAAGTTTCACAGTTATGGGCTGGTTTTCCAGATACAGGACTGTTCATGCTTTCTATTTCTTCCGGTACGCATTTCAGTAAATTTTACTTTTCTTTTTTTTTAAGATTTTATTTATTTATTTGACAGAGAGAGACACAGCGAGAGAGGGAACAGAAGCAGGGGGAGTGGGAGAGGGAGAAGCAGGCTTCCTGCCAAGCAGGGAGCCCGATGTGGGACTCGATCCTAGGACACTGGGATCATGACCTGAGCTGAAGGCAGATGCTTAATGACTGAACTACTCAGGCACTTCTAATATTACTTTCAACCTCATTTTTAACTAGTTCCTTTCATGTAAGTTGTCAAATTTGGTGACCAAAACGATGGTTTATAATACTTGCCTTATAATTTTAATGTCTGTAGTGATGCCTCTACTTTCGTTCCATGGTGAAGGTCTCCCCATACCATGACTGTTACCTTTAGACTATACAGCAAATAGCATTTCTGTTATCATTTCCTTTGAGCTACTACTGTTTTCTGTCTGTGGAATTATTTATAGTTCTTTATCAGTAGATTCATTTCAGAGGTGATGATCACTGTTACTTTATCCTATTCATCAAAAATACCCTGGTCTTTGTGAGTTTTTAAAAATTTTTTAATATTTATTAATTTATTTATTTATCTATTTTAGAGAGAGAGAGCGAGCACGTGAGCACGGGCAGGGAGTGGCAGTGAGCAAGGGAGAGAGAATCTTTTTTTTTTTTTTTTAAGATTTTATTTATTTATTTGGCAGACAGAGATCACAAGTAGGCAGAGAGGCAGGGAGAGAGAGAGAGAGGAGGAAGCAGGCTCCCCGCCGAGCAGAGAGCCCGATGCGGGACTCGATCCTAGGACCCTGAGATCATGACCTGAGCTGAAGGCAGAGGCTTTAACCACTGAGCCACCCACTAAGCCACCCAGGCGCCCCAAGGGAGAGAGAATCTTAAACAGGCCCCGTGCTCAGTGGAGCTGAGTATGGAGCCCAAGGCAGAGCTTGATCTCACGCCCCTGAGATCATGACGTGAGCTAAAATCGAGAGTTGGATGTTTAACTGACTGAGCCACCCAGGAACCCCCAATTTTTTTCAAGATTTTATTTTTTAAGTTATCTCTACACCCAACATGGGACTTGAACTTACAACACTAAGATCCAGAGTTGCATGCTCTACCAACTGAGCCAGCCAGGCACCCCATCTCTGTGGGTTTTCTTAATAAAAGATCCTGTTTTAGGGGCACCTGGGTGGCTCAGTCAGAGCAGTGTGTGACCATCTCAGGGTCGTGTGTTCAATCCCCATTTTGGGGGTAGAATTTACTCAGGAAAAAAAAAAAAACAAAAATGTGTTTTGTGTTTCTTCATTCTTCCCCTTTCTTGCTTCACAATACCAGAAGCAGAGACATGAAGGGAACGCACAAGACAAATGCTGGGATAATGACTCTGTGCCTGTCACTCACTTACAGGCATTGCCCAAGAAACGCAGGAGGCCAAGCCCCCGGGCCCCTCAAACGGGATGCCGATGGAGTCAGGAGAAACGGAAATACTCAGAAAAGCGGTTGAGGACTATTTCTGCTTTTGTTACGGTAAAGTTCACAGGCCAAGCATTAATTCTCTAAATAGTTCACCAAGGGGCAGCTGGACCCCGTTTCAGATCACCTTATTCATGGGACCACTTAGATGCCTCTGACACTTAAAACTCCACATTCTCCTTTAGTAAAAAGCCAGTTCTTCTTCTTCTTTTTTTTTTTGTTTTTTTTTAATTTTATTTTATTTATTCGAGAAAGCACAAACAGGGGGAGTGGCAGAGAGAGGGGGAGAAACAGGCTTCCTGCCGAGCAGGGAGCCTGCCATGGGACTTGATCCCGGGATCCAGAGATCATGACCTGAGCCTAAGGCAGTTGCTTAACAAACTGAGCCACCCAGGCGCCCCTACAAATAAAATCTTAAAAAAAAAAAAAAAAGGCTGGGGCACTTGGGTGGCATAGTCACTGCACGTCTGCCTCCGGCTCAGGTCATGAGGGTCCCGGGATAGAGCCCCATGTTGGGCTCCCTGCTCAGTGGGAAGCCTGCTTCTCCCTCACCCACTGCTCCTGCTTGTGTTCCCTCTCCCACTGTGTCTCTCTGTCATAAATTTATAAAATCTTTAAAAAAAGAAAAAAAGGGCTCAGTACCCAAATAGCTACAGGGGTGTTGTACTTAGTTGTGACATAAGCTCCTTCCTTAGCATCTCAGGGTCTTGTTTGTCATTTTTAAAGAGCTTCATATATTTATGGGACTTTCAGGTCCCTGTGAGCACTCAACTGTGGGGGACCCCGAGCATAGGGGATCTGGGGGTCTCAGGCTACCCTCCCCTGAGAGAAATGGGGCTCCTTCCCTGGGGGCTGGTCAGACAGTGCAGAAAGGCTGACACGGCCCCAAGATGGCAGCAACGTGAGGCCATGTTGACTCTGTAACTTTTCCGCGGGAAGTTGGCCTGACTCGTTGGAGGGATGGAGGGACATAGGGACATAGGGGTGGCTAAGCTGTGGGTGGGGGCTCCCATCCCTTGTTGACAGCAGCTTGAAGAACTACAGGTCCTCCCTGCCACCCTTTGTGCATCGTCTCCAACAACCTGGAGGAAAAAGGCCTATTATTTCCTCTTTCTTAAGTGAAGATGTAAAGTAAAATGTTTGATAAGTTCTTCCTTGGGCCCTTTGGAAACTTTGTGAACTTGGGTTGTAAGGAATGAGCTACATGAGCTTTTACTTGACCTTCAAAGCAGAGTGTCGCCACCCAAGTTTTCATCCTACCTCGAATGAAACCGACCTGTAGGGTCTGGGCTCATTCCATCTAAAGGCATCTGGACTCTTCCTCTAGGGAAAGCCTTGGGGACGACGGCAATGGTACCTGTTCCGTACGAGAAGATGCTGCGAGACCCCGGGGCCGTGGCCGTGCAGGGCCTTCCAGAAGGAGTGGCCTTTCAACCCCCTGAGAACTATGGTCTCGCCACCCTGAAATGGATCTTGGAGAACAAAGCGGGGATTTCATTCATCATAAACAGGTGGCAGGCTCTATCCCCCTTGTAACAGCTCGTCTTTGAGGATAAATGGGCAACTTCGTTTCAAGTTCATTTGTTCATTAAGTTCTGTTACACGTAGAAGCTGGTTATGCGGATGTTTGATCTGTCTTCCTTGTGTGTTCATGTCAGGTAATAGTATCGGTTTTCTTGCAGACCTTTCCTAGGTCCAGCGAGTCAGCTAGGTAAGTGACAGCGTCTCGTACTTGGTGACTGCCCTTGGCCGCTAAGCCAGTTCTGCTTTTCTTAATTAAAATGCAAGTTTGGTACATTCGGAAGCTTGTGTATTCCTTGCCTTCTCCCCGCGGAGGGAGCAACCTTCTGACACTCCAGGGTGGGCGGGGGGTGGGGGGATCGTGTTGTTGGAGGGTGAGTAGGTCAGGGAAGGACCCACCACAGCAAGAACTGAGACGGGATTCTGCTCCCCGGTCTCAAGCAGGCAAGTTTCCACGGCTGGACCATGGAGGGCAGTAGGGCCAACCTTGTCCTCAAGGACAGGAGCGTGAAGATGCCAGGTCACCCCACGGGCCGGGCATTGTTGGGGTCCAGAGGCGGGGTAGGAGATGTGACCGTTCCCGTGCTTCTGAGACTCACGATCTAGAATGAAGGAGACTGTCCAACAGAGAACCAGCGATGGCCTGTGATGTTCTCAGGATGGCTGGTGGTCATCCCCGGAAGCCTGGAAGGGGTTAGAATTGTGTGGCCAGAAGGGCTTCCTAGAGGACCAGGTTCTCAAGCTGATGCAGGGTCACAATGTGTTGGTTCTGCCAGGAAGCCCATCCCACGTGCTCTGGCAGAAAGCGGGACATGTGGGTGTTGGAGGCCGCATTTGAGAACCCACAACCCTTCATCATCTCCTTAACTTTTGATGACCAAGGGACCAAGAAATTACAATTTTGCCAGAAGCATTTGGAGATCTACCTCTGCCCACTTCTTACTCCTTCAGATTATTCTGGAATGCAGTGGGAAACACAGTGACCATAGCTGGCCTTGGGAGACCAGGCCTAAGAGGGTGTTCTGCTGAGAGGACTAGTTACAGAAACAAAAGGCCCAGGGGAGGGGTGGGGCAGGCTTCACAAGGCGCAGGCGGGGTTCACGGGCAACGTGACATTGTGCTGAGCCTGAACTACTCACCGAGCAAAGCCCCTTGGAGAGCACTTTTAAGTTCCCAGAATTCCCCAGGTACTGTTAAAGCAGGGACCTGAGGGTGAGGGGCGGCCGGTGACCTGGTGGCCAATGTCCCCCATGGCTTATATTTTCACTACAGGAGTGTATTAGCTGCTCAGCCTTTCTCCGCACGTGTGCCGTACCTGGCACGATTCTAAGTACTTTGTACGTATTAATTGATCGTCACATCACTCTACCACCATTTTCAGACGAGGAAACTGAGGCCTCAGGAGGTTTAGTGACCTGCATGAGGTCGCTCCAGCCCCAGTCTACTCCTCGGCCCCCAATCTGCCCCCACACTTGGTACCAGGACACAAGGGCTGCTCTGAGTTTATCTCTGCCCAGGACGATGGCGTAAGGGCTGGGGCTGTACTTGTGTTTTCTCTACCTTTGCTTTCACCTTACGTGCCCCTGAATGTTGGCATTTTCAAGGTGCAGAAAGGGGCTAGCATGTGTCTTTCTCCTCCTGCACAGGTGGGCCTGTGGTGGCCACAGACGCTAAGAGGTCGGTGACGTCGCCAAGCGAAAGGTAGGGGGTGTAACAAATCAGATGCACACATAACCCTAAAGTGTTAGTTTTTAGACCGTGGGAAGTTCGACATTCTTTATTCAAAGGGATTTGGGGATTTTAAGACTATGTTCTGTGGACACCTTTATTTGTATGACAAATTACAAGAATGTTAATACTAAATTAGCTTTGTGTTCGGCTGGTTAACGGGAAGGGGAGCAAGGATGGTGTGGATACGGGGGGATTGTTGTACAGCCTGTCCCGATGCCTGTGGTCACGTCTCACGCCACCAGCTTGTCCTGACAGGGGCTCCCTTCTCCTTTCAGCTGCGGCCCCGTCAGTGTGAAAACTGAGCCCATGGAAGATTCTGGTATGTACACCGATGCCTTTAAAACCAAGTGTTTAGCGGGTTATCATGAGTCCTTTCTTTGATTTTACTTCTAAAATGTGAGACTTTCAGTAAAGTAGAAAGGGGGGGCACTCTCTCAAAGTAACAACAACAACAACAAAAAATACAAAAAGCCAACAACTAATATCACACTTGGTGAGAAACTAGATCCTTTCAGCGACGTCTGCGGGGCTCAGGGTCAGGATATGGAGCCCTGCATCAGGCTCCGTGCTAAGTGTGGAGTCTGCTTGAGATTCTCTCTCTCCCCCTCTGCCCCTCCCCCCACTCTCTCACACACCCTCTCTCTCAATAAATAAAATTTTTTTTCAAAGAGTTTATTATTTATTTGGGAGAGAGAGCACGAGTGGGGGGAGGAGCACAGGGAAAGGGAGAAGCAGACTCCCTGCTAGGCAGACAGCCTGATGCGGGGCTCGATCCCAGGACTCCAGGATCATGACCTGAGCCAAAGGCACACACTTAACTGACTGAGCCACCTGGGAGCCTCAATAAATAAATAAAATCTTTTTTTTTTAAAGCTTTTATTTATTTATTTGACAGCAGAGATCACAAGTAGGCAGAGAGGCAGGCAGAGGGAGGGGGGAAGCAGGATCCCTGCTGAGCAGAGAGCCCGATGCAGGGCTTGATCCCAGGACCCTGGGACCAAGACCTGAGCCAAAGGCAGAGGCCCAACGCACTGAGCCACTCAGGCGCCCCAAATAAATAAGATCTTAAACAAAACAAAACAAAACTAGAACCTTCCCATTGAGATCAGGAACGAGGCAAGGATATTCCCTCTCCCACTCCCTTCCAGCATCGTACTGAAAAAAATGTGATAAGACAAGAAAAGGAAATAAGAACCACACAGATTGGGAATGATGAAACATAACGGCCTCTGTTCACAGACGCCAGGATTGTCTATGTAGAAAGTCCCAAGAATTGACCAGTACCAGGGGTGGTGGTGAGTAGGGCATTAAATAACCTCGGGGCGCCTGGGTGGCTCAGTGGGTTAAGCCTCTGCCTTTGGCTCAGGTCATGGTCTCAGGGTCCTGGGATCGAGCCCCACATCGGGCTCTCTGCTCAGCGGGGAGCCTGCTTCCCCTTCCTCTCTCTGCCTGCCTCCCTGCCTACTTGTGATCTCTCTCTGTGTCAAATAAATAAATTTTTTAAACGTCTTTTTAAAAAAAGGAAAAAATGTTTACTGGATTTTATATAAATGCACACGTATATGCTGCTGTCTCGAAAGGGAACATTTTTCTCAAGCTGGGAACTTGACCTTCTTCTTCCGTCCTTTCCCTCCCTTCCTCTTTCTGTTCCTTTCATCCTCCTTCTTTCCCTCCTTTCTTCTTCCCTTTGATGTTGATTTTATGTTGTTTTGTTGTTACGACTTCTGTTTTTATACGGGTTTACCGTTTGCTCAGAGAGTGTGAGCTCCGCATGTTTTCGCTCACTCTTGTGTCGTCGTGTTAACACAGAGCCTGGAAGTTTCAGCAGCAGCTCCTGGCTCTCTGGGTGTGTGTAGGGAGCTGCGGACTCACACATGGTTTTATCATTTTCGTTGCCTCCAAAGGCACCGCGGTGAAGACGGCGGCTGTGTCCGTCAAGAAGGAATCAGAAGATCCTAATTACTATCGCTACAACACGCAAGGTAATACCATTTTAGCCTCATTTTCTTCCTAAAAGTTATCGGTGATGGAAAATTGTCATTAGCCCCCTTCTGAAAAACAGTCAGAGAGTAATTAAAAAAAGAAGAAGAAGACCCACATGCCGGGGACCTAGCGTAGGGCCATTGACGTAAAGTGTTTCACAGTCATAGCACAGATCCCGTGTAGCCCGAGTCCACATGCTTCAGGGCAAACGTGAGGGTGAAGGTAAGCCAGGGTGTACATCACCTGAGTTTATCTGTTAGGAAGTCTTATTTTGTGCGTTCAAAAATCCTGATCTGGGTGGCTCTGTCGGTGAAGCATGTGACTCGATCTCAGCTCAGGTCTTGATCTCAGGGTCATGAGTTCGAGCCCCGCGTTGGGCTCCGTGCTGCGCGTGGAAACTGTTTAAAAACAACAACAACTTATCTCTGATCCTCTCCTGTCCGGTCTGTCCCCTAAATTACTGGGAAAGTATCAAAAGAAATTCAGGTCCCGTTCTTAATAATATCTGTTTCATTGACAAGTTAAATGGGGAACAGAAGACACGGCTTACCAGAGACGCACACATTTCACACAGGGCGCGGGTGGCTGGTCAGTAGTTGTCTGGCGAGGTCCTCTCCCCAGAGACCAGAGTCCGGATGGACCCCTCCCAGCATGATGCCAGCTGGATGACACGACGTTGTCGCGTCCATAAGAGCGTTGTAAGCCCCCGGATCCCGTCTCGTCTTTGACTCTGGTGTGAAGGCAGGCAGACTGTGGGACATTTCCCAGTTAATTCCTCAAACTGACCAGGTTCCAAGTGTTTCCCATGAAAATCTTACCTTTGAAATATTCCTGCGCCATTTGAGCTCTATAACTTACGGTAAAAAAATTTTTTTTCCAAAACTGAAGACCAGTGAGAGTGTCCGTCGTATCACTCTGGTTCTGGGCTGGTCGCCCCACCCCCACCCACAGCTGGACCCCTTTTCAATCCGTCCTACATCCTGTCCCCCAATCATTTATTCCTGGAGAACGGTGTGTGTCGCCTCCCTCCCCTGCTCACACATCGTCTGTGGCTTCTCCTCACCCGTGTCTTCCATCGCTGTTCCCGGCTCCCTTCCTGTTCTGTCTGCCCACCCCCCACCCCGTCCCCCCACGATCAGTCCCCCCTCCCCTCAGTTTTTCAGACGTCCTGCTCAGGCTGATTCCTGTCCCTAAACAGGCCCCGAATCCTCCTTCCCCCGGCTTTTATACAAGCTGATCCCTCCGTGTGGTGGGTTCCCTCCTAGCTCTGCAGGCTTCCAGCAAGTTCCACCACTTTCTGGAGAGTCAGAATCTCAAGGAGAGCAGGGAGCTTCCGCCCCCAAAGTGCATGCACCTTTAGTCCTGCCTGCTCGTGTGGTATTTATGCTTTCACTGCGGACGACCCCAGCCAGTGGCGGGCTCCTGGGGTGGGGTGGGGGGAGGCACACAGCGTCTTCTCCCAGCTCTGAGCCCCAGGGCCCCGAGCCCAGGGCTGTGCACACAGCAGGCGCTCACACGTGCTTGCTGAGCTGAGCGTGTCCCTCGCAAAGAATCCATGTGCCTGTTTCTCAATCGCTCCCGTTTTGGAAAAAAGTACACATGATTACATGTTGACTCCCAGGAATATCCTTTTCAACTTAAATGACCTTGAGCTTTATCAAAATGTATAGGTTGAGGGGATCTGGGGTATTTACAGAGTCTGCTCCCAAGGCAGCAGTGAAGTGAGTAGGGGACTAGATAGACGTACGTACCATCATTCTGGTTCAGTTTTTCGGAAAGAAGCACGTTTGAAGAACCACATTTAGGTTACATGTGCGCTTTCTGATCTTTCTCCGGCTTGGTTTGGAAAGGACGGAACTATTCAAGATATCTTCTTGGTACAAAAACTCCTAAGCGGGGCCCCTTCCTTCTTGATGCCCCAAGGGTGAAAATTGCCTGACATCGTGGATGGCTTTCCAGGGGACGGATAGTTTTTGCCACCACTCAGGCGAAGTCCTCACGTGCTGAAGTACTGACATCGTTATATACCCTTGAAGTGAGGGAGAAATGTTTAGATCCATAAGGGCAACCAAGGCCCCTTGCTCAGAATGTTGACTGGCCTTTGCGGAGCCCCCCCAGCCCGTGATGTCAGCTGTGGCCCCACCGGGGCCCGGGGCTTGTGTGAGATTTATACAAAAGTCTGATTCCCGACTCCACCTGGACCTCACCCTCCATCCGAGCACAGACCTCTCAGAAGACCCCTGACTCACGTACACACATTGGTGACTTGGGAATTCCCATAAGGTCTTTCATACGTGCAAGTACCCCATCTCCAGGGCCCCTGGGAATGGAGAATGAGGAGGACAAGCACTAAAAAGTGGAGGGAGGGTTGTCTCCCTCTCTTTTTAAATTTAAGAAAAAATTTCTTTTAAGATTTTATTTATTTATTTGACAGAGATCCAAGTAGGCAGAGAGAGGGGAAGGGAAGCAGGCTCCCTGCTGAGCAGAGAGCCCGATGTGGGGCTCGATCCCAGAACCCTGGGATCATGACCCGAGCTGAAGGCAGAGGCTTCAACCCACGAGCCACCCAGTTTTTTTTAAATTTTAAGTAATCTCTACACCCAACAAGGTACTCGAATTCACAACCCCGAGATCAAGGTTCGCCCGCTCCACTCACCGGGCCAGCCAGGTGCCCCAGGAGTCTCTCTTCTTCTAAAATGGAAATGCCATAAAAATCAGGCAGACTACAGAACCGCTCCAGATTAAATGAGGGTGAAGAGCAGTGGAAACAAGACGCAGTGCCGGGCCCTAGACCGGATCCCGTCCTGGAGAGGAAGTGTTCAGAGGTGAAGGGCCACGGTGTCCCTAACTTGCCCTCGGGTGGGTCGGAGAAGGAGAAAAGGACGTCCCCTATACATGCATCGATCCAGCTACTTAGGAAGCTGGGGCGGGGGTAGGGGGCCAGGATTGCACATAATCAAGGGAAACCATAAACCCTTATCTCCGTGTCGTTGAAGGAGACGGTATGTGGTTCCTCTTTGTGACTTTTCTGTAACTTTGAAACTATGCCCAAATATGACATTTTTTTAAAAGATGTGTATGAGGCAGTTGAGGAAGTTTGCACAGTGACCCGGTATGAGCTGAGGGTACAGAACAGTTGTTAATTTGGGGGGAGCCATGGTGTGGGGAAGGGGCCGGAGGAGTCCCGCCGTCTTGCTCGCACATGCACGGTCTGCGCGCCCCCGCGCGGCCAGACCTGGGATTTACTTGAAGGACGGGGCGGGGGCCCACGTTGGTGGCTGTCGGCATGGGAGATGGACACACAGCATCGTTCTGCCATCTCCGCTCTGGGACATTTGGATCTTCTCCCAAGCGCAGATAAATCAGCAAAGAAAAAACGTGAAGAAGGAATCACTTGTGTGAATGTCGTGGCAAGGACTTGCAGTGGTTCTCAAGAACATCCCTGCGTGGGGCTTGACCTGTTGACTTGGTTTTAAATGAATTCTTGTTTACATTTTCTATTTTGGCCTTTTTTTTTTTTTTTATTGTGTCATTTGCTTCCCTTTCAGAAAGCCAGCATCCTTGTGCCAGCGGCGAAGTAACAGAAATGGAGTTACCCATGGAAGGTCAGAGAATCCAGGCATTTTAGCCTCTTTTCGGTTTTGGTGTTCTGGTTTGCAGTGTTTTTGCAGAGAACACGGTCTTTTAAAGACCCGTGACGCATGTTGGACAGTGAGGCAGCTTCCCCGCATGCCTCCTCAGAAAACCACCCGGGTCTTGGTGCTAAAATGTGGTCTCAGGAGCTCTGTCACCCTTGCTTTTCTGACCCGTGAGTAATTCTTCTTAAAACACCCAGATTAGAAGTTGTGTGGTAAGAAAGATTTACACCTGTGCCATTTACTGCTTTATCCACTTTATCTTCTTGATGGGCATACCAGAATTCTTTTTTTTTTTAATAATTTTAAGTAAACTCTGCACCACACATGGGGCTCGAACTTATGACATTAAAAGCTGCATGGTCCACCAACACCCAGTCAGGTGCCCACCCCCTCCAAATTCTTTTGAACAGAGATGAGAATTATTTTAGGAAATTCTTCTTTTTTTAAGATTTTATTTCTTTATTTGAGAGAGAGAAAGAGAGCAGGAGAAGGGGCAGCAGGCGCGGAGGGAGAGGGAGAAGCAGACTCCCTGCTGAGCAGGGAGCCCGATGTGGGACTCGATCCCAGGACCCTGGGATCATGGCCTGAGCCAGAGGCAGACACTTAACCCACTGAGCCACCCAGGCGCCCCTAGAAGTAAAATTTGATGGTACGTCCCTCCCTGTGTGTATGAATCTTGAGTATCCTGTGTAAGGCCTGAACTCTTAAAATGGTTCATACATGTCCAAGGTAACATTAATAAAGGAGATTTTGTCTCCACATCTAGAGGCATGGGACATCTTTATCGGTTTAACAGGCAAGAAGACCTTGCTTTTAGGAGTAGGATGATGCCTCTCTTGGTTCCAAAATGATTTGTATTTTCTCTAAGTCAGGTCATGATCCCAGGGTCCTGGGATCGAGCCCCAGCATCAGGCTCTCTGCTTGGCAGGAAGCCTGCTTCTCCCTCTCCCTCTCCCCCTGCCTGTGTTCCCTCTCTCGCTGTGTCTGTCAAATAAATAAATAATAAACAAATAATAATAAATTAATAAATTAATAAATAAAATCTTAAAAAGAAGAAGAAGCTTCAAGAGCAGAGATGTGTGGTGTGTCTTCACTGTTCCCCCCCCCCAAGACGGTGTATCTTACGTTACAATAGTCCAATACCCAACAACTGATCCCTTTAGAGTCTTTCTTCCTCTACGAACAATTAACGGAAGCTTTCTAAAATGAGCCAGAGTTAGATGAGATCGTCCAGCCAGGCTTGTGTCCGCGGGTCATAATTCTGGCAAACCAGAAAAAACGATTATGTCTCCGGGGTCATAACAGGCTGGACCCTGGGGGCTGGTGGCAGGGGACCCGCCCCACAGAGCACCCAGCTTTCTTTTGTCCAAGGGATTTCTGATGACACCAAAAAAAGTGCTTCTGACCATAGGAATTCCATTACCTCAAAGAGAAGGACATTCCATGTCCACTAACGGGAACTGTTTCTTAATATGTGAGAGTTTCTTGCCTCCCCTTATCCCTTAGAAGGTTACCCTTTCTTACCCTATGATCCCTCTTAAAGTTAAAATTACCTTCACTTTTAGGGACGCCTGACTGCGTCGGTCAAAAGAGCGTGAGGCCCTTGATCTCGGGATCATAAGTTCAAACCCCACGTTGGGTGTAGAGATTATGACAAAATAGTAATAATAAGTAAAAATAAATATTTAGGTCTTTCATCCATTTTGAGTTTATCTGGGTGGGTGGTGTAAGGAAATGGCCCAGTTTCATTCTTCTGCATGTGGCTGTCCAGTGTTCCCAACACCATTTGTTGAAGAGACTGTCTTTTTTCCATTGGACATTCTTTCCTGCTTTGTCGAAGATGAGTTGACCATAGAGTTGAGGCTCCATTTCTGGGCTCTCTATTCTGTTCCATTGATCTGTGTGTCTGTTTTTGTGCCAGTACCATACTGTCTTGATGATGACAGCTTTGCAATAGAGCTTGAAGTCTGGAATTGTGATGCCACCAACCTCGGTTTTGTTTTTCAATATTCCTCTGGAGGGTGTGATGCTGAGCAAAATACATCAATCAGATTAAGACAATTATCATGTGGTTTCACGCATATGAGGCATATGAGAAAGAGTGCAGAGGACCATAGGGGAAGGGTAGGGGAAGGGAGGAAAACTACATAGGGAGAAACCAGAGAGGGAGACAAACCATGAGAGACTCCTAACTCCAAGAAACAAACTGAGGGTTCCTGGAGGGCACCGGGGTCAGGGACGGGGTGCCTGGGGGATGGGCATTGAGGAGGGCGCGGGACGTGATGAGCACTGGCTGTTAGACGCAGCTGATCCACTGACCTCTAGAGCCGTAGAAGGCTGGAACATGAGGGCACATAACAACGTGTGTCATTTTAGACTTTTTTTTTTCCCAAGATTCCACTCCGCGTGTCCCTTCAGAAATGAGTGAGGACCCCAAAGCTGAGGTGAAAATCGAAGGTGAGTTTCCGGAAGCCTCGTCAGAGGGACGCTGCTCGGTGTGGCATGTGTGTGTGTGTGTGTGTGTGTGTGTATGTCTGTCCGTGCAGCTCAGCACTGGCCGGGACGCAGACTATGCTCCATCCCGAGTGAGGAAGAAAGAAGGGGCTTGGGGGGGAGGCAGCTGGGGGGCTCAGTGGGTTAAGCGTCTGCCTTCAGCTCAGGTCATGATCCCAGAATCCTGGGATCGAGTCCCACGTCGGGCTCCCTGCTCGGCGGGGAGCCTGCTTCTCCCTCTCCCTCCGCCTGCTGCTCCCCTGCGTGTGCATGGAATGTCTTCCCATTTCTTTGCATCGTCTTGAATTTCTTTCATCAGTGTTCGTTTTCAGAGTACAGGTCGTTCCCCTCTTTGGTTGTTTATTTCTAGCTATTTGACTGTTTTGGGTACAGTTGTCAATGGGATCGTTTTCTTAATTTCACTCTGGCTTCACTGTTAGTGTGTGGGAACGCAACAGATCTCTGTGCCTTGATTTTGTACCCTGTGGCCTTACTGAATTCATTTGTCAGTTCTAGTAGTTCTTGGTGGAGCCTCTAGGGGTTTTGATAGGTAGAATCATGTCGTCTGCAAATCGTGACGGCTTTACTTCTTCCTACCAGTTGGAGGACTTTCATTTCTTTACGTTGCTTAATTGCTGTGGGAGTCTTTTTATTTTCTTTTTTAAGAGTTTCTCTATTTGAGAGAGCAAGAGGGCATGAGTTGGGGGGTGGGAGAGGCAGAGGGAGAGCGAGAAGCAGGCTCCCCGCTGAGCAGGGAGCCCAACCTGGGACTCGATCCCAGGACCCTGATATCATGACCTGGGCCAAAAGGCAGGCGCCGAAATGGCTGAGGCACCCAGGCGCCCCGGGAGCCCTTTTATTTAGAGATAATATTATTCCCCGTGACTCACCACAGAGTCTGAATCGATTTTGCCATTTTAGGGGGATTTGGAAATGGAATGGTTGTTCCCATCCGGATTTGGTTCTTCCATTTTTACTTTATCTCTCTGAATTCTGAAACTGCTGTCACCACGTTGACTTTGTTTCAGAGGGAAAATCCCTCCCATCATGATTTATAAGAGAGAGAAAGAGCGAGCAGCCCAGGTGCCCAGCGGTTAGAAGAAGGGCTGCGGCCATCCGCTGGGAAAATTGCCCACGTTCATTCAGTGGAAAACAAAGCCGTCTGGCTCGAGGCAAGTTAGAAACAAAACGGAGGGAGACCCAAGTCATAATTTCCCGTAGGATCAGGGCGCCTGCGTGGCTCAGTCAGTTAAGCGTCTGATTCTTGAATTCAGTTCCGGTCCTGATCTCCGGGTCCTGGAATCAGGCCCACGTCAGGCTGCACACTCAGCATGGGGTCTGCTTGGGATTCTCTCTCTTCCTCTCCCTCTCTCCCTCGCCCCTGCTCCCTGCTAATCAATCAATCAATCAATCAAATCTTTAAAAATAATAATAATTTATACTGCGATCTACATAAAAAGAAATTTTATGTAGAAAGAAAAAACAGAAGATAATACCAAAAAACAAAAAACAAAAAAACCATAGCGACCAGTGTTGGAATTGTGTGTGATTTTACTTTTCTTCATTTTGCCTTTCCCCGTTTCCCTCACTCTACCCAGGAAGCGTAGGTTAATTACGTATGAGGGGGAAAATTCAGACACTGATGGGTTCTGTGTGAAGGGACCGCTTCTCCGCGGGGTGTTAGCTCTGACAGTTTTACTGGAAGTCATGCGGTGATGCCGTCCGGGTAACCGGACGCAGAGGAGATGCCCCCTGTCCAGAGGTGATGTCCCTGGCCCGTAGCCAGGAGGGAGGGATGGATGGATTTTCCCTCAGTGGGGATGGATTTGTGCTAAGTCCGCCATACCTGAAGTCAGTGGGGCCTGGTGGGTTTACAGATAAAACGTGATATTTACATGGCCCAGTCTCAGGCCATCATAAGGCCTCACTGTGGCATCTGGGACCCCCGTTCTGAGCCATACAGTGAGGTGGTTTTCCCTTAAAATCCCACGAAAGGAAACCCTTAAAATACTTTCAATTTTTTTTACTGAAGTGAAGCTAACATTACATAAAATTAACCATTTTAGTGTGAATGATTCAGTAGCTTTTGTACATTCATGGTGTTGACTGACCATCTCTATCTAGCTTCAGAGCATTTTCATCTCCTCAGAAGAAAACCCCAAACCCGTTACTAGTTCCTCCCACTCTTCCCTCCCCAAGCCCCTAGCATCTACCAGGCTACTCTCTGTCTCCATGGATTTACCTTTTCTACCTGTTTCATACAGGTGGGGTTGTACAGTGGGTGCCTCTGGGGCCTGACTTCTTTCATTTAAATCTCTAGGGGCTCCTGGGTGGCTCAGTCGGTTAAGCGCCCAACTCTTGATTTTGGCTCCAGTCATGATCTCAGGGTCGTCAAATGGAGGCCTGTGCCAGGCTCTGAGCTGAAGGTGGAACCTGCTTTGTATTCTCTCTCTCCCTCTCCCCCCGCTCCCCGCCCCACTCATGTGCACTCACACGGTCTCTCAAAAAAGTTAGAAATAATAACTTAATCAAATAAAATAAATTCTCCAAAGGTCATCCACATGGCAAAAAATGACAAAACTTCCTTTCAAGGTTGAATAATATTCCACCGTGTGCATAAATCACGGGTTATCCATTCTTCCATAGATTAACGCTTAGGTTGTTACCTCAAAGTACTTTTATGAATATAATGTAGTGTGAACATACGGAGTTGTCAAATCGCTATGTTGTACACCTGAAACCAACGCAATGTTGTGTGTGCACTCTACTTGAATTAAACGAGGAAACAATAAAGAATCCCATGTTAGAATCCAAGTCTGGTGGCGATTTGAACACAGGTTGATGGAAACGTTCTCCAAGATGGCCTCCCTGCTGTGCTCCTCTCTTGTGGGGCATGACGCTCGTGCAGGGACTACAAGTCCAATCACCTTTTTGGTCTGGAGAGCAGTTTTCTAAAGGATTGACTATAAGTTATTTGGTAGATAATGACCACCTAGCAAAGAACCGAGGCATTTGGAAGCCCATGTGTAGGTGTGCGCTTGTCCTGCGTCAGACGGCGGTTATTACGATGACTTATAGAATGTGGAGCCAGAGGAGCACGTTCATATTTTATTTTTTAAAAGATTTATTTATTTATTTTAGGGAGAGAAAGTGCATGCAGGGCGGAGGGGCTGGGAAGATGGAGAGTGTCTTAGACACAGAGCATGGAGCCTGACTGCCTACAGCCCATGTTCTCTGAAGCTTTAGAATTTGAGCTTGTGCTTCTGATCAGAGTGGCACGTGGACGTTTTTAGAGGAGAATTAAACTAATTTTCTTCAAGTCCTAAATTTCAGTTTCTCTTTTTAGGAAGCACAAATTCATCCAGCGTCAAAAATTCTGCGGCTGGTGTTGAAGATCTTAACATTGTTCAGGTGACAGTTCCAGGTATGGACGTCTATCTGGCGTTCTTGTAATTGATGTTATATTTTTCTTTTTGTTATATTTTAACCATTTTATGACACGGGTCATAAACCCTTGGAACTTTGTTATTATTAATTTTTTTTTGCTTAGTTCACCCTTTCAACAATTCAGGAATATCAAATACAGTACAGAGTGTCAAACACTGAATATCTAGCTTATATCAGACATCGTTAATCAAATATATTGCTTCTCACAGCCATGCCTTGGCATTACTGGAAAATACACCTCAGGGCGGGCAACTCCAGCTACCATGGAATAGGAATTGGCCACAGAGGGGAGTTTATCTGCTGCCCATCGAGCAGTCCTTTCTGAATATGTGTATATAAAATCTATCTGGAGAGATACACAAGAATCCAATAACATAGTCCCTCCAAAGAAGGAAACAGAGCTGAGAGAGGGATGGGATAGAGATGGTTCACTGTGCAGTGTTCTGTCTTGTGAGTTTTGAACCACATAACTGCTTTAGTTATTCAAAATTAAATACAATAAAAATGTGAAGTATTGAAAAATATTCCGTTCTAGTCCTACTACGTCTTATTCCTTTTACCTGTCATAATGCGTTGGCTAAGATTGCTAATTCAGTGTTGAAGAGTAGAGGTCAACATGAATATTCTGGTCCTACATAATGTTGAAAATGTTCCCTAAAGCAGTATGGAGTGTGTTTACATGGGTTTATAAATTGGGACATTCTCTGTCATCTACAATGGCTTCCATTTACACATTTCCAAAAAACTAAACTGAACGATAAGCCAGGTAAAGTGCTTTCTTCCTATGCTGTCAGGCTCTTTCTCCAACAGCTTTTTAGGGGGCAAATATATCAATAACCCTAGTTTGTTTGATTGTCTGATTATTTTTAGATAATGAGAAGGAAAGATTATCCAGCATTGAAAAGATAAAACAACTAAGAGAACAAGTCAATGACCTCTTTAGCCGAAAATTTGGTAAGTTTTTATATTGTTATGTATCCAAAAAGTATATATTTGAGGTATTTCTTTTTAATGAATACTTTATTGATCTTTCTGGAGGTGCCTGGCCGGCTCAGTCAGAAGAACGTGCGACTCTTGATCTAGGAGTTGTGAATTCAAGCCCCATGTTGGGTGTAGACCTTACTAAAAAAAAATTTTAATAAAATGTATATTTTTAAAGATTTATTTATTTATTTAGTTATTTGACAGAGAGAGAGATCACAAGTAGGCAGAGAGGCAGGCAGAGAGAGAGGGGGAAGCAGGCTCCCTCCTGAGCAGCTGATGTGGGGCTCAATCCCAGGACCCTGAGATCATGACCTGAGCTGAAGGCCCAGGCTTAACCCACTGAGCCACCCAGGTGCCCCCCAAATATATTTTTTAAAAAAGAAATAATCTCCCTGGGAAGGAGCTATGATCAAAATCAGTGTGTATTTTCCCCGACGATCTTTTATGTGAACACCGTGATCACAAGAAACTCTCTCTTCGATTTACTGGGTTCCTACGTAATAGCCGAGCATGGCTTTCAATACTCCCATGTGACTCATTATTTAATCTTCATAAAACCGTCTCTCAGGTAGATGCCAGGATCGTTTCTCTTTCACGGAGAGAGAAATTGCGTCTGTTACCTTGCTCATTGCCAACTTCCAAGTCAGTAAGGCTGTCCCTGAAGCAACCGTGGCCGACCGCCCCCACTGTCACTGGACGGGAAGGATCTTAACGCCTCGGCCGTAAAGACAAAGCGTGGTCTGGGAAAGGCAAGTGGCACACTGAGGCGTCTTCTGTTGCTTCTCTCCTCCCAGGTGAAGCCATCGGGGCAGACTTCCCCGTGAAGGTCCCCTATAGGAAGATCACGTTCAACCCTGGCTGTGTGGTGATCGACGGCATGCCCCCGGGCGTGGTCTTCAAGGCCCCTGGCTACCTGGAAATCAGCTCCATGCGAAGGATCTTGGATGCCGCAGAATTTATCAAATTCACGGTCATCAGGTAGGTGAGCGCCCCCTGCTTGGTCATGAGAATGAATCTGAAGGTCGCCCGCCACCTGACCGATGAGGGTGGGGGGAAATGGGGAAGGGGGCAGTGGGATTTTTTTTTTTTTTTAACCCCAGGAGGTGGCCGCTTCCGGGAGCTGCATGTCCAAGGACAGATGAACTCTGTTGCTTTCATTGTGTCTCTCTCCCTTCAGACCCCTTCCAGGCCTGGAGCTTAGCAATGGTGAGTAGCCCGGGTAGGGGGCGAGAAGGGCGTCCCAGCACCCACTGTGAGGCGCCAGACGTGTCGCCGGGCCCTCACCCCAGGGTCCTCGCTTCTTGAGCCCTAGAACAAAGCCTGGTGTTCACTGGACGCAGTTTATGTGACCTGCTGGTCATCAAGTCCTTTCCTTCTGGTCATCAAGTCCTTTCCTTCTGGGGCTTCACCAGAATTCTCATCGCACAGTTTGAAGGCGCTCGCTGGCTCTCGCATATGGGAGCCCTTCCTGGCCGGCGAGCGGTGGAGGGGCTGGGTAGCATTTACTGAACTAGCCCAGACCAGTGGGTACATAGCGCCTGCCTGGAACCCCAGCTCCGTCCCCAGGACACCCCTGCCCTCCGCCCAGATGTCCCCCCAGTTCAGAGCCAAAAGGGTACCACTGGGCACAGAGAGGGCTCCCAGGACCCCCTCCGGGGCTGAGGTCAGCATCTCTTCTAACTGAATGGTGCCCCGTATTCTGAGCATGGCCCCCCCGGGTCCCTGCAAGTCAACAGCGTCCCGTGCGGTGAGAAAAGCAGGCATAGGGAAGTCCTCGGGAGTCTGAGTCACGAAGGAACCTCCTCGGTTCAAGCTGGGAAAGCTAAAATACTCTTTGAAAATTCCCGATGGTTCTTCCCAAACTCGTCTTGCTGCTGGATGGGTTTTTGTTTTTGTTTTTAAACTTTCTTTGTAGCTTTATGGAGGCATAATTTACATGCCATAACATTCACTTCGGTGAGGTATACACCTGTCAGCGATTTTGGATAAATTTACAGAGTTAGGTAAACTGTCACCGCCATCTAATATTAGGACATTCCCATCACCCCCCAAAGGTCCCTCCTACCCATTTTTCTGTCATTTCCTGTTGCTGTCCCCAGCCCCGGGCTGCCACCAAATTGACTTTCTTTCTTGTCTCTGCCCACACTTTCTTAAAGTGAATGTTTAGACCCGTGTTCTCTCCAAGTAGAGCGCACCTGCTTCATGGCCAGATTCCTTTAAATTTAAAGCAAGTAAGTTGTGTGCGGTTCTGTGCCTATGAGCAGGGTCCTTTGCGACCCACAGCAGGTAAACCACATGCCGTGGTCATCCCCTTCTCTGTGACTTCTGTGGTCATCCCTCTATCTGTGACTCTCTTGAGACCCAAATGAACAAAATATACATTAAAATGCAAACGTACTGTCAGATCAGTGTCGCTTAAAGCAGACGTGGCAAACAGGTACTTGCTGAATCACAGAAGACGCCTTTCATGCGGCTCACGTACCTTTTAAAAATGGGAATGAGCGGCCAATGCTAAAAAGCCAGGGACGTTTTCTAGGAAAAGAAAGAAAAGCTGGTGACGCTTTTATGAAAGTTGATTTTGGGGATCCAGGGCGCCCAGCTTAGTGGATAAGGGCATGCCACTCTTAATCTCGGGGTTGTGAGTTCGAGCCCGTCTGGCATAGCGTTTTCCTTTAAAAAAAAAAAAAAAGTCCATTTCTAAGTTCTCTTGGAATCCGAAGATCTGGCCACAGATCCCACCTTCCGTCCAGCAGCAGCTGGCTAGGGCTGAGAGTCAGCCGTCCCTCTCTGCAGGGCGGGGTTAACCATGCCCCCCGCCCCCTGCCGCCTCACCCCTGGCATTTATCATCACGTCGTTGCTGTCAGTTTTCGTATAGTGGCATTAAGAGAAAAAGTGAAATGTGTCTTGTCTCCATGTCTCTATCAAAAGTGGGAAAAAGGAAGATAGACCAGGAGGGCCGCGTCTTTCAAGAGAAGTGGGAGAGAGCGTATTTCTTCGTGGAAGTGCAGAATATTCCCACGTGTTTGATATGCAAACAGAGCATGTCCGTGTCCAAGGAGTACAACCTGCGGCGCCACTACCAGACGAACCACAGTAAGCACTACGACCAGTACACGGAGAAGATGCGCGACGAGAAGCTCCACGAGCTGAAGAAAGGGCTCCGGAAGTACCTCCTGGGGTCACCCGAAATCGCGGGTCCCGAGCAGAAACAGGCGCTCGCGGCCACCGTGAGCCCGAAGGAAACCACGGCCGCCGCGCAGCCCGTAGAAGACGTGGCCGGGCACTTATGGGAGAAGTTACGCGAAAAAATCAAGTCGTTCGTGGCCTACTCTATTGCGATCGACGAGATCACGGACATCAATAACACCACGCAGCTGGCCATATTCATCCGCGGCGTGGATGAGAACTTCGACGTGTCAGAGGAGCTCTTGGATACGGTGCCCATGACAGGGACGAAATCCGGCAACGAGATGTTTCTGCGCGTCGAGAAGAGCCTGAAGAGGTTTAACGTCGACTGGTCAAAACTGGTCAGCGTGGCCTCCACGGGCACCCCCGCCATGGTGGACGTGAACGACGGCCTGGTCACGAAACTCAAGTCCAAGGTGGCCACCGTCTGCAAGGACTCGGACCTCAAGTCCGTCTGCTGCATCATTCACCCGGAATCGCTCTGTGCGCAGAAGCTGAAGATGGACCACGTCATGAGCGTGGTGGTGAGCTCGGTGAACTGGATATGCTCGCGCGGGCTGAACCACAGCGCGTTCACGACGCTGCTGTATGAGCTGGACAGCCAGTACGGCAGCCTGCTCTACCACACCGAGATCAAGTGGCTCAGTCGCGGGCTGGTGCTCAAGCGGTTCTTTGAATCGCTGCAAGAAATCGACGCCTTCATGTCGTCCCGAGGCAAGCCCCTGCCTCAGCTGAGCTCTCCGGACTGGATCAGAGACTTGGCCTTCTTGGTCGACCTGACCACGCACCTGAACACGCTGAGCATCTCCCTCCAGGGGCACTCGCAGGTCGTCACGCAGATGTACGACCTCATCCGGGCGTTCCTGGCCAAGCTGTGCCTTTGGGAGACGCACCTGGCCCGGAACAACCTGGCCCACTTTCCCACGCTGAAGTCGGTCTCCAGACACGAAAGCGACGGCCTCAACTACATTCCCAAAATCGTGGAGCTGAAGACCGAGTTCCAGAAGAGGCTGTCTGACTTCAAAGTCCACGAAAGCGAACTGGCCCTGTTCAGCTCCCCGTTCTCCGTGAGGGTCGAGAGCGTGCACGAGGCGCTCCAGATGGAGGTCATTGACCTGCAGTGCAACACGGTGCTGAAGACGAAATACGACAAGGTCGGGGTCCCCGAGTTCTGCAAGTACCTGTGGGGCAGCTACCCGAGGTACAGGGTCCACTGCGCCAAGATCCTCTCCATGTTCGGGAGCACGTACATTTGCGAGCAGCTGTTCTCCATCATGAAACTGAGCAGGACGAAATTCTGCTCGCGGCTCAAGGACTCGCCGTGGGATTCCGTGCTCCACATCGCCACATGACGTGGAAGGCATGCCCGGCCGCGCCCCGCGGACGACTGGAACCCTCTGCATCCCAGGGACGGCGAGATGAGAAGACGATGTGTACGCGATTTCCACTTTCCAGTTCTTTCCACCTCGATTCGGAAACGCAACTTGCGGCATCCCACCCGTTCGTATGACATTCTATGCCTCCACACAGTCCGGTAAAGATCGCGAGCGTTTTATTGTGTCTCTGGTGGTTGCCTTTCCTTGCGGCGGGCGGGTTCCGCTCACCCCTGAGGCCGGCACACGGAAGTTGTAGGCCGCTCAACAGAGAAACAGAGAGAGAGGCGTGTATGCGTGGAGAGTAAGCGCGCACACATCTAGTCCCCCACTTTTTGCACGGTATCCCCTGCGATCTAACACGTTCGCACGCTGGGGGACGGTCCCTTGGAGACATTCGCCAACCGCAGTAGTCCTGTGTGATGTGTCCTCTGCCACGCCGACCCACAAAGGTAGGAGTTAAAAATGGACAATCCCACTTAGCAAGCAACACAGGCTTTCAAAGGCCAAGGGAGCTGAGGTTTGGAGGTGGTTTTGGTTTTTGGTTTTTTGGGTGTTTTGTTTTGTTTTGTTTTGTTTTTGGTAAACTTTATTTTGAGGGACTCCTGGCTGGCTCGGTCAGTAAAGCATCTGACTCTTGATCTCTGGGTGGTGAGTTCGAGCCCCAGGTTGGGTGCGGGGATGCCTTAAAAAACTAATAAACTGTGTTTTGAAGTAATTTCCAATTTACAGAGAAGTTGCAGAAATGAGAAAGGTATGAAGAACTCTTACCTGTTCTCTTGCCAGATTCTCATATGGTTGAAATTTTACCCCAATGCTTTATCACCTGTTCGTTTGGGCTCCCTCTCTCTCTTTCGTGTGTACGTGTGTGTGCGTGTGTACGTTGCCTATGAGTGTGTAGACATGAGTCTCTGAGTATAATGTGTGTTTAATCTTTTCTGAACCATTTGCGGGGGTTACATATATCCTCGCCCCCTGACTACTTAAGGGCTATTCCCGAACCACGACTTAGGGGCCAGTTCTAGTAAATCGAACACTGGTGTAATACTTTGATCTCATTTACCATAAACGACACTGTGCATGGTGTCCCTTGTGTTCTCACATGTTTGCAAGCTGGGGACAAGTCCCCTGGAGACTGTCCTGATGGCCTTCCCTTTATAGCACGGAACCCCTGGAGAGTTGGTTTTTGAAAGCACGTGTACAAACACACACACACACACACACATACAGTGTTCTTACTCTGTATTAGCCACTGGAATTAGTGACCCAAAATTGTGAACACTTTCCAGATTGGAGGAATTAATCTGACTAGGGAACAAAAAGGCTAAAGACCCCGACCTGGTGGTGACCCATTCAGGAAGCCATGGACCAAACACTTGCATAAAAATGAAGGGAGGCTGCAGGAGAGAGAGAAACCAAATTCCAGGCCATTTCCCACACAAGGGATCCGCCCCCCGCTGGAGCTCCAGTGCCTGTCCTCGGACCCAGGGAAAATGACCCCACCCTAGACGTTCCTGTCCTTGGCGGGTGGACTGCAGGTATGGCTGGATCTAGCTAGCTCAGAGGCTCCCTTTCTGGGGGGAGCAATGGGCTGGTTTACAGCAGGGTCAGGGGAGGCCGTCCCCCGTGTACCTGGGTACCCGTGTACCTGGGCTGATGTCCACACTGAGTACCAGAGGGGTCTCCCTGTGGACCCTGCAGGGAAAAGTCAGTCCCTCCCGTGATAGATCGGTAGCTAGAGCCCAGAGTGATTCAGTGACCGGCCAAGGTAACATGGCAGAGATGTGGTCAGGATTCAGACTAGGGCTGTGGGACGCCAAAGTCCACGTTATTCCATGACAGGTGGCTGTCCTGTGTGGCTTTCTGGTGATGAGCCCCTGAGAGGACAGCAGGGGACAGCCCGGGCTGCTTTCTGTGACTGGGCTCTCCATGGGCCGTTCTGCTTTGAATCACCTCCTACCGCCCCTAGCTTCCTTCTTCACCCTGCATGTGTGTTGGCACTGCAGTGGCCCAGGACCGTCACTCCGGCGACTGAGCCACGCCTGGGAGAGCTGACTGAGTGAGCAGTTGGTTTTCTGGGGTCGTGGACTGATGGGGCACCTCCAAATGAGAGCCCTTAGGAGCGGGGTGCTCGGGCCCAGCCCAGGAGGCGGGGGCTGGATTTGGTGGTCCCCATCAGTTCCTCGGGGCAGAGAGTACACAGCATCTCCCCCAAGGCCCTGTCTTCCCATCCCAGGGCGGCCAGAGGACACTGGTCACTCCTCCAACACAGGCCTGGGGTGGGGGCGGGGGGCTGGAGCTCTGGAAGCCAGGCCCCTGTCGCCTCCCTCCTCTGAGCGCCCATCGGCCACAGCACCCGCCGCTAGGGCTGAGCGACAGACCAGGAGCTCTGCGGGGTCAGGAGAGAATAATGGGTCCCGTAGGGCTTTGGAACCAGAAAGAAAAGCCTCCCTCCACCTCCCAGCTTTGCCACCCACTTGCCATATCACCCTGAAAACCCGCTTACATTTTCTGAGGCTTGGCTTCCACCACCATAAACCTGACAGGGTTGTTCTCAGAACCAAAAACAAGGTAAAGAATGAGCCCCGCATTGTGCCTGGCCCCGAGAAAATTCCCGGCACACACACACCAGGCAGCACACACACACCAGCTGCTGCCGTAACTCAGGCCCCTATAGGCGTGCCTGCTCGGCGCTCTCCCTAGGTTCCCCTGGGGGACGGCAGAGGCCCCCCTGCCCTCAGGCCCCTGCACCCCCCCACCCCCTCCTCAGCAGGCAACAGTGGGGCCAGCACAAGGCCACCTCCAGGGGACCAGGAATGCAGGAAACCATGAGAAAAACATTTGATCAGGAACTTAGCTTGGAAAAAATGAAACTACAAATTAGGAAAATCAGTATTTTTATCTCACACAGTTTGTTTTTTTTAATCATACTTGCGACTGAACAAGCAAAGAGGTTGGGATGGTTGGTTTTTCATTCTCCCACAGCTTCGCATGCTAGCGCGGGAGGGGCTGGACTTTTCCAGCACACCGAGTGTGCAAAAAGCAGAGGAAGGGCTCCGGGATGTTCTCAAGGCCTGGGTCAGTCTTTGTGCTGGTCAAATTATTCTCTTGAGAAGCACGGGTCCCCTTATCTCAAAGGGACCAGCCTTGCCCATTGTCTTGAGCCACCTCCCCTATGGGCGGGGCCCCCCTCCCCCCTGCCTTCCTCTTAAGCTGCTGCTTTTGCAAGAATTGCAGCCCAGGTTGCACCCTGGTGTCTTTGCATTTTGCAGAAGATCACCAGCAAAGACTTTGAGGCCATGGGCTGGCAGCAGGGCTGGTGGGGCCGGCAAGGGACGGTGCATCAGTGAGGGACTGCTTTCTGGTAGAGCTCTAACTGGGCAGTGAATAACCATCTCCCTATACCTAGATGACAATTCTTCTTTGTCACCGAACTAAGGGGCACACAGGGCGCGCTGCGGCACCCTTCTTCAGAACTCTTCTGCAGTGGGACCCCAGTTTTAGCAGGCAGCTTCTGCCCAAACAGCCAGCGCGGGGCGGGGGGGGCGGGGGGACCAGGGGTTCCTATTGCACTTGGCCCCGTGCAAACTTAGTCTCGGCCAAGGCCAGGGCAGTGTGCCAACGGACCTCGACCTCGGTTCCTGCAACTTCCCCCAGCCTCCCGCCGCAGCAGAGCGCACAGTCCACGCTCCCAATTCTATAAATAACCCCAAGGGCATGCCAGCCCGGTCCGCCCGGCTGCTCTGCAGGACCTCTGCCCACTCCCTGCAGCATTAACTGAGAGCGCGGAACAGTTAGCCGGGCGGGGCCGGGCTGCCCGAGGCATCCAGACTTCTGGATCTGTACAGGTGTATACAGGGAGGGGGCGGGGCAGGGAGGAGAAGCCAGGACACCACCTCGGGGAAGCCGCCCGGCCTCAGACCTCGGACGCCAGCTTCCGCTTGGTGCTCTCGCTGCAGCGGTGCAGGATGAGGTCTGCGCTGGGACGCGGGGGCACCGCGGGCTGTGGCTTTGCGCGCTCGCTCTCCCGCTGCTCCCCTGCGGCGGAATGCAGGGGCCTGATGAGAGGCCCCGCCCCACCCTCCAGGCCCCACCCCGGACCCCGCCTCCCCGGTCAGCCCCGCCTCCAGACCGCTCAGGACTCTCACGCCGCGCCCCTGGCCCCACCCCTTTCCCCGCCCCATCCTCTAGGCTCCGCCCCAAGAAAGCCCGCCCCCAGGCCGCCGCGGGGACTCTCGGCATCCGCTCCCGGCGCTCTGCGGCCCCAGCCCCGCCCCCTCCTCCAGGCCCCGCCCCGCCCCAGGCCCCGCCCCCGCCCCAGGCGGCCGGCCGCACTCACCGAGCGGGCTGGCTGCGCTCTGCGGTCCCGGCCGCCCCGGGCGGCGACGCTGCTGCAGATAGCGGACACTGTTGCGCCGGTAGGTGTCCTGGCTGAGGCGCTTCCGCGACCGCTGGTGGATGCTGTGCGCGTTGCGGATGGACGACCTGGGCGCAGCGGGACGGGGGCGTTACTCAGGCCGGGCCACCCTCGCTGCGCCCGCGTCCCTGCCTGCGGGGACTCGCATGACCCGCCCTGGGGCCCAACGACTGGCCCCGGGCTGTGGGGAGCGGGGCGGGGACCCCACACGACGGGGCGGGGCCCCCACACGACGGGGCGGGGCTGGAGGTCCATTTCCCACGCCCCTCGCCCGCCTTCAGCCCGGCCCCTCCCAGCAAGCCCTTTGGACTGCCGCCGCCCTGCCCTCGAGGGCCAGCCCCAGGCACGCGGGGCGTCGACGTGTTCACCTGCACCCCCACACCCCTGCGTTCCCACCGCCCCCGTGCCGGCCCCACGGTGGGGGAGGGCACGTCCACCCTCGATCCTGCGAGGGCGCCGTCTCCCCGGCTGGCTGGAGTGCCCCCCTCCCCGGCACGGCCAATCCAGGGCCTGCACCCACAGAGGGGACCCGTGGCACCCCCTCCTCACCCCCGTCCAGTCCCGGGACCCGCGCTCACCGCCGGGGAGGTGCCCCTCGGCTCTTGATCTGCCGTTGGGCGTGGGCTACGTCCTGCCCGGACTTCTGTAGGTACATGGACGGGAAGTAGCCTGTGATGTCGTCTTTCCTGCAACAGAGGCAGCCCT